GGTGATAAGCCGTGCCCTGAACAAACGATGCGCGACGTCAACGCCATGTGGTCGATGATGGAGGAAGATCTCAAGGAGCTCACCGACATGGGCATCAAGGTGTTTGTTGTCGACCAGAGTCCCGAGTACGAAGAGATGAACCCGTCGACTTGGATCTCTGGCGACACGGTAACGATGCCGAAGCCCATGTTCAAGTCCAAGTTCAACCGCGACTACAAGTGGCTCCTCGACCCGCTTCATGCAATGGTCAAGAACGCCGGCGCGACGCTCATCGACTACGCCGACAACTACTCGCTCGGCGACGAAATCATGATCACGGACGATCACGGGTACCCAGTCATGTGCTACGGAGCGCATCTGAACGCGCACACGGCCCGCAGCTACCTCACCGTCGTCGACCAAGTTGTCGACGCAGCCCGTCTCAAGCAGTAATCCGGTTGTGCGAGTATAACACGTTACCAATATAGAACCGTTTGTGTGTCCATGGCTTAGTACCGCCAGTGAAAGTGGCGTCTTCACCGCAGATGACAACACGCAGTTGGATTCGTGTAGCATCCGGATGCAGGTGAGCTGGCAGCCTGTGGACAGTGTAGTATCCGGAAAACGAGAAAGGTGTGGCTTCTCTTGACTGGACTGCAGTAGTGACTACTAGTAGAGCACTACAGATGACGAATTCGTCGACAGCCCTAGTACCGGTATCCCTTTTCCATTCCGGCGCCAGGCGGCGGTGCCAAGCAGCAATGGAAAACGCAGTGATGGTGTGCCCTTGCACGTCGATCTGTTCGCTGTCGCAGCAAGGACTCGCTCTTGATCGTGGTGGTGCTCTAGGTCAAGCTCTTGGTCGTGGCGGTGTACTCGTCCGCGCATGCGGTTGTATTTTCCTTGGTGATAAAGAGGTGGCCACCGAGGTGCATGGGCGCCACCCATGGCGTAGTCATCGATGTCACCGACGACGAGCGCTTCGCCGACAGGCCAACGGTCGACGACTACGGCGGCTACGACGCCTACGATGACTACTACTATGACAACGATGAGACCGCCAACGACGTCGTCGGCGAGGACGTGCCGGCCGACAGCGCGATGATATACGGGAACACACTCATGTCCGACGGCGCCACGGACGGCTGAAGGCCTTGGGCTGGTCCACGTCTTGTGCACTATGTGAACACGCTCTTGGGTACCCATGGCGGAATGAAGGACAAGGTGCGCGACGCATACTTCCAAGTGGCGAAGCGCTTGGTACACCATTGCTTTCACACGACCGACGAACTCAGTACCTTAATATCGATCTATCTTCGCCATTGCATCGCTGCTACGTCCAGAAATGTATGGGATGTGACAGCCATTGTACAAATGTATTAGCGTGGCGCCGCAGAGTTGCCATGTCTTGGGATCGCGCGCTGCCAATGTTCTCCGAGCTGTCGTCGTAGTCGTAGTCGTGGAGTGGACACCATGACGTGGTAATAGCTCATCGAGCTCCGAGATCGGCGCCGGAAATCTCGTCTGGTCCGACACCACTCGTTGCGCTCGCTTGGCCGACGCCACGCGACCGGTGCGCGCGGGCGTGTGGCATAAGCAGTACACTGCGACAGACAAGCACGACCGGCCATTGAGGTCGCTCACTCGCATCGTCGGCCGCTCGCCATGGTTTTGCAGCAGCCGATTCGACGGCCGCATGTCGAAGATCCGAAGATCCTGATTTCGACCTGCGAGTGTCAGGCTCGAAGATTTCAATTTCGACCAATGCCTGGTCTCCATTTCCGAATTATAGCCAATGCCTAGTCTCTATTCCTACAAGGTACCGGTAGTGCCCCAGCCTGGCACATTGGTTCTTTACCAGCACAAAATGCACTCTGGCCTCGATCCACCAAGCAAATGCAACCTTAGAGTCTAGGCATTGGCCCAGAGCTTGCTATGCGCCTCCATGGCGGCAAGATACCGATTTCCCGGGCGCCGTTGACGCTATTTATTTAAACGGACCTTTCAGCACCACACCGATAGCTGGCTCCGAGACGTGGATCCATGGATCGCGCCTTTTGAAAGTCGAACTTCATTTTCTCCTCATCTTCGATTTTGAAAGGTCCCAGGTGGCATCTCCCCACATCCGAGAGGTACTCGCCACCTCACATCCCCTTATCCGCCGCTTCTTCATTCGCCAAGCATGGCCGACGTCCACAAGCGTGTCTTCCATCCAGACGAGCTCGACAGCGAGCTCGACAGGGAGCTCGACGACGGTGTCCTCCTCTCGGACCTCGCGCCGCTGGCCGCCGACGAGGACCACGACCACGCGCCATTGGTGATCGAGGCTGCCCACGACCACGCGCCGCCGGCGCCAAGCCATACGTACCGGCCCGACATTGACGGTCTCCGGACGCTCGCGGTGGTCCCCGTCCTCGTCTTCCACGCGTACCCGAAGCTCTTTCCCGGCGGCTTCATTGGCGTCGACATCTTCTTCGTCATCTCTGGCTTTCTCATTTCCGGCATCCTCTTCAAGGAGCACAAGCGAGGCAAGTTTACGTACGCGAGCTTCTACGAGCGCCGCGTCCGCCGCATCTTCCCGACGCTCATCATCGTGCTGGGCGCGACGCTCTGGCTCGGGTACCTCTACCTCATGGCGCCCAAGCTCAAGCTCATGGCGGCGACGATGTTTGCCGGCACACTCTTTGCCGCCAACCTCCAAGTGCTCTCGCTGGAGAAGGCGTACTTTGACTTGGGCGCGAACCCGGTGCTGCATCTCTGGTCGCTCGGCGTCGAAGAGCAGTTCTACATTCTCTGGCCGTGCTTCTGCGCGATCATCATGAAGCTCTCGTACAAGCGCGCGATCATCCTCCAAGTGGCTTTCATGGCCTTTAGCTTTGCCATCAACATTGCTTTTCTCGGGTACCGGGACAACAAGGTGTCGTTCTACATGCCGCTCTGTCGCTTCTGGCAAATGTCCATGGGCGGGCTCCTCGCCTACATCACGTCGCAGGCGGCGCCGGCGTTCGAAGCATTGGCGGCGTCTGGCACGACACCGTCGAGCTCGGGTGGATGGACATCGGCGGCCGGCCTCGGCCTCATCCTCCTCGGTTTTGCCTCGATCAACGAACACCGCGCGTTCCCCGGCTTTTGGGCCCTCTTGCCGACGGTCGGCGCAACCTTGCTCATCGCAGCCGGTCCGCACGCACCGTTCAACCGCTACGTCCTCAGCAATGCCGTTGTTGTCTATATTGGCAAGATCAGCTACTGCCTCTACCTCTGGCACTGGCCGATCCTTGTCATCGCGGGGGACCGGTACCCAGCGTCGGCGCCACGCCCTTTTTTTGCTGAGCCCTGGGTCATCCTCCTCATCTCGGTTGGCTTGAGTATTGCCACGTACGAGGACGTCGAGCTGCGTCTGCGCCGGCGCAAGGCCAAGTGGATCACGCCGCTTCTCGTCCTTGGCGTTGCGGGCCTCGCAGCGTTGTCGGCCGCCGTGTACACCAACCCGGCGAACTTTTCCATGATCGAGCTTGGCCTGCGCAACGTCGCGCCACCGATCGTGCATTCGGTGGTGAAGCCTGGTACAAATCTCATAAGCGGCAACGTTCCGGCGTCGTTAAAGCAAGCGCAGGCGGCGATCTACGACGCCGATTGGCAATGGGGTCTGAGTGAGTGCCCGAAGGATTCGCCGTACCTCAAGGACGCTGTCCGCCCCGAAGACTTTCATTCGCGCGACAGCTATTTCCTCCCCGGCGGCGTCTTCCTCGTCAACCCGGGCCACGAGAAGGACAACGGCCTCCTCATCGTGCTTGGCGACTCGCACTCGGACATGACCAAGCCGCGCCTCGCCCAGCTCTACGAGGACGCCAAGGCCGCAAAGAACGACTCGACGTTTCCCACGATCGCCATCAACAGCTGGTCGGCCCGGCCGCTAATGCCGTGCCGGGCTGAGTACTACGCCAACTTGGCCATGGTCAAATCGGTCAAGCCCCAGGCGATCCTGCTCGTCCAGCACTACTACCAGTACGTGCACCCGACGGGCCCGGACTCGCTACCGTACGAGGCGCCACCCCAGTGCTGCAACGACGGTAATAAGCCGTGCCCTGAGCAAAGCATCCACGACGTCAACGCCATGTGGTCGATGATGGAGAAGGATCTCAAGGAGCTCACCGACATGGGCATCAAGGTGTTTGTTGTCGACCAGAGTCCCGAGTACGAAGAGATGAACCCGTCGACTTGGATCTCGGGCGACACGGTGACGATGCCCAAGGCTATGTTCAAGTCCAAGTTCAACCGCGACTACAAGTGGCTCCTCGACCCGCTTCATGCAATGGTCAAGAACGCCGGCGCGACGCTCATCGACTACGCCGACAACTACTCGCTCGGCGACGAAATCATGATCACGGACGCCCAAGGGTACCCGGTCATGTGCTACGGCTGGCATCTCAACACGCATTTTACCCGCAACTACCTCACGGTCCTCGACCAAGTCGTGGACGCCGCCCGTCTCCAGAAGTAAGCAGCGCAGTATACCGTCGATATAGAACCGTTTATGTCCATCGTTTTCATTCCTCTTACTCCCTTTCGCATCTCTCCGCAGCTACGCGAGCACGTCAGCAGCGGTCTCCTGTGAGTGGTTTCGTTCGTACCGGTATGCCCTTGATTCCCAGACGCACGGACAGCCCACACGAACACGACAGGACAGCCACGTCTTGGCAGAGGTGGCTCCTCATAAAGATGATGAATGTCGAGATGAAGATGGACGGCTGGCGCACGCATCACCACCGTACGCGGCTCTCAACCTAGCGACCTCCAACGCATGCTCCTCTCGAAACGATATCAGAGCACGTCGATATCCGCCAAGCCATGGTCCACCGAGCCCACGCACGCCATCGTGCGATTGCGCTTTCAGCCGCTTTTGCTTGAAAGACGGAGAAGGTTGCCGTGGACTTCTGTAGTATTACGCTTGAAAAATATTCCATCCGCGTGCTGCGACACACGAGAAAAAGGATACTGTGAGCGTTGTGGTGTGGATGGATCTATCGCAATGGACACGCCAGAGTGAAGCGTTTGGCGGTCCCTGGAACTCCTTTCCACGCAGCAAAGCAGTCGACGGCGCGAAAGCGGCTCAATGCGGCAACGTACTCGACTTGCTTGCGCTTCGCCTCGTCGTACGCGAGATCGGTGAGCGACGCATCGAGCTGCGCCGCCGCCGCAAAGAAGCGGCGGCGCGCGAGGCGCGAGCTCATTTTTTGTTTGATTTGGAGATCCAAGACCTTCTTCGTGCCCTAACAGGTCCCGTGCGATCGCGAGTTCAAGTACCGATCGAGACGATACCATTTTAAGCCCGCGGGCACTAACGAGGTACTCGACGTCGGGCTTGGTGTCGACCAGCGCTACGGCCGTCGGTGCCTCTGCGCGGAGATGCGTCCAGTTGAGCGCAAGGCCCGACGCGCTCGTTCGAGTACTTGGCGCCAGCGATCGAGTGAGCGGAAAGGTCACGGTCGTCGTTGCCACCGTGCACGTCGCGTTGCCGCGCAGCAAGCTCTGCGCAATGGCCTCTACACGGCACGTGATGACGCTCGGATTGACCATGGCGGCTTGTACCTTGAAAGCTTTTGGCGTCGCTCTGGGTGTCGAGGCTGACAACGACGCTAGCGAGATGCAGCTACTTGCATATCGACGCATGAGCAGCCTGCTGTCGTTGTGGTTGGTTCAGTACAGGTGCAAACCACTGGGATAGCAGACTGCCTTGGAGCCCAACGCTGAGCCACTTGCAGATCTTGTCGGTGCACGACATGGACACCGTTCGGTTGGCCTCGGGAATGTCGGTGCGACCCGACTTGACGCGCGCAAGGCCACGCACGTGCGAGTGGGTCGCGCTCTCGACGACCTTGGCGCCCGTCGTCCGCATCGGCACGGTCGAGACCTCGTCGGCGTCGTGGAGCTTGCGTCGCTTGACCTTGGCCTCGTGAATCTCGTCGAGCACATCAGCTTTGATGTCGTACAGTGCGGCGTCGCCACATGGCGCTTCGCTCACGTACAGATGCAGCGAGCAGCTTGGCTTCAACGCGATTCTACCGTCGTCGTCGTTCGCCGCCGTAAAGATGGACGTCTCGTCGGCGACGCCAGATTGGCGCAAACTCAGCTCGTAGTAGAGGTACCGCAGGAAGGCGCGGCGACACATGACCTCGGCGTGGCCGTCGTGGACAAGGTAGCCGTCGGGGCAGAGCGCGCTCTGGCCAAGGCATTTCGTGCCCGAGCCGACGCTGAGCACGTCCAAGGCTCCATCGTTCTCGAGGACAATGGCTGCTAGCACCGTGTACTCGTTGGGCGCATGCTTCTTGGCCGGGACCTTGGCCGCGAACCAGGCGAGCACGGCCTCGGCGACGCGGTCCGGATGTGCCATGCTGCCGAATGCCACTTGCGTTTTGCATAGGACCCCCTACATGGTGCGCCGATTTTAATACGTTGTCCTTGGGCTAAAAACACCGCATTTAGGCTTTTTCGATAGCCAAGGTAACCAGTTGTCATCGCATGCTCGGTCATGGACATGCCGTTGCTGCTTACCTCACGCCTTTGCAGCGTAGTGAGTGGCAGCACTGTCGTACAGTGTTGGTGCACAAGGCCGCTTCTCCTTTGGCTTCAACAAGGCATACATCCTAATTAGGACAATGCGTTTCGGAGGGACCCCTCCCCGGTAAAGAAACCTTGTCAACCAGCAGTACAAATCCACTGGGCGCTACCTCGGAGCTCATGGCGCGCAACTACCATGCCAAGTACAAGGAAGGCGGGCGGAAGCGCCGGCCCCGCGCTGCGTCGCCGTCGAGCGAAGAAGACTCGGACGACGCGCCCGTGCGCAAGAAGGCCAAGCGCGCCAAGCCGCCGACGAAGGCCAAGGCGAAGAAGCGCAAGCCATTGCCCGACTCGTCGTCCGACGCGAGCGACTCGAGCGACGACGACGACGAGGAGGATGTCTACTTGCACATCCAGAACGGATCAGGTCTCTCGACGGCCGTCAAGCAAACCTTCGCCTCGAAGAAGCTCGGGCGCGGCGACCGGCATCTGCGTAGCCGCCACCTGTGGCCGGTCGACCCCCATGGCGCGCCGTGGCTTCTCAATGCGACCAAACCCATCTCGATCAGCGAAGAGATCCACCTCTTTGCCAAGTACGTGCGCATGCAGCCGCTCGAGGCCGAGGCCCGCCGCGTCTTGAGCAAGAGCATCATGCGCATGGTCGAGACGCACATGGCGCCGACGCCCGTGGCCTTTGACCACTTTGGATCGCTCGCGCCCGATTGCGAGTCGCGCGCAACCTTCCGCAGCGACATTGATCTCTCGATGGAGCGCGCGCCCGAGATCGACGCCAAGAAGAGCGACGAAGACGCGTCACCCGACAGCACGGACGACTCGAGTTCATACGAAGACGAGCGTGATCCGAGCGGCAGCATGAGCTTCAACTTTGCCTCCGCGTTTGCGCCGAACGCCAAGGAGATAGACGGACCGTCGAAGGAGTCGCGGGCCCAGCAAGCGCGATTCCTCACGCGCGCCAGCGTCGGCCTCCGGCAAGGCGACCTCTTCCGCGTCCACGTCCGTGGCCGCGCCAAGGTGCCGATCATCAACCTTGTCCACGTACGCTTGCGATGGATGGATGATGCTGTTGAACTATCGCATGGGGCATGTAGCATGTCTCCAAGCTCGAGGTGGACATCAGTATGGGCGTCGACAAGACGTCGGTGAGCGACCAAGTCATCCAATGGTTCGCTGCCACGTATCCCGTGTTCAACCCCGTCATCGTACGTCCAATGGACGTCGACTGCACGTCGAGTGTTTCGGATGCTCTTCTAGGTCCTCCTCAAGGAATTCCTGCACCAGTCGGGGCTAAACAAGCCGTTTGAAGGCGGTCTCGGCAGCTACCGCCTCTACGTCATGGTCGGCCACGTCATCAACATTGTCGACGAACCATCGAACGCGTGGCGGGTGCTGAACCTCTTTTTCGAGTACTTTAGCGGCGCCGGGCGCTTCCAGACGACGACCGTGCTGCGGCTGCAGATCCCCCGGACCAACCTCCGCGTACGCTCAACTCTTATTAAAACAACTTGAGCGCACTCTGTTCGTAGTGCGAGGCCGAGTTCAAGTCGATCTTCCGTTTACGTGAGTGCAACACGCTATTTGCCCTTGCGGCCGAGACGCTCCGGAGCGCGATCAAGCAGTCGCCGCGCGCGCCTTCGGTTCTCGCGTCCATCTTTTGCACCGTCGACCTCCGCGAAGACCGCGACGAGAGCGTCTCGCGCGCCAACGCGGTGCTGCTGCTGCAGAAGGCCCCGGCGCCCAAGGCCGAGCCTAAGAAGGAGATCAAGGACCTTCGGTTTGGGAAGCGGCACGTGGTCACGTCGGCCAAGAAGCTCAAGAAGCTGCAGACCAAGAGCAGCACGCCGTTTCCACGCGCGCCGATGCGGACGCAAACGATCGTCGTCGACTACAACGACTAGATGCTAAATAGGCTCCGGGAATACTACACGAACTCTACATGCTGGCTGTCCCGCGTGCGTTCCGGCGGCTCGCGCATCATAGCCGGCAGTCCATCGTCGCTCCAAGCAACGTCAAAGACGCACGACCTTTTCCCTGTAAACTAGCACATTGGTCTTGCACAAGGCCAGGATACTTGTGCAAAGCCACGCCGACGACGGCCTCTCTCTACGAGTACCATGAAGACGACATTGGATTCGTAGGCGTAAGGCGCATGTTGACGTGTTGCAGGCGATCCAAGATGCACACTAATGTATCGCTCGATTGGATCCAATATGGCGTCGTGTACACGTGGCAGCACGACAGGCATGCCCGTTTCAATCGAACTTCAAGTGCGCGCGCCGGGAGTGTCACCCGTTTGCCCGCGTTGGATGGGGAGAGGCTGCTCCTACATGATGGAGCTTGTTTATGAAACACTCGTACTGGGCGCCGTATGCATGTCGGTCGTCGTCGTCTGCTGGCCTCGATGGTCGCCTGGTCTTTCGCCTGGTCCTGCGTGCGACGGTCATCGTTTATGCAGCACGACGACCTTGTCCTCGGTACATTCCGTGGTACGAACGAAGGGGCACCTATCGCAATCGTCGCGCCGTCCCTTGCAAGATGACGGTAGATGATGCGCACAGGACCAAGCACACGCACAATCGGCCTGTCGGCATGTGGCGGAATGATAACGTCGGTCTGATCCAACTGGCGTACGAACAACACCAGCGTCCGAGGCCCGTGCCTTTGCGCGCGCTTCCTCCTCCTTCTTCCTCGTCTTGCGGGTGGCATCGGCCTCGTGCCTCTTGCGCGCCGCGTCCCAACAAGAAGACCGTAGCTCTGTCTCTTCGAATTGACTTGGCTGCCTTCGCGGCGCGCCACCTAGACGTGTGCAGGTGCGACGCCAGCTGGTATCGCCCGACCTTGCAGTTTGTATGACCTGTTTACGTCGACGTTGGCCAATCCGGTCGGCGCGACGGACGCCCTTCCAGGCCATTTCCGGTTTTCCCAGCAACAACAACCAAGTAATACCATGAGCAGCATCATCGAGCAGATCGACGGCATGTGGAACGACCACAACAACGCGCGCAAGGCCGTCTTTGAGTTTAGCACCAAGGCCGTCGAGGACGAGCCCGAGAACGCCGAGCTGCTCTGGCGCCTCGCCCGCGCCAACTACGAGTACGCGATCGAGAAGGCGGTCTCCAAGGAGCTCAAGAAGAAGCTGACGTACGAGCGCCTCGACATTGCCAACAAGGCCCTCAGCCTCGCGCCCGAGAGCGGCGACTGCCACAAGTGGTACGCTCTCCGATCCCACCACATCCTTTCTCATCGATAACGATAGGGTCGGTATCTCGACGTCCGAAGTCAACGAATACGAAAGCGTCATCACCAAGCTCAACAGCGCCATGACGATCCGCGATCACTTTATGAAGGCGAGCGAGCTCAGCACGACCGACCCGATGGCGTCGCACTTGCTCGGCCGCTGTACGTTGTGCATGGGTCGGTGCCTCTTAGCTCATGCGTGGGGTAGGGTGCTTCCGCGTCAGCGACATGTCGTGGGTCGAGCGTGCGGCGGCGCGTGGCCTCGCGGGCCACCTCGCGCCGCACTCGTCGTTTGAGGACGCGCTCGCCAACTTTCTCAAGTCGGAGGAGATGAGCCCGGGCCACCTCAAGATGAACACGTGGTACATTGTGCAGACGTACGCCAAGCTCAAGCACAAGAAGGAGGCCAAGGAGTGGGCGGCCAAGGTCGTCGCGATGCCCAACCTCCTCGACGAAGACCACGACATTGATGCGCTCGCCAAGGCCTATTTGTAAGCAGTGTTGCGTGTGTCTTAGCTGTTAATACGACGCCGACGGCGATGTGTTCATCTCTCTGCCTCTCGTACATTGCATGATAGTAAGCTGATTGCCTTGTCCTCTCTCGTCTTCAATTGACGATGGCGAGATACTACTTCCAGACGACAGCATGCAAACGCGCCAAAGAAGCAACCAGGACCGCATGAGGTCGCCTCTTGTCTTTCGACGACGCTGTACAAGGGAAGGGCGAATGCGGCAATCGGTAGAGCAGCAGAAAGGTCAAGCCCAACCCGTGCTGCATGGCACCGCGGCCTGGTACGCTTGTGCATTGGGACGACGAGCCCGATCCTACTCGGGTAGCCGATGGATCAATCGTCTTTTGTGCTCTACAAGCCACAACAACGGGGCCGTCAAGAAGACGCCATCAGGCAGAACGTCCTTTCTCGTTATCCGGATATTGCGCTGCCCACAGGCTGCCAGCTCACATGTATCCGGATGACAAAGTCCAGGCCGTTGCCAGCGTTTGAGCGGCCGCGGCGACGCAGCATCGACACGTGGTAATAGATACGAGTGGCACACGCGCTCGGATGCGCTATCGTCGTACGTGGCAACGCCGGGTAAGGGCCAGCTCCGTCCAAAGCTCCTTCTTCTGCGGTCTCGGCGCAGAACTCTGCGGCCTTGGCGAGTTGCTGGGAGACGGAACGTTGACTAGATCGTGTGCAGCTTCGTCATTTGATGGTGGTTTTATCCGGATAACAGACCAAGTTGGCCCCAAACCAAATCCTGGCCATGCGACCGGCGCCAGCGTCCGTCGTTGACCTCGATGGCTGCGTCATCACCATTGTCCAATGCACGTCGTCGCCATCGGACGTCATAACCTTCCTCTCGGTGCTACCGCGCCTTCCGCCGCCTCTGGCAGCGCTCCTCCAGCTCCTCACGGTCGGTGGCTCGCTGGATGTGTGGCCACAACCACGCCTGGGCTGGATTGAGGACGACGACATCCCGCTCTTGTCGGCAGCCATGCCCATCTTCAACTCGATCATTCTCGATGGTGTACACACGTCGCCGCGCTGGGCAGATGGCATGGCGGACGCGGTCTCGTCGCCCTTCTGCGCGTTTGTCTCTCGCTGGGCAGCCAAGGTGACGGAGCTCGACTATCTTGATAGCGAACGCCCACAGGACCTCGCCGAGTTTTGCCAAGTGCTCGCGCAGTGCACGAACCTCAAGCGCGTGTCGATCCAAGGGCGCGGACGCGAGGTGCTCGAGGTTGTGACGGTGCCAACCCACCGCGTGTCGGAACTCTTCCTCCTGTGCATGCAGGATTGGACCGACTTGGTTGCGCCCATGTCTCGATGGCTCGTCTCGGGCCATGCGATGCACTTGCGGCTTACGGGCTTGGGCAACGGCAACGGCAACAGCGCGGACCTCGCCGACGCGATTGCAACGTCCCCGACGCTATCGCATTTCTACTTGGATGCGCCGTTGGTCCTTCTAGCGAGTCTTGTCGGCCGTGGTCGTCGGCTCAACCACATCACGCAGTTCGAGTGCGCTGGCCTCGGCGACAGCGAAGGTTTTCAAGCCATCTTTGAGCTGCTGCCCTTGGACAAGCTTACAAAGCTGCGGCTCTATGGCGCTCACGTCGACGACACAAACCTGAGCTGGCTACTGCCACGTTTGCCAGTTATGTCGGCGCTGGATGACCTCCACCTGTCCAGCGTTCGCATGGAGGAAGCGCTCGCCATGCCCCCAACACCGTCGTCTCTGTGCCTCCGGAGCGTCAAGCTCCCCAAGGTCTCGTTCTCGGCCGAGAGCCGCAGCGCGCTTCTCGACTGGGCACTGCGCTCCAACTGCCTCGAATGCCTCACCTGGCCCCAGTGTGCAACCGACGACAACGGCATGTGCTTTGATGGCGACGGTCTTTCTCAAGCGATTGAAGCCGGCGTCCGCACCATCAACTTTGAAGGAAGCTTCACTACGCGCGATGCGCTGGCCTTGGGAAACGCGATCCGTGACGTCAAGGCCCCGCTCAGCGCAACGCTATGCCTGCATCACAGCCCGCTTCGTCGCGCGGGTGAAATCCACCTCCGAAAAGCGCTCGCCACGTGCACCAATGTTGTCATCACGACGAAGGATGCCGACGACAATATTTACACGCTTCTTGCCGCCTAGCGACGTACGCAGCGCAGCAGCAGCGATTTTGATGCCGGAGATTCTTGTAATGAAAATGGGGTCGCCCCACCTCAGCTTCCCAACGGCTTTTGTAGACTTGCTGCAATTCACCACGCGCCATCCTTTGGCGATGAGGATGAAGTAATGGAAGCAGACGATCGGGTTGGGCTCGTTGAATATTGGTTGCATCTAAAGGGACGCTCATGATCAAAGGCCGCTATCGTTGGCGACTTGCGCAAGCAGCGGGCTTGGAGTTCAGACGTTAGTACGCGTATCGAGCATTGATGGATGGGATATAGCAGAATTTGAACTCACGATGCGAGCAACTCGATGAGGAGCACAGAAAAAAGGGATTGGATCTCAAAATCAAACAAGCACCACGTTTGACTGCACAGCTCGATGCGTCGCTGGCCGATCTCGCAGACAACATGGTACGACGAGGCCGGTCGCAAGCAGGAATGTTGCTGTGACGACGCATTTTCGCAGCCTCGACTGTTTGGCCGTGCGGAAGGTGCTTCATCAACCAGCCAGCCGCCGGTTGATGCACGCGTCGCTGCTCGGTGATGACGAGGACATGCGTCAACGCTATACTTTAGACGCTCGATCCCAGTTTCAATTCAACACCTCGCGCAGTAATAAGGACAAGCATTATTGCCGTCTTCCTATCCATCCTCCCCACGCGCCCCAAGCTCAGTTAGTCGGGATGTCCATGGACTAGAGATGACTAACATTAATTCAGCTCTATATAATGCTGCATATTTAATAGTGTAAAAACACTCATGTCGGGAAACTAATGAGAGCCAAAAGAGTGCGGTGCAAGGACTTGCGGACGTCACCTCTGTATGCATTCCGGTCCCTTGCATGAGCGGTCGTGGCGCGATTGCCATCGTAGCGTTCAGGCCCACGTCGTGTGGTCTGCATTATACACTATATTGCGTCAAAGACATGAAATAGTGTCATTTAGTCGGCCGCCATAGAACTGGCACGGATCTGATTACGGTTGACCGCATGGCCGACAAGAGTAGGTGGTGCATTTTTTTATTTCCTCGCGTCGCTAGCTCGGTATTTGTATGCCGATTAAAACGCCATGAATTAAAATCTGGACTCAACCCAGCGTCCGAGGTTACACTTGAACCTGCGACGCCAATGCCACCATTCGCGACGGCGCCGGCGCAGACGCCATGGAGCTGCATGGCCGCGCCCATGACCGCGATGGAAGAGGCCGCATGCGACCCGCTGGACCACGACGACCTCTTCGCCATGATGGACTCGTCCTTCCCGATGCTCGACGAGGCGCCGGCCAAGAAGCCCGAGGAAGCCGCGAAACCTGCCATGAAGGGCGAGAAGCGCAAGCTCCAGGTGCGCGAAGCGTCGCGCCGCTGCCGCCTCAAGCAGAAGGAAGAGGTATCGTACCTCCGGTCGCGCGTCGCCGAACTCGAGCAGCTTGTGCGCGATCAAGCGATGGTCCCGCCGCCGACCACCGACGCCCTTGAAGTCCAGTCGCTGCGCCAGCAAAACAAGGAGCTTACGGACGCGCTGCAGCGATCGCAGTCGCAGATGGTGCTCATCCAAGCGCTGCTCAACAAGACGCTTGTGGAGACGATGCAGTCGATCGTCCCCGTGACGTCGCCGCCATCGTCGCCACCCGCCTCGTCGATCGTCTCGGACGCCCAGCGCCTGCGCTTCGCCTCGGTCGTCGACTGCGCGTTTGCGACGCTCACGCACTTTACGCTGCCGCACGCCCATGGCGGCCCAATCCTCTCGATCACGCATTCGGCCAACTCGTGGTTTGGCGAGATCTGGAGCGTCGGCTCCGAGCTCTTTGTGTGCATGACCAAGGAGCTTCCATCGACCAGCCTCCTGCGCACAAACATGGTCGCCGACCGCGTCTGGGAGCGCTCGGCGGCGGTCTCGTTCGCGAACAGCGCGTACACGCTCCTGCGGCAGCGCAAGCTCTTCGAGGTCGACGCCAACACGCACGTGTACGAGCGTCTCGAATCTGTGCTCGAGATGAAGCTCCTCTCGCAGCAGTCGGTCAAGTTTCGCCGAGCGGTCTCGCCCACGACAGTGCTCATTGGGACCGCGACCGTCCAACCCGACGAAACGACCAAGTACACGCCTGGCAAGGAGCAGCTCGGTTTGCTCTTGCACTCGGTTCCCGACTCGCCACTGCTCGCCTCCGTCCAGCTTGTCGGAACATACGATGTTGTGGGCGTGCCGCCAGCCGAGGTCCATGCCCGCCTCTCCAAGCATGTGCTCGAGCTCGCGCAGACGCTGGAGCAGCAGCTCTTGCTCTAAGGGCATGTGTCTCTCTGTATAGATTTGAAGGAGGCGGAGGGTAGTTGATATTTAACATGATGGCATCGTGCAAGTGCATACTGTGTCTCTCCAGTATCAACTTGATGTCTATAGGAGCGAGAAGGTCGGAACAACACGGACCGGGCTTGAACCCTAGCCCTCCTGCTTGCTAGTTGGGAAGCAAGAATCCGCCGACGAGACAAAAGGTGGTCGTCTGGACACGTTGCGAGCTACGTCGGTGGCGTCGGTGGAGCTCGCCATTGGCGTGGCCGGCCATCAAGTCATGGTGTACACAAATGCCAACTTGGTGCCAAATCTTCAGGCCGTGTTCACCATCGATCCTACTAGTCCAGTATATCTTCTGTTCTTGGCGCTCCAAATGCTTTGCTCGTAGAATTCAAGTCCATCTCAAGATGCTGCATTCATCGTTACAACGTGGCTGCGGTCGTCGTGCGATCTATTGCCTCTTAAGGGCCCATGGCCAAGCTGGTGTCGCGGAACAGTGGCACGTGCTCGAGGATGACGTTGGCGGCGAGGGCCAAGCTGGGTGCCTCGGGCGACTCGTCGCAACACTGTAGCATCGCAAAGGCACTTGCGAGCGCATCTGGCTCCGCGTTTGGCGCAAGCTCTACCGCGAATTTCTCGATGAGGGCGCCCCAGAGCTCGCAAAAGACAGTGCTGATAACCCAGCGGTCGAGTCGCAGAAATGACGAATGCCACTCCATATCCATGGACAACTGCAAATCGGCCAAGTTCGTCGGCTTTTCTGCATACGTCGTGAGCCGGTACGCGCGGCTGAGCTGCTGCGGCGTCGGCGCGGGCACCTTGCGAGGACGAGCCGTTGTCTCGAGCACGGGGGCGCGGTGTGTCTTGGCCGCGTGGAGCTGCAAATGGCTTTGAAAGTCGCCGTAGAGTACACCAGCAAGCACAGGGCGCGCGTACTGGGGCTGGCAGCCCAACGCAAGCAGCATCGAAACAAGAAAACGACCAGGCATCGACGGAAACCCGACCAGCTGACCGCGCTCGACCACGCCCCGCAGCGCATCCAGCTCGGGCACCGCATCCATGAGGCCGACGACCCGCAATGCGTTGTAGAGATGGAGCATACTCGTGGCTTGCCAAATGTCATCGAGAATGCGGCTGCCAGCATCGACCTGGACGCACATGATGGCGGCGAGGAGAAGCTGACCAGCCATCCATGGGCTCAGCCACGCGTGTGCATCCTTCTTGACGATTTTTGCTAGCGTGTGCCGCAGCCAGAACGTCCAGGCCTTCATCACGCGCCGTGTTGACTCGGGGACGAGCAGCGGATGCGGACGCTCTTGGCTGCGCAGCATGCCACGATAGATCTGCTTGAGCGACGCCAGCGTATAGGATGCGACGGTCGCACAGGTCCTCTTGTCTGATGGTGGCCCCTCGACGGCCACCACCGAGGCCAGCAGGCACTCGGTCGCAAAGAGAAACGGAATGCTCGGCACCTGGGTCTCGGCAAAGGCCTCCAGGTGCGCAAGGTAAGGTATGAACGCGTCGGACGCCTCTGGTTGGTGCTGGTAGAGGCACAGCGGATCAAAAAGGCGCGAGAGAACTCGACAGCGCGGGTCGTGGCTCGGCGCCTCGTGCAAGTCGACACGCAAAACAAGTGGGACCGTCCCCGGTCCGTCCCAGTGTGCCATCGTCACCACGGCGCCGTGAAGTTCCAGCAGCGACTTGTCTTCATACAGGCCGCGTCGTGAACAATGGATTCCAGCGAGTAGCTGCTCGAGCTCCTGAGCGCGTTTTGGAGAAGGCCGCCGTTGCAAATGACGACGCCAATGTCGTCCAGCGTCGTGAGGTACGGGTACTCGATCGCGAGCTCGTTTGCGAGCACTTCGACCGTGCGCACGCAGTGGTTGGTGACGGCCGTTGCCGCCACGAGCGTCGTCGTTCCTTGCTTGAAGGCCGCCCAGACAGCCTTGACGTCGCCCATGAGACCGTCCATGTCCATGACAAAGCACTCGACACGAAACTGGTCGGCTTCCATCTGGGCAAGTGAGGCGGCTCGCGCCGCCTCTTCCGGGGTCTCTTCGACCGGCGGTCGATCGGCGGCATGGCCTCTTCGTCGTCGTCATCATCGTCGTCATCGTCGTCGGCGTCAAGAGACAGCGTCGCAAACGCATTCGAGACGCTGCCGCTACTTGGGGTTGCAGTCGGGCGAGGTGTTGCAGCTGGGCAAGGTGTTGCAGTTGGACGCCGTGTTGCAGTCGTGACGAGTGGTGCCAGCTTGGCCCGCACGGCGCGCAGCAGATCCAGAAAGCGCGTGTGGCCAACATCGGGCGGAAGACACTGCGTCGCGAGCCATCGGAGGCGGATGCTCGTCGAGAGGTCGACCAAGACCTGGCGTGGCACGGGCAGCGCGTTGTTGGCGACGTGGACGGCCGCTGCCCAGATCTGACGCAGCGTCCACGGGGCCATCGTCTTCGTCGTCGACTTCTTGGAGGCGCGCTGGAGCCACGAGACGACGGCGTCGGTCGCGGCCTTGTACTCGGCCCATCGGCCACGTTGGGTCGTCGTGATGGTGATCTTGTAGCAAAATGCGGAATGCTACAATTCGGACTGCAACCCGCGGTGGTTGCCCAATTAGGCTAGAACTCGGCAAAAGCCCTAAAATTGAAGTGGCGGTATGCCCCAGATCTACAGTACATCCCGAACGCCATCATATGACAAGCGCTGGTCTGGCTGCTGCGAGTGCGCGGTGGGGCTCAAGTGCACGTGTGCATGGTTTGTTCATATGATGCAACGCTATCTGCGGCGCACTATCTTCTCTACATGTACTCGATGTCCGTGTCGTCAAGCTCGATGACGGCGCTGGCTTGCTTGGCGAGGTCGTTCTCGTCGTCCGAATCGCCGTCCTTGTCGTCTTCATCGAGGTCGGGGAGCGGGAAGCGAAGCAGCGCCGCAACGCCGCTGAGCTGCCCGAGCTTGTCGCCCGAGACGTGGAGGCTGCTAAAGACGCGGGCGTGGCCGCCGTTCGCACGCACGTTCTCGACCAGATCAATGTACTTGCGGCGAACCGCAAGGTCCTGGCTGCGGAAGAGTGCGTCCGTGATGAGGAGCGTGTCAATGGCCATTTGCTGGTTGGCCTTGACAACGTGCTATGATATGACGTTCAGTCAATCGTGCTTCGCACAAGAAGAGGCGTACGTTGTAGCCGTAGTATGCCTTGTCTTGGTCGGTGTGGAGCATCTCAAAGAACGTTTCGAGGCACTTGACGTCGCCGGCCGCCTTGGTGTCTTCGAGCTGCACCTGAACTTTCTAATGCGATCAAGTCGCGTCAACACCGAGACGACGGGTAGAGAGAGGAGGTACCGGGTCGGTGAGCACTTCGTCGAGTGCGTGCTTGTGCCCCGACGACGCGTGGCAGAGAATAAACTTGGATTTGTTCTCAAGCAGCAGCTTGTCGTCGGATCGCACCGCGTACTCCATCATAAACTTGAAAAAGTCGTCCTTCACAAAGCCCGGACTCGCCAAGAGAACGCATTTGACCAAGCTAAAGTCGACGTGGCGCTTGATCGCCTACCATAGCATGTTGGTTGGCAGGTGGACGAGGAGGCACGGACCTGGACGATGCTGTCGTAGAAGCGCTCCATGCCCTTCGCATGCGACGTGTTGCCTGTGCGCTTGCGCGGAATCGATGTCTCGAGCTTGGCACGAATCACCGTCATGTGCCCTTTGATGAGACAGAGGTGCGCGAGGCCAGCTTGCATGACCACCTAACCACGATGGTATGAGCGTTCCGAGGCGATAAGCAGGATAAATTACGGCAGCGGCCTCGGCTTGCTTGGCCACGTTGCACGCCATATCGATGCGCTCGAGCGTCATGACGTCCCAACACTGCTTGGCGAGCGTAAAGTCCTTGTTGAGCTCCAAGTCGATTGTGTGGTAGGCGCCCATCTATATGCATCGTGCTTAGCCGCGTGGCGCCGGCGAAGCGCATGGCCTACGCGAACGTGGGGGTTCTCCTCGACGTTCTTGCCGCGGATGCGCAAGAGACACTTGATCGGGTCAAAGTCAATGTGCTCCATCTGCAAGCAAAGCGTCATGCGCATGCGCTGGCTCGTGGTCGAGCCCGTCGCGCCTTCCTTGACGACCTTGCGCACCGTGGTGGTCTTGACCGTGTCGCCGCGATGCATGAGGTTGAACACATGCCACATGTCTTCCGGGTCTTCGGCGCGGAGGATCACGCTGCCATTGCCGTCCTTCTCGCTGATGCTGCGCTTCAAGAGCTTCATGGCAGATTGGCACCGCAGCTTCGGCATGCATTAAATACGCAAACACGGCATACAAATCCCAAGCTATATATTTCGGCTGTAAAAATAGTAGCGACCATGCCATTGGCCAAAATGCTGTGATAGAAAAACGCTCGTGCTCGATTCGAATTCGAATCGAGCACGAGCATTATATAACACTTCAAAAACTCGCCGCTCACCGCCCACGAATGCAGACTGCTCATGCAGACCATCTCCACCGTTCACACCGTGGGTGCTTGTACAATGCCATTGAAGAGCAGATGGCGATGGGCCTGTCGCCGTCGTCATTCACGCAAGCGGCCGTGGTATTATTTCGCGCGTGCGTGGGGACGCCACGTCAGCGGCGACACCACCACAGTGCGCCGCGAACTTCACCTTCGATCCTCCCACGCCCATCGCGCTCCCTCTGCAGAAGCGATCTATCCCCGTAGTAAGTATGCAGATTCGGCGACTCGGCCAATGCACGCTTCGCATGTGATATAAGTATGCGAACGCGCTCAGATCTCGCGCCGACGCCCGTTTCGAAACTCGGTCGTTCGCTATTTTCTGCTGCTTTTCGAACGCCGTTCGACATATTCTTCCGAATGACATCCTATCGCCTTATAACTTTAGCCGCTCCAACCGCGGTCTACATAAATGCATCGTTTACGCCTTCAATCGCACGCCCATGTCGTCGTCGTCGTCGTCTTCGTCCGTGGTCGCCAGCATCGCGTCTGTCGCACTCTCATCGAGCGCGAGCGCGCCGTGCTGACCACACACGCCGTGGGACCGCGCGAATTGGTGGCACCCGTGCGCCTTGCAGCGGGCGCCGCCGCCGTGGAGGCGGCAGATCCCGTACGCCTGCGCCGTCGTCGAGCAGCCTTGGATCGTACACTTGCGGCCGCCGCCGTGCTTGGTGCAGTAGCCGCCGCGCCGTGCGTACGCGAGGCAGCCTTCGCCCGCGCACTGTCGATTGCGGTTCTTGAGGCGCACGCACACCGGTCGCTTCTTGGGTGCTGCGTAAAGCGGTGAGGCCAGGACCGTCCGCCGGATGATCGGCGCTGTCATGAGGGACGCGAACGACGGCAGCACAATGCGCGGCTCCGACATTGCCGTTGCATGCGTCGACTTGGACCGGACGTGGGCGAGGCACGTGCCATGGAGCTTGGCGTACCGGTCGCAGCCCTCGACGACGCACACGCGGTACTTGAGCGGGCTTGTCATTGTCGTCGCTAAATGGCCGCAAAATCGCAAGTGGCTTGCGTAAGTCCCTCTAAGATATATATACTTTTTGGCGGAAACCGATTGGAAAGGCAAATCTCGTGCGGCGTGAAACGGTTTGCTCTTCGAACTTCGAGTGCGAGCCAATCGAAATCGAGTTACGTGGCAACGTGCACGAAACGCATGGGGCTGTTTAGGTGCTCTCGCATCTATATACGGCATGCCCGTGTGGGGTGTCGTGGGCGGTAGTATGATCCAACGATCGCCACATCGTCCCACAAGGCGCCATTGACATTCATGTGTGGCGACTGGAAAGCGCCGACGACCGGACGAGATTTGTATCCGCGTGGGTGCGCGACTGAACCATGAAGCTATGATTGTGGTGTTGTCGGAATACTGGACCTCGTCGTGTGTCCTGGCTCGATCATCTCGCACGCCATTTCGACGGTCGAAAGCACGGAGAAATCGAAGGCGGTGACGTCGGCGGGTGGCCAGACACAGTCCTGTGACGAAACCACCGAAGCAAGTTCAGCGGCCTAGCACAACTCGTCCACGACGCTGACCGCAAAGACATCATCATGTATGAAGCAGGGTCGCCAGTCGCACCCCCATGTCGTCGTCTCGTCCAACTCTTGATCGGTCCGATGTGTGAGGAGGTCGTGCACGCTGCTGTTGTTCTCTTCCGTTCGACTGGCAACGACAACGACATCCCGGCCAACGAACCTGGTTACGTAGTAGCTTCTGTGTCTCGACATGCAGTCAGTCGTATTCGCTTAGATGAGTCGACGAATCGCCATCCGACGCGGTCGGCCACGGCGTCACGACCGCCGAAAGCAATTCATGTAAACGAATGGCAGAGTGGGACCGAGAAAAAGAAATTCGAACCAAATGATTCAAAAACTAAACAAACGGCCGCGTTCTTGAAGAACGCCGGCCACGTCGACTCTCTGTATTCTCCCTTTTCTTCTTCCTCGATCGACAACCACGATGCTTCGCTTCATGCCGCGGGAGCGGTCGCGCTCGGAAGGCGCGTCGGCGCCCGTCCGGACGCTGCGCCGGTGCGCGTCGCTCGAGCTCCGCCTCTGCTGCGTACCCGCCTGCCGCCGCTACGCTAAAGAAGCCGACGTCTGCCTTCTCCACAGCCGCGAGCGCACAACCCTTCGCCTGCTCCAGCCCGTGCGCGAGACGACCAATAGCGCAACAAGCGCCATCATGACGCCGTATGCGCAGCGCGACGCCTTCTCGTGGGCCGAGCCGTCCATGCATCCCACGCGCGCCAAGGACACGCCGCGCCAGCTCGACGACACCGCGCCCAACCGCAACGCGAGGTGCCGGGTCGCTTCGTGCACCTCGTATGCGCGCAACGGCGGCTGCTGCACGCGCCATGGCGGCGGGCGCAAGTGCCTCATGGAGCACTGCACGACACCGTCCCAAACCGGCGGGCTCTGCCGGCTCCACGGCGGCGGCACGCGCTGCAAGCTCGAGGGCTGCACCAAGTTTGCACGCGTCCGCGGCCTCTGCTCGGTGCACTTTCGCTTCGACGACGTCCAGGGGCATGTGAAACGCAAGGCGGCGGCGCGACGGACGACGTCGCCGTAGTTCGTCGTCGCGTATTTAATCTTATATATACCATGTAGCGAGCAAAGGAGTGTAATAATCGGTATAAGGTGCACGGGTGACTCAGATCGCGCAAACTGCAACTTGGCAAAGCGCCAGATTGCACTTGCCAGCTGGCAAAAGATACTTTATTTGATGCGGTCGTGCGTCTCCGCCACCCGTGCCCGGCAACGAGATGCCCATCCTCCTCTTCGTGCACGCCGGAATCGACCTGGTTCTGTAGGCACCCGGTGCGACGCTGCGCCTAGACCTGCCAATGCAACGAAACGCAGCAGCCGTCGTGATGCGTGCAGAAGGACCAGGAGTGCCACTTGAATCCGCGCTGCGTTGCGTGAGTCACAGGTGCGCGGACCGACCGACGGCCTCTTTTTCTTTTGCAATCGCCCGCGACGACACTCGCCAGCTGGCCGACGAGTCGCTGTAGCGATCACCCTGCCAAATCGAACCGTCTGTGCATCATGTCGGAACGAGCGTTGTTTGCAACGGGTGCAGCGTCCGCAGCTACTACGCACCGTTCATCCATGCAGGTTGAAGGTGGTTCTCGATTGATGGGTGCTAGTGCGACGGTGTCGAGGTCGCCGTACGACGTCGGAGGCGGTCCCGCAGAATGCGTCGCGTGGCGGCCGAGCACATGCGGTCGCGGTTCTTCTCTCTTCGGAGCGTGGGATGTAGCGACGGGTGCTGGCGACCCTCGGTGCCGACGTGCGTCGGCTGGTCGGCGGCGTGGCGAAGGCAGTGGCCGTGGACCTTGGCAAAGCGGGCGCAGCGCAGCGCCGCGCAGAGCACCCGGTCGTCGGACGCCATCGAGTTGAACTATGGAGCTGTGCATCGCCGTTTTGCAGCAACTTCGTAAGAATAGATGGTAGTATCCTGCCAACGCCGCCACTTTGCACTGGTCGTATTGTGTATTTATAAAAAAAGTATAAATAGTGGAGATACCAACTAAAATTGGACTGGAATCATTGTCTGTTGTCATCATTAGTAGTATACCGGTATTATTAGTAGTCGCCGTCGGCTTCGTAGTCGTCGCGGTGCGCGTGCGCCGCCGACCACGGGTCGTCCGAGTCTTTCAGGTGGCGGTCGTTGCGCTGCCACGCCTACATCGGAATGCATATATATATTCGGGTGGAGAGTGAGGCTCGAAGCGCGTACCGCCTGCCACTCGTCCGAGGCATCGGAGGCCGCGTCGTTGACGTCTTCGTCCGATGACTCTTCGTCCGGGTAGTCGTTAAAGACGTAGCCTTCGTCGTTTGAGTCGACGTCGTCCCTAACTAACCGTTCGCCCGACACGAGAAGAGAGGGAGGGATATGTACTCGTGCTGGTCGTCCTTGTCGCTGTCGCTCGCATCAAAATGCAGCTCGCGCTCCGCTGAATCCATGTCGCCTTGCGCCTCGTACATGAGCCACTTCTCGACCGAGGTGCTGACTAGACATAGGCATATCCTCAGCACGCAGCTACTTCAAGTCGATCCCATGCAAGAAAAGGTGGTACCTTCAACCACGGGAACGTTCTCGAGCTCGGCCGGCGCACTCAGCTGCTTGGTCGCCGAGAGGTCGATGCTGTACACGTCGTACACGTACTGCTTGTCGTCCTCGACGGCTTCGCACGCGCGCAGCGCCGTCGCCGCCGCTGCGTGGCCATGGTCCTCGGCAAAGTCGGCGGCGGTCTTGCCGTTGTAGTCCTGCAGCGCCACGTGCTTCTACAACGTCGCATGAGCGACGAGATGCGACCCAACGAAATGCCGCACCGAGTGGATCACGAGGAGGGCTTCGATGACGTCGGTGCGGTTGTGCATGGCGGCGGCCATGAGGATCGAGCCGCCGTCTGCCGGTCGCTGAACAAAAGCGGGTCAATGGACTTGGTCGCGCTCTGCTGCTGGAGGCTAAAGAACGCACTAAAGTCGTTGCGCTTGAACGCCGTCCAGATCGCTTCGTCAACTTGACGCTCCAGCGGGTTCATCACGCGCTTGAGCGCCTTGGCCTTGAGCTCGGCGCCGTTCACTGCAAGCGGTGTGCTGGCCGACGTCGTCTTTGTGGTCGTTGTCGGCAAGGCCACGTCGACGAGGTTGAGACCACGGCCCTTCGCAACGCGCTCGAGACTACACGGCCATCCGTTAGTGCGATAGGACGGTAGAGCGTCGCGACGTACCGCTTGTCCTTGCGCTGCTGCGCGAGATTGGAGCGGGACTCGAGCGTGGTCGCTGTCGTCTTCTTGGACCGGTCAAGATGATGCTTTTGCATCGTCTTGGCCAGTCGCTGGCGCATCTTGTCGTCTGTCGTACTCGCCATCGTGTCGATGCGGGTGAAGAGAATGACCGACACGGGTGCTGTCTCGGGCTCGGTCGTTGTCGTTGTCGCCGAAGGATCCGGCTTGAGCGACAGGCTCTCGAGAGCATCTTCGAGCTTGGACTTCTTCAGAAGCACTTGGTGGTGGGAGTGTACGACGAGGCGCTCGACGGGGTCGTCCGTGCGCTTGCGCTTGATACGCAGGAGGACGCGCTGCTGCTGCTCGGTGGTCATCGCGCCGGGCCTTTCCGTCTGCTTGTGGCACACCAACAAACTCATTGCAACCGGATATCCGGATAGATGTCCGGATGCGGTGTTATAGTGGGCATGTGCCACGAATAAGGCTCGGGTGTCGGCCGTGTGGTAGCATGAACGATCCAAGACGAGCACAAGGGTGTCGATTGGCACCAGTACTTTGCGCTGCTGTTGTGTGTCGTCGTCTGGTGCGCACGACGGTCGAATGGCCTTGTGTAGCGATATGTGCCGAATATAATTAAGTGCCGAATTTAAATGCGACCCACCGTTGATGATGTAACTGTGCAATCCTCGGATCGATATGGCGGACGAAGGGCGAGCAGAGGCAGCGGCCGACGACGACGGCAACGAAGGCGACATTGACGACGATTCAGACTTCGTCGGCGACGACGACGACGGCGTGGACGACGACGACGACGAAGACGACGTGGGCCGCCATGTGGAGCGCGACGTGGCCGAGAACGTCGACGAGATCGGCGGGTCGACCGTGGCCGAGATGGAGCAGCGCCTCGCCCGGCACGCGAAACTCGGCGACGAAGGCGATGGCTTTGATGCCGAGTGGGCGGCCAACTACGTGGCCAAGGCGCGCCAGTGGAAGGCGACGCATGGCACCGACATTGACACCAACGTCCGCGGCGTCGCACCATCGCCCGAGGTGGGCGGTCCCGTGCTGCCCGTACGTTGGCACCACGTGCTGAGCCTTATCTTTCTCGGTCTCGCCATTAGCGTCCAAGTGTACATGGTCTTTGGCTAAGGTGCGACGCGTCTACCACGCTGCAGCAACACGCTGCCCATCGATCGACGATCTCTCATGCGACGTAGCTAGCACACGTGTCATCACAAGCTGTGCAGTTGTTATATGCATGTCAGCCTTCTTGCTCGTGTTTTCAAAGCTTTCTAGCGACGACAGGCGATGAGGGATCTGTCGTCGACACAGTTCTCGCTACCAGCTCCTCCTCGTCAACAAGGACGTGGCGGCAGGACAGAGACCCTCGTTGCTTCCTGCTCTGTCGATAGCAAACATCACATGCACTTGAACAACACTTATTGCACGCTTCGGAGAACGACGACGGGATAAATAGACGTGTGCTCACACTGCTGGTCGCAGCGACGAGGTGCCGAGCAGCGGCATCGCGTGTAGCACAAAAAACAGGGTGCCCAAAAGCACAAGCAGCAGCACGTGAAGCACACCGGCGGTGCGACTGGACCGGCCGTGCTGCTTGAGGACTTGCACGTCGTGCTTCTGGCTCGGCAAGAGCCCGAGGATCGCCAGACCGGCGACGCGGACTGCCACCGCCGGTAAGTACGCGCTCCGCAGAACGTCGACGCGGCGCGCCGATGTCTCATGGACGACGAGGCGTGAGACGAGCGTCGCGGCGTCGACGCCCATGTCGGCCCACGTGCTCACGACGCTAATGACAAGGGCCTCGTTGCCAAAGTCGGCGAGCTCGACGGCGCTGGCGGCGATTGCAATCGAGCGCAGCGCAAGCGGCACCTGCGCGAGGGCGTCGCCGACAAGGCGCACGTAGCTGGCGCCAGCGACGTCGTAGACGACGAGCAGCGTCGTGCTGACATCGAGGGCCACGATCAGTAGCGTGTTGAGAGCGATCGCGGCGCGCCAGTTGCAGCAAAGACAGTAGGTCGCCCAAAACCACAGCGCGCCGGCTGCGGCAAGGACACCGCATGACGTTAGGACCGTCGTGACGGCCAGTGACGGCAGGGTCGTCGCCGATGCTGGCGGCCCAGAGGCCGCACCAAAGTAAAACGACGCGTCGATCGCGAGCCGAAAGACACATATGTGTGTCATGACGTGGCGCTGCGGCAGCCGCCACGCACTGCGCACGTAACCGGGCAGCGTGACCGCCGCCGGGTACGCGGGCTCGACGACGAGGCAGGCGGCAGCGACGAGACAGATGCCCGAGATCCACGTCAAGAGCGCGTACGTCATATTGGGCGAGACACCGAACGAGTAGTCGCCACCGATCGCCTTGTCTTGGAGTCCGAGGCCGCAAAAGACCGAGGGCACGATGTCACCGGCGACGCGGCTGCAGAAGAGCATTGCCTGCGTGCGCCCGCGCTCCTCGACAGGCTCGCGCTGGGCGTAGTGGACCATGACGGCGTCGATGGCGACGGTGACAAGGACGCAGGCGAGGCCCGCGAGGAGTGTCATGCCTAAAAAGAGGGACGGTGGCGACGAAGACGGCGCGGGCAACGGGACGGTCGCCATCGTCAAGCACGCCGCGCCACCGACGGTCCAGCCGAGCAGCATGTACGCCTTGCGCCGTGTCTGCCATAGCGGAAAGCAGTCGGAGACGACGCCAAAGAAGATGCGGCACGAGTACCCGAGGTGCACACACGTGGTGTACGTCGCGGGTTCGAGGCCGAGATGCCGCGTGTAGAAGGTCGGGCCGAGCCGCGCGAGCACGCCGAGAACGATGCTGAGCCCGATCGTCTGGAGCACAAGACCAAAGAAAGGGCGCGTGGAGAGCGCGATGGGTCCGCCCGGCAGGAGCGCGCCGTCGTCGGCGTCGACGCGTGCGATCGTGGGCTCGGGCACGGCAAAGTGGATGCGGCGCGCGTAGTAGCGCTCGTCCTCGAGGATGATGTCGGACGCGGTCGAGCTGAGCTTGGGCGCCGTGTCGCGCCAGAGCGACGACGCTCGGCTGAACGAGATCGACATGACGACACGACGATGTCTGGTCGCGGAATGCCATCAACGAGTCGAGTACACATGTACTACTGCTGGGTGCGAAATCACCCAACCCTGCCCACGTACACCTAGCCGAGCGGTCGTGAGGTACCCTTGTCAACACAAGCTGCAGCCTCAACTCTCTTACAACCCGTAACTAGAGACGACTCGGCGGTACCGAAGCAGGGACTTGAGCGAGTCGAAGAGCGGAGGTTGGTCGTTCCGGCCGCGACGTGGCAAAAACCCGCCACTTGTGCCGCGTCTCTGATTGGCTGCTGGACGAGCACCAATCATAAGTCGCGTTGGGTGCCGTACACCGGTGCACCGTTGTACTCGACGCCGCAGTCGACGCAGTGGAGGACGTGCTCGAGTAGATTCCGCACCGACTAGCGCGAGCCTTGCGGAATGCCAAACGTCTTGATGATGCATTGGATTGTACCCTTCCGGCCGCTCCATTCGACCGGCCGAGGAGCATGAAGCGCATGCTCGTTGTAGTACGCTAGCGCCACCCGTCGAGAGCGATCGGAGAAGAGGGTGCTGCTGCTCGACGCGCTCGGCCCCACGACTGGAGCTGGCGGCGCGGTGGGAGCTGGCGACGCGACTGGTGCTGGCAGCGCGATGGGAGCTGGCAGCGCGAGATCGGCCTTAGCACTGATTCTCTTCTAGCCCTTCCTCGTCGAGAGCCTTTTGCTTAGCGGCGTCGCCTTGCGCTTGGGGACTCGCCCAACCTCAAAGCCCATTTGGAAACTGCTTGCTTTTTGCGGCCATTTTGAAATCAACTCACAGAATAGAAATTCGACGAATAAAAATTTCTTTTGAAATATCAAGAGCTTCATAGGATTACACATCAAAATTCCCGCGTCTACTTTGAAATTCGTGTAGTGTAAAAGCTTTGACGAGTCCTTGCTGCAGCATGGAGTAGAAAGCGATCTCTCTCTCTCTTCTCCATGGACGATGCGCGAGGTGGTATAATACCTCTCCGCGCAGCTCGAGAAATATGACTCGAGATGTTGTTGCGAGCGTGACAATAATCTGTGTCCATTCGAGTACCCTACGTACCACGTGTGCAAAGCAGCAATCACTTGCATCGTGCTGGCAGCGGTCGGCCGCAGATGCATCCATTCCACAAGACAAGCACGCAAGCACCAGGCATGAGAAGCATCATATTACAGGAAGAGCGCACTTCGTTGGAGCTCGAGGAGGTTGTGCAAGACCATCTCGGACGTCGTGCCAATGCAGCGGGCGAGCTCTCGCTGCGCGACATAGTCGAGGTCGATGAAGCGCCCGATCACCGCCATGTCCAGAAACGCCTTCTTGGCCTTCCAGCTGCACCACGCGTCCGGCCGACCGGTTTGGCGCGTGTGCGGCGCCTGGCGAAACTCGCGCGGGTTCAAACCCGCGTTGTGCGGCAGCGCGTTGATCATGATGCTCTGCAGCGTGTACAAGCGGCGAAAGGTCTTTTCGTGGACCGGCGTGAGCACGCCGAGGCTGCCTTCCGACGTCGCCAGCAGCGTCACATACGTCGTCACCTTGGACTCAAAGAGGCGTTTCCGAAGCATGCTCGTGACGCGGGCGCCAATGTGAAAGTCGGCCGTCCGAAGCAAGCGCTGGCCACCGCGCGACTCGATGTTGCCGGGCGCAAACTGCATCGTGTGGACGTTCGAGAGCATGTCGGCGGCCACAATCCTACGTCAAATTGTGTGTTGCGCACACGAAAATGGCAAAAATCGATACCCGAGACGCGTGTCAAGCACCGAGACGTCGGCGGTCGAGAGCGCGAGGTGCTCGAAGTCCTTTGCCAGAAGCACGAGTCGCTTCTCGGTCGGGCTCCACTTGAGAAAGTACACGCCCTTGTAAATGTCGCCGTACACGATGTACGTGGCCTTGATCACGTTGAGGCTCACAATGTAGAGCTGCGCGTCAAAGAAGGCGCAGCCCACGAGCTGGCTGTTCTTGAGCTCGTACACGATGAGCTTGGAGCCGACGGCCGCAAGCACGTAGATGCCGAGCTGCTTGACCATCGAGATCGCGCCTTGCTTGTGCTCTTTGGCGTACGTGAGCTTGAGCTTCGGCACCTTGCTGCCCGTGACACCTTGCACGTTCGTGTACTGCGCATAGTCAATCTCGTACACCAAGAGCCGGCCTTTCCCGTTCTCGTCTTCGCCGTTCGGACCGACGATACCCGTGCCAATGACCACGTACGGCTTGCGTTTGATCTTCCAGTCGGCCGGAAGGATGTTGGGCATGTCGGCCAAGTACATGATCTGGACGCTCAGCACGGTCTCGTGGCGCTCAAACGGCAGCGAGAAGACACCCTCCGGCTTCCACTCGCACGCCGCGCTGTGCTGAATGAGCCGCAGTTCGTACTGCTCTTCCATGACCCCTACACGCCATGTAAAGCATAGAAGACTCGGCATCTTCAACGACAATTGTGTACCTGTAAAGTCGGCGTACGTGAGGTTGTCGAGGATCTCGCCCGGCTTGGGCGCCGTGTACCCGTCGTCTTCGGCGTCGACCACGTCCTCGACCTTTTCATCTATGCAATATAGTGTCGTTCAAGACACGATTTACACTACTTTTGAGACGTGTACCTTCTTCGAACGGTGGCACAATCGACTTGGAGAGAACGACCGCATACGTGGGTGTCTTGAGCGCCTCTTGCACGGCGCTAGCCCCCGTGCACGGCACATGCACCACGTGATGGATGCTGGACCCCAACGGGACCTTTTGCAGCACACACTGGCCGTTGCCGACGACGGTCGCGTTCGCAGGCCACTCGCAGACGCGGAGGACGCCGTCCGAGTGGTAGTACATAAAGCCTTGGGGGCAGTTCCAGTGTTGGAATTCCGTCCAGCCGAGCACCGGCACCGCGCTGCGTCGCGAGGTCGGGACCGCCATCGGCGTGAGCCCGACGCGGCCGCGGGCGTTGTGGACCCACATGGGCGAGACGCCGCGGAAGAAGATGCCGCTGTGGCCGCCGACGTTGCTGTACCGACAGAGCATAGGGTACCGGAAGAGCTTGAGCGCTTGCTTGACATGCACGGCGGTGGTCTCCTTCTTGAGCGCGAGGCCGCGCGTGATGCACTGCGCATGCTGCTTGGCAAAGCTCCCGTCACGGCTCGCCGCGTACAGAATGAGGTCGCCGTTGGCCATGTACACGACGAGCACCATCTGGGCCACGAGCTGGCCGTTCCGCGCGTCGGATGGCCCGACCCGGTGGATGTTGAGGTCCGCGATCGGCGAGTAGAGCGCTGTCTTGCGCGTCGCCTCCGTCGGCGTCAAGCCCACGGGCGGAAACGCAGTTGGCATCTCGACGACGTTGAGAAGGCTCTGCGGCGCCAAGTGCAGCCCCGGGTAGCTCGCGACGAGCTCAAAGTCGGGCAGCGCGTAGATGTTGAGCGTGCCCGAGTCGTCGCAGACCGCGCAAAAGATGGGTTTCGTCGCACTCGCTTCCGAGAGCATCGGCGTCGCAGCGTACGCAGCAGCTTCGACGTGCGTCGTGGCCGTGTGCATGGCCGACACGTTGTAAATCTCTTCGAGCTCTTCTTCTTCCGCGACGAGCCGGTCGATCGTATCGTTCTCGTCGTCCTCCATCGCAATGTCGTCGGACGGCGTGACAGTCGCGGCCCGGGGCGCAAACACTTCGGACCAGTCGTGAAACAAACAGAGCGCGGTAATGTTGGACTCGGTCGACGACATGTGCACTTGCGGGTGCACGACTGTAAGGTCCATGTCGCGTGCGTCTGCTGCGACGAGGCGAATCGAGCCGTCGCTGAGCAGCAAGACAAGGTACGGGTCGAGGACATCGACGGCAACCACGACGATGCTTTCGTCGACGCCCAGGCCGCCGCAGTCGAGGTCCGCGTCCAGAGGAATCTCCTGTGTGCACTCCAAGACACCGTCCGCGGTCTCTTCCAAGAGCCGAATGCCGAGCTTGAACACTTGGACAATTCGCTGATGCGAGAGCAAATTGGCCATTGCGAGCGTCGGGCCCTCGAGGTACATGCCGCAGCTCGCCTCGTCCTCGATCGGCTCCATCTCGTCGCCCGTCTTGAGGATCATCGTCTTGCTCTTGAGCGAGAGCACGACGTACTTGTGCGCGGTCGGGTCGTGACCGTCCGTAGCGTCCGGTCGTCCGTAGATGGTCCAGAGCATGCGACACCCGTCGAGCTCGGCTTCAGTGCTCACGACCGGGCGAATGCCCCGGTGTACGACCGAGAGCGACGAGCGGTGCAGGAAACCACCACCCAGCACGAGCTCATCGCGGGGCACGGTAGTCGTCTCCTCGTCTTCTTCGAGGTCCAAGCCCATGTCCATGGCCGTCACCTGGCCAATGCTCGCCAGCTCGTCAACAATGCGCACCGTGTAGGATGGAAACGCCTTGGCCAATAGAGCCGCCATCGACTCTTTGGACGCGGACGCGTCGGCGGCCGACGACGGCGCGTCCAGCAGACGCCCGTAGAGATAGATCTCTTCGCCGTCCGAGTCCAAGTCGTCGGGCACGGGCACAGGCGCCGCCTCGACCTCGGGCTGTGCACTGCTTGCATCTACTACGTGGGCGCACATGAGTCCATCTGTCGGATTCGTCCCGCAGGTACCTTGGGCAGGGGTTTGTAAAACGTCATTGGTGTACGTGAGGAGCTGCGAGTTGCCGTCGCGCGTGCCCAAGAAGATCATTTGGGTCGTCGGGTCGACTGCCAGCGACGTGCACGTTGTGAACGTGTCGCTGCACAGCGGCCGCAGCATCATTTGACAGACCGCGTTGCCGTAGTAGCCGGTTTGCCGCAGACTCTTGTGGCTCGGGAGCGAGAGCACGTAGAGCTTCCCGTTGGCGAGCGACACGAGCATCTCGTCGATCGCGTGGAACGGCGAGAGGCGCGCGTTCGTTAGGAGGAGCGACTCGTCCGGCAAGAGCAGCGACCGATGCAGTGGCAACTTGGTCGCGTCCATGATCGAGGCCGCGATCGAGTTGGTCGCGAGGCCAAAGTACTGGTTCTGGTTGAAGTATAAGAACGCGTTCTGGGTCGTAATGACCGCGCCACCGAGCGGCGCGGGACAGGCCGTGACGGCGCTCGCATCCGACGGCAGCTGCAAGATGGACCAGATCTTCGGATGCATCCTAGCGCATGCCATGAGCCATTGTCGCGCAGAGACAGGCTAGGAGGAGGAGATATGCACCCGGTTGCGAGGTTGATCGAAAGCACGGTGAGGCAGCACGTGTTGTAGCCCATGGCGTAGCGTCCGACGGTCGCTTGCTTGTCGCTCTCTTCGTGGAGCACCATGAGCGTCGGCTCGAGGTACCCGTCGAGGAACGCCATGTCGATGACCTTGCCGTGGATACCAATCTCCTTGAGACGCAGAATGAAGGCGCGCCCGGCAACCGTGTTGAGGCCAAACGTCGCCAGCGTCGACGCGTACTGCTCGGCGCGCGCACGGTCCTCGAGCTTGAGGCTCGGGTCTTCGTAGTTGGTCTCGTCGTCTTCGTCGTCGTCGTCAATGACGTTGGCGGTCGCTGCATTGTCGTCGAGCGGCAGCAAGACCACTTGGTCGCTGTACAGCAAGAGGCCCATGCAACGGTTGTCCGGGTCGGCCTTGGCGATCGGGACGCTGGCGAGGCCCTGGAATTGCGTGCGGCCGAGGCGGTCGCCTTGCAGCGCCGTGCCAAGACCCATGCCATCTTCTTCAAAGTTGTGCAGCGACATGGTCACGAGCGAAGCCGTCTCGCTGTCAAAGCGCACGAGCACGAGCTTGGCCGAGGCGAACGTCAGCGCCAAGCACGGACACGTCTTCTTCTTGACGTACACGAGGTTCGCCGACTCGGCCACACCTGCAAGCGGAAAGCTGTGCAGTAAATGCAAGACGACCGCGTCAGTGGCGGCCACCGCGGTCTCGAGCCGGTACACGTCCAGCCGCTGGGCGTACACGACGAGCAGGTCCGAGACGCCCGGCGAGACGAAGGGTCCCATGAGGCTGAAGAGCACGCCCGTGCTCTGGACGAGGTCGCTGTGGCAGAGGAAGTGCTGCGAGTGCGACATCGGTCCCGGCGCCGCAACCAAATCTCTGGTTTAGTGGTCGTGGCAATACCGTGACAGATGATACCATCGGATATGCGTTGTCAGAGGTTTTGCAGCCGTAGACACAGTAATGTCTCGGTCGACACGAAAGCCGCCGCAGACAATATGTACATTGCTAAACGATACCACGAGTCGCGACGTTGAATGTAGGACGAGAAAGGCGGCGCGTGGACGCAGCGAAATATGGGCGCTATTTAGCACCTTTCCTTGTAGTCATGGCCGCCTTCGTAACTTCTCCGATCGACCTGGAATAGCTAGCTACTTGGTATACAGACAATATCTTCCATACGACTACGTAGCAGCCGACTGCATCTAGGTGGGAATCGCGTTCAAGCGACGACCAAAAAAATTACTACGTAGTACGTTGGTGTAGAGGTGTTTGGTGCGAGTGCTACTAAAAGGCAACTAAAGGCAACTAAAGGCCACTAAAGGCCACTAAAGGCCACTAAAAGCAACTAAAAGGAAGAGGGAATTATGGTTTGTGCGATGAATAACGTCTGCTGGCTTTGGACTTGTTGTGTGGCGACTCGATTCCATCGATATCCTTTGGATTGTTCCACCCGAATACGGGACACACAAACTGACAGCGCCCAAACGTGATGCTATGAAATGGATTGAAATCTTTCAACCGACTCAAGACTCCACCTACCAAGACTTAAGATGTATGTTGAACGTCGGCGGCCAAAAGCTCTTCAACGTGCTGGACTTCACCGGCCGGCAATACGTCATGCCGTCCGTCGTCGGGATGCGCGTGCGAGGTACCGTCGTTAGGTGCGAGCTTGGACAAATGACCTGTGGCTTGGTTGAACTCGCGAGGGGTCGACCAAACGTTAAGATAGCCGCACGATGGTTCGCGGACCAGCGCCGGACGCACCCACTCTCCCGCACGTCTTCGAAGCGATCGCTTTAGTCCGTTGCTACATTATAGACAAGTTGTTGCTAGCTGTGGCTCCGACGTCTGGCTGCGCGCTATGATGTGAGCGTGATGGATCTTTCGTAACCGGTGTGGGCATCAGTGTAACCGGCTGGCTAACCGAACTTATCGGAACGCCAATCATGAGCATGATGCGTAAGCGCGGCGCCATTTCATAATCGACAACCAGGATGCTTCGTCGACCGGCGACGGTTGGTCGCTGGCTTCGGCAGGCGTCGTCGACCGCGTTCCCAGCGTACGGGTCCATTGGCGGCGCATACACACTCGCCAACGGCCACGACGTGCACTATACATGCCACGGGCCGTCCACAGCAGCGGCGACGGTGGTCCTCCTGCATGGCGCACCCGGGTCGTTCAAGGACTTCAAGTACCTCGCGCCGCTGCTCGTCGAGACGCTGCCGCAGCTCAACGTTCTTGCACTCGACTTGCCTGGGAACGGCCGCACAAGCGGCGATGCAGCCGGCGGTCAAGCGCACATGTCGTCCGAGACGGTGGCGACAGCGGCCACCGAAGCCGTCAATGGTCTGCTGCGTGACAACCAGCCGGTAATTTTGCTCGGGCACTCGTTCGGCGGCCACACGGCCATGCAAGTGGCGGCAGCTACGAGCCGGGATGTGCGCGGCCTCGTGCTTCTCAACTCGGTCGGCCTCGACCGGCGCCCGTACGAACGGTTTGCCGCGCCGTTTTCTCGCCTCCTCCGCACCGACGGGCTCCTTCGCGAGCTCGTGATCGCCGTCAACCACTGGCGCTACATGAACATATTCAAGTTTCCAAAGAAGACGCCAATGGACGACTTGACCTTTGCGCTGCAGCGCCTTGGGTCGAGCGACTTTGACGCGATTGACGCTTGCGTGACGCATCTCCGCGCCAAGCAGCTGCCAAGCATTGTCGCGTATGCGATGGACGATATTGTCGTGCGACCCAACGTCGGACTCGAATTGAGCGAGCGCCTCGCGGCCGACGTGCACCTGGCGTACCCCGTCGGTGGCCACAACTTGCAGAAAACCCAAGTGAAGGATGTTGTCGCGAATGTCGCGACGTGGATCACGACCCGCCTCGGACTTTAAGACAACACAATACGACAGAAATGGTGTACATATTGTCGTTGTTACCGATGGACCTTGACCTCATACGGTCGTCGTGGCGGCCATGTTCGTAGCAATTGTAATATGGGGCTAGTCTGCCTGGCGATTTGAGAGCCGTCGAGCCGCCTTTTGTGGGGTATAGCTCATAGATCTTAGATTTATTTTGCAAAGCTAGTCTTTTGAGAGTCTGGCGTATCGTTTGTGTGGTGTACTCGAGTACTAATAGGGATGGAGGCTCACGCGTCTGTGCTTTTACGAGAGACTGACGCAATGATAGCACCGACACGGGCCCAAGGGCCACGAACTGTTCGCTATGTCATCCGTTTAAATTGGCCCGACAAGAGAGGTTGACATTGGGCGTTAAAGTGGATGGAGGCAGCGACGTGGCCATCCTCAGTGGGCTCCACTGTGACTACACTTGGGAAAGGACATGTCACAAAGTACGCTGACGGTGCAAGGCGCTCGAATAGCAAGCAGTAAATCACAAAGCGTTGAAAGAAACACACTTGGTTCCGGAGTGAGCACTGGGACTCGACGGCGACCGTTGGAGATGTCACCGTTGGCGATGTCCGGATAATGCGTGCATCAAAGCGTGCCAGCTCGCCGTCATCCGGATTCAGAAATCGAATCCAGCAGCGCTCGAGTTGCTGCAAGTGTCATTCTCCAACAAGCCATGGAAGTGATGGACGACGTCAAGAAGGCAAAGAAGCGCATTGCCGACAAGAAGTACCGCGCTTCCCACAAGGAGAAGCTCGCGGCCAAGAAGAAGGAGTACGTCGCTGCCAACAAGGAGAAGGTTGCAGCCAAGGACAAGGCGTACCGCGCTGTCAATGCAGAAAAAGTGCGCATCCGCAAGAAGAAGTACTACGATGCCAACAAGGAAGGACTAGCAGCGAAGATGAAGGAATACCACCAAAGACGAAGGTCGTTCGCCTGGTGCAGTACAAGGCGTGGCGCAAGGCGAATTCGGCGTACAAAAACGCATACCAGCAAGCTATGTACGATGTCCTTGCGATCAAACCGAGTGGTTTTCTCATGTCATTTTCCTAGACGGGCGCGAAAGAAGGCGATTGCGGCCGGCGAGATTCCGCCGCCAAAGCCCAAACTCGCCGACTTCCGAGCTCAACACAACGCCACTGGCAGCGTCGCTCCGGCTGCGTCGACGGATGCGGCTCCAGACGACCTCCTTGACGAAGACGATGACGAGGATTCTCATCCCTTGGTCGCCACCACCAAGAAGGTTGTCATGGTCAGCTTCACGGACGAGCATCCGTTCAACATGCGCAAGCGTGGGCCGGAGCCGTGCTGTGACGAGTGCGCGCTCTTTCAGCCCAATGCGCTGACCTCGGCCACCAACACGGTGCTCTTGGCGGGCACGTACATGTGTACGTTCTGCCGCGACTGGACCTACTACCGTCTCCACCGCAAGCACAAGCGCACCCGCGCCGACGCCCGCCTCGACGCTCTCACGACCTGAGCTTTCCATCTCTTTGTATTTTGCATAATGAAGTGTGTTCTATCGCTCGAGTACTGCTTTGTACGCACATCATTAGCAGCATTCTATCGGGATAGAGTCGTAACTCACGTGCAGAAGGACCTTTGTCGACTTACTGGTGCGTCATTTGAAGGCAATCGAGGTATTGCCTCTGCCAGAGAGCACCTCCGTCCATGCTTCAAAAGATCTGCGATGCACGCTCCTCACCAGTGTAAAGTACCACGCGATCGGCGCTGCTTAGCTTCCAAGGGTCAGCTGCATCGACGCATGTGCTGCCTTCGCTAGAGATAGGTGCGCACGGGGTGAAGCATAACACAGTTAGAGCTACATAACATAGTGCTTACTCGTTCGAGACGCCAATCCCTCACCTATCCACGCCTAGCATTCCAAGAAGGTCTCGTAAAAGACCTCGGAGGTTGGTAATTCCAAGGACTTGGTATCTATTCACGAGCACCTCTCTTTCCATTGAATGATGAGCTACGGTGATCCGAGCGCTTCGCTCCACGTGGCCAATGCCGCAACGAGGTCGGCGGCCTGCATCTTTGAATGTTGTGGCCGCCCGAAGCATACTCCTTGCGAACATTGGCGCTCAGTGCGTCGCTGAGCTCGCGCGACACTTCCTTCTCGACAAGGGCATCGTCGACGGCCCACGCGGCGAAGATTGGGAACTCGCGCGCTCGAAGCTCGGCAGCAAAGACGTTGGTGTTGTCAAAGTTGGCGGTCCCGAACCGCTGCAGCGCATACGTGAGGTCATCAAGCGGCGTCCGGCGCGGGAACTTGTAGACCTCGATAAAGAGCCAGTGGTTGGCCTTGGCGACGAGGTCCCGTGCGAGGCCTTCCGCGTACAGCCGCTTCGCCATCCAGTTCATGACACCAAAGGGCCGGATCCCCTGGTGCGGCCGGAGCCCCATCGAGTTTAGCAGCACGAGGCCGTCCACGTGCTTGGCGCGCGCAGCGACTTGGATCGCAGTGTGCCCGCCGCACGAGTGGCCCAGCACGATGCGTCGGCGGCCGGTGCGAAGGCCGTCCATGGCTTCGACGGCCGCGGCGTTGACCGTGTCCGCGCTGAGACCCGGGATGCCGCCAGCGGCGGCCGCCGGCGTGAATCCATTGCCTGGCATGTCGAACGCAACGACGTTGGCGTTCGTCTCGGCGAGCAGCGGCGCGAGGTACTTGAAGTCCTTGTGCGACCCGGGCGCGCCGTGGAAGAGGACGTACGTGGTCTCGGCGTTTGCTGGGCCGTGCGTAAAGTAGTGCAGCGGGTGGCCGTTGGCGAGCGTGTACGTGGCCTGGACCGAGCCAAAGGCCGGCGTCGAGTATGCGCGGGCGGCGGCGACGCGCAGCGCCAGGCGACGGGCAGGCTGCATCTTGCGATCTGCCAAACTCCGGATCGGCGGCCTGTGATTCGTAATTGCAAAACCCTGCATCAACATCTTCTTACGGAATGGCATATGGTGTTTGTTTGTCGTGTACAAGATGATGTTGACGGAAACGTTGTGTAAACGTCGGGTAGGAGAGCACGGATGCGGTCGGTGGTGCAGTGGGAAGGCGGCGTTTTTATGCACAAGCGTCACATGCATACGCAGCTGTCAAATGACAGTGTGTACACGTGGGGATCCAACTGCAATGTACTATCAAGTAAAACATCGACCGCTGCTGGAAAACTACCACGCGCGGTGATTTTCATTCAAGCGGCTACATGGGCCGTGCCCTTGTCTGATGCGGGCACTGCGCGTGCGATTCTTGGTGGTGACAGCTTTGCGCTAAGATCTAATACGACCTCTCGTACTCTAGCGTGCACAAGATCTAGATACAAGAGCATTCAGTATTTAGCGCACCGCCTTTGTCATGCCAGCGCCGACTGGGTTACTCGTAGCCAGCATTGACCGTTGGGTGTATCCAATGTGCTTTGGGATCTGGACACAACGCACAGCACTTCAAGATGACGGCGCCTTCGAGATGCGATGCGAAGCCATGCGAACATGGTCGCAGTGCACCAGCCGGGGGGCGACTGGCGTGGAAGTGAGTCAGCCACGCATACTTTCCACATACTATACCTCAATCTTTGGCAGACAAATCGGTCGACAACTAGAGAATGGCAACCCATGGGTTGTTTGGTTCGAACGAGGGTCATGGGGTTGTTCAGATCACACCTCCCAGCCGAACGCACCTGAAATCAATCGACAAACATGTCATGCACCAGCAACGGAGAGTACTACGTAGCTCAGCCCTTGTACCCACTGCGCCGACCTAGCACAACTCGGTGCTACAATGACGTCAGAGCATAGGCATTTCGCGTTACTTCTGTACGAGCTATATAGTTGTATGGACTATCCATTGTAAAACGTTTCTGTGATGGGTCCGACGTGCCTCGTAGTACCTGTTTCACGGCGCATACGCCGTCGACGTCGCTTCCAGAAGCCATCGGGAACTATGACGCGCCAAACCTGGCGCCTCTTGCGTCAACCGGATCGCCACCACCTGGCGAAAATCATTTTAGCCAATCAACGTGATGGATTCCGGAGGTAGCCAATCACGTGCCGACCTTAGCTGGCCGAGCTTGTGTCATTTTGCCTTTCGCACCGACCCCAACGATGCTCTCACGCCGCCTCCGCCCCAAGGTCGTGGCTCGGACCCGCGCCGGCTTCGCGTCTCGCGCGGGCCTCGCGCAGATCGGCAGCCAGACGGTCCTCGACCAGTCGCTGCCCAACGCTGTGACGTCGTCGCTCCACGCGCCGATCATCCAAGTGTTTGGTGCCAACACGGACGTCGGCAAGACCGTGGTCGCCGCCGGTCTCTGCCGCGCGGCGCTCCAATCGTCCTCGTCTGCGACCGTGGGCTACATCAAGCCGCTGCAGACGGGCGGTGACTCGATGCTCGACGCTGGCTTTCTCTCGCGTCATACGAACGACGTCGAGAAGCGCTTGACGAGCCACACGCTCTTCTCGTGGGAGACCGCCGTCTCGCCGCATTTGGCCGCGTCCCTCGAAAAGAAGGCAGTCGATGACGCGATGGTCGTCACGAAGCTCAGCAAGACGCTGCGCGAGCTGCAGGCCAACGCCGCGGCGTCGGCGTTGACGGTCGTCGAGACCGCCGGTGGCGTCTGCAGGTTGGTCGGCTTAGCCGCCATACGCTTTTTCTCATGCTTATTTCTCTAGTCCCTCGGCGAGTGGCAAGCTGCAGTGCGACGTCTACCGGCCGCTGCGCCTTCCGGCCGTGCTTGTCGGCGACGGCCGCCTCGGCGGCATCTCAGCCACCATGTCGGCACTCGACTCGCTCCTGCTGCGCGTACGGCACTGCTTTGTATCGTTTGACGCTCACTTTGTGCGTTAGGGCTATGACGTATCGTGTATTGTCCTCATCGAACAAGACAACTTGAGCAACGCCGATGCGATCGCGGAGCGCGCGACCGAGCTCGGGATCCCGATTTTTGCACTCGACAAGCTCCCGCCGCAGCCCGAGCCGCTCACCGCGTGGTACACCAAGTCGGATGCTGCGTTTCGCGCCGTCTACGACAGCATCGCGACAACGCACGCCGCGCGCGTCGATCGGCTGCGCGCCCTGCCCGCCATCGCCAAAGACGTACCTTTTTGTTGTTTTTGTGGACAATGTGTCTCATATGTCGTAGACACTCTGGTGGCCGTTCACACAGCACAAGAGCAACAAGGGCGTGCTGGTCATCGACTCGGCGTACGGTGACACGTTTGCGACGTACAATGACAAGACGGCGTCGATCGAGCCCATGTATGACGCCTGCGCGTCCTGGTGGACGCAGGGTGTTGGACATGGCAACGCCAAGATGGCGCTGTCGCTGGCCACGGCAGCCGGCCGGTACTTATCCGTTGCTTTGCATCAATGTATCAATTGCGGTGCAACGGTAGGTACGGCCATGTGATGTTTCCCGAAAACGCACACGAACCGGCAGTCGTGCTCTCGGAGAAGCTCCTCGCATCGGTCGGAAAGGGCTGGGCCGGCAAAGTCTTCTTTTCGGACGACGGGTCCACGGCTGTCGAGATTGGTATCAAGATGGTATATTGATACTCTTTCGAAACCCGATTTCCTCATGCTGATACCCTAGGCGCTGCGCAAGTACGCGGTGGACCACGGTTTGAGCATGTCGTTTGAAGGCGTTCAGAACGTTCTCGTGCTCGCCCAAGCCGGCTGCTACCACGGCGACACGCTCGGCGCCATGGACGTGGCCGAGCCGAGCGTCTACAACGCTACTCAGCACCCTTGGTATCTAGTACTTTTTTTCCGAATGGAACCAAGTCGCTCACGCGATGGACCGTAGGTACAAGCCCAAGGCGCGCTTTGTGCAGCCGCCGTCCGTCACCGTGGCTTCAAATGGCCACATGCGCATCACGTGGGATGACGTCAATCCTTCGTTGGAGACGCAGCTGCCGACGATGAACGATGTTTTTGACATTTCCCGCGACGGATCTGCGCTCACGGCGGCGTATACCGACTACATCGAGTCGCTCCTCGCGTCTGTTCCGTCCGACACGGTCATTGGCGCCCTCATCCTCGAGCCCGTGCTCATCGGCGCCGGTACCCTACCCCTGCAAGTCGATTGCCTTGCGTTTGACACTATGTACCATATCTAGGGGGCATGGTGCTTGTGGACCCGCTCTTCCAGCGCACCATGGTGCGCGTGTGCCAGCGCCACAAGATCCCGGTCGTCTTTGACGAAGTGTTTAGCGGCTTCTGGCGTCTCGGCGCCGAGTCGGCCCGCGACCTTTTGCACGTGAACCCGGACATTGCCTGCTACGCCAAGCTCCTCACGGGCGGCGCAGTCCCGCTCTCGACGACGCTGGCCACGAACGACGTCTTTGACGCGTTTTACTCGGACTCGAAGGCCGACGCGCTCCTGCACGGTATGCTTACACGCCACGGAACAGGCGATGACACCCATGCTAGGCCACTCGTTCACGGCCAACCCCGTCGGGTGCGCGGCGGCGGTCACGGCCCTCGACATGTACACGGGTCTCTCGACGCCAGAGGGCGGCGTCACGCGCGTGCAGTGGAACCCCGACCAAGTGGCGGCGTTGGCGGCGCGACCGGGTGTCGACCGCGCGTTCCAAATTGGCACCGTGCTCGTGATCGAACTCGCGTCATCGTCGCGAGGGTACACGGACACGACGGGCCAAGACGTCTTGGTGCGTCTCCGGGCGAATGGCATCTACGCGCGGTCGCTCGGAAACGTCTTGTACGTCATGGCGTCGCCGCTCAGCACGCCCGAGACGTGCGCGGCGATCTTCAACACGGTCGTCGCTCACCTGTTTGAGTAACTCGCGTGCCGTAAGATGGCTTTTTAATGTGCTGGCATTGGCCCGTCAGTGGCGCGTAGACCAACGTTCGTATGGATTCTCAACACGATATGATGTCGCCGTCGTCTTGCCAAAAGGGACACGCACGTGATGTATCCGGATGAAAATGCGCTGGCAGCCGCATACACCTCCTAACCTCCTAACCTCCTCCTAACCTCCTGTACACCGTTCATTATCTGGAGAGATACGCAGGACAAAACGGCGACCCCTTCCAGTCATATACAGTATATATATATGAACGTGTTTCGCGTTTTCTTCGTTGTTACAAAGAGTTCGCATACGTAGAGACTAGAAATCTCCTTCTTCTTCATTCGCTCGCCGGGCCGTGGCTGCGCAGGCGGCGGCGCGGGGGCGCATCTTGTTCTTCTGTAGTCGCGCGGCGGCGTTTGTGGCCGCGGGTGAGGCCCATGATGACGAGCTCCGTGGATTCCTTCCAGGCGCCGCGATCGGCGGCAAAGCTACGCAGTTTGTTGAGGTCCTCGAGAGACGCCAGCGACTGAGGCAGCGTCAACGACTGGAGGTCGCGGTGCAGGACGATCGGCAACGTGATCTTGGTGCGGCCTAAGAACGGGGCGCCTCGGGAGCGACAAAGAAGCGGGCGGCGGCAATGTTGGCAGGGACGTATTTCTCCAGGCGCAGCACGTGACCCAGCAGGCGCCAGCGTTGGCGGGCGACGATCTCGCTCAGCGGGACACTGTTGCAGCGCTTGTAGAGCGCGACGTCGCCGAGCGTGTTCGGGTGAAAGATGCCGAGAAGTCGACGCAGCTGCCGGCGATGGAAGCTGTCAAGGCCCGCCAGACTCGTTGGCGTCAGGGCCCAGGTGCCACAGTTGTACAAAAGGACCGGGAGCACGTAGCACTTGTACAGCCGCACACGGTTGCCTTCCGAGATGAGGCCTCGACGCATCCAGATCTTCCACATGTTGTTGAACGCCGTTGTCGCCAGTCGCTTCCGAGCGCGCAGATCGGCCGCGTCGTCGAGGAGGCTGCCGAGCTTCTTGGTCGTGTGCCACACCAAAGAGGCCGCGTGCGTCGGCGCGTCAACCTGCGTCGACCTGAATACCTGCGTTTCTTCCGTCTTGTCTTCATTCATCTTGAGGTCCCATCGGGCGAAGACGGATGGCGCCGCCCTTCCAGTCCATGGCGATCAATCATTTACAATCGTCCACGCAATGCAGATCCTCTTCAATACCACGAGGCTACTTGAGCGTACGATGTGCGGCACTATGGAGTAGTCAATGCGAGGTGCTCAAACCAAAGGAGGCAACCCGCCCGGCGTTCTCGAAGAGCCCGCCTTCCTGTCGTCCATGTCCGACCAGAGCATTCTCGCAAAAATGAGTCATCGCACAAACTATTGTCAAAGTATCGCATTGTGTTCTATATCGTCTATCCAACAGCATACTTTTATCCTCTAAACGCTGGCTTGCGCCCACGTCAGAAGGGCTTCGGCGAGGACGCCGCACTGGGTCTTTTGAATGTTGTGGCCACCACGGGTGTAGTCGAGGCGGACGCCAGGATGCAAGATCGCACCGAGCTCGTGGCCAATGGCCTTCTCGACGAGCACGTCGTCCAGTGCGATCGCAACGAGCGACGGCACCTTGCGCCGCCCGAGCGACGCGACATGCCGTCCGATTTTGTCAAAGTCGGTGGTCCCCGAGCGCTGAAAAGCATACGTCATGTCGTCGACCGGCGTGCGCTTTGGAAACTTGAAGATGTTCATGTACACCCAGTGGTTGATGGCGACGCAAACATCGCGCTGGAAGCCCGGTGTCCGCAGCTTCTGCGCGCCAAACCGGATCGGCGCGAACGGCCGAATCGCTTGGTGCGGCCGCAGTCCCATTGAGTTGAGGAGCGCGATGCCGGCAACCTTCTGGATGCGGTCAGCGACCTCGATCGCCGTGTGGCCACCGCACGAATGGCCGAGCACGAACGCCCGCTGCAGCGGGAGGCCGTCGATGGCTTCAACGACGACGTCGGCAAGCGCCCCTGCCGTCAGCGACGCCATACCGCCGGCCGCGGCTGCCGGAGTTTGACCGTTCCCGGGCAAGTCAAATGCTAGGACGTTGACGTTGTCTCGCACGAGCAAGGGCGCGAGGTGCTTGAAGTCCATGTGCGAGCCTGGCGCGCCATGCAGGAGGACGAACGTCGCCGCCGCGTTCTCGGGGCCGTGGGTCGTGTAGTGCAGCGGGTGGCCATTCTTGAGATTGTAGGTTGCTTGGATCGAGCCGTACGGCGCCGTCGAGAAGCCCGCCGAGTGGCGCGGCAGAAGCCCACCGAAGCGCGAGATTTGATGGAGCCGAGCCATCATTTTGTCAACTTCAAAGTCGCTTCAATACCAACCGGACTTTACCGGGGTGTTGTGTCAACACCTTCTGGGATGGGTTATTTCGAATCAACGCACTGCGTTAAAGTGCGTTCTACACGCATCTTGGCATAACGTTACCCCCCGCTCTTACCACCCGGCCTCGGTCGGGGCAATACCGTCTCGTCACTCTAAACGGACGCATTGGACGCCGGAGCTTGTACAGGAGCATGCAATTCTACGCCATAAATCCAGCCTGCTAGGTTTAACCTCTTTTAACGCCCATTTGGACGACTTGAAGTTGGACTGTGGCGATTGCAAATCATGCTCCTTCAAGTGCGTTCTGACCGACAGCGCACTTACACCACTCGCAGGATGCCCATTTCGCGCCGAATCACCCGGCGCTTCTCGTCTGCGGCGGCCAGCTACCCGCCGTACGGCTCGATCCAGGCGACGTACACCCTGTCGAACGGCCACCCGCTGCACTACACGACGCATGGGCCCACCGACGCCGAGACAACGTTCGTCCTCCTCCATGGTGCCCCGGGGTCGCACAAGGACTTTCGGCATCTGGCGCCGCTTCTCGTCCGCGAGCGCATCAACGTCATCGCGCTGGATCTGCCTGGCAACGGTCTCACACCTGCCGCTGCCGCGTGGGGCCTCGTGGGCCTGAGCGCCGCGTCGATCGGCGACGCTGTTGTCGAGACCATCGACGGTCTCTCGCTTCCGCGAACGTTTTTGCTGGGGCACTCGTTTGGCGGGCACACAGCGCTGGAAGCGGCTGCCCGCATCCAGCGCGTACACGGCCTCGCACTACTGAATGCTGCTGGTCTGCGCCCGCACCAAGCGATTCGGCCCTTTGGCATCATGGCGGCTGGCGCAGGCGTCTTGTCACAACCCGGCCGTCTGCGCGATCTCGTCGTGAAGCTCAACCACTGGACGTACCTTCACATGTATAAGTTTCCGCGCAGCACAAACGTGGACGACCTCACGTTTGGCTTTCAGCGGTTCGGGTCCACGGACTTCGAGCGTATCGCTGGCTTTGCGAGAACGGCGGCGCAGCGCGGCGTTCCGACGTTTACAGCGATCGCCCGAGACGACCACCTCGTGGAGAAAGCGATTGGAGACGAGCTTAAGGAGCTTCTCCAGTCGGTCGTGCATAAGGAGTACGTGACAGGCGGCCACAATATTCAAAAGACACACGCGGCGGATCTGGCGCAAGCGCTGGTGTCGTGGGCCACCTCCACGCCGTAGATTGCACTGTAACAAGAGAAGTATCGTGTTGCGAATCACATTCCGAGAGACCATTTCATCAACGCAGTAGATAGTACTCTACTTATAGCACCGGTGGTTCTTGTTGCGTGATTGTGGTCGTCGTCGGCAGTCATCGTGTCGAGGACGCGGTGTGTTGACGTGTAAAATGTGAGGTTGCACTTTTTATTCCAAGTGCAAAGTTGAATTCTACACGTTTTTCACGTGGCAATCAGACACGGATCACTTTTCGACAGGATGGAGCCCATCGAGGCGACGGTGGCGACGGCCAACGGCCACACGATGCACTACTCTCGCTATGGACCATCCGAGGCGAACGTCACGTACGTCTGCCTCCACGGCTCGCCGGGTACGTGGCGCGACTTCAAATACCTCGCGCCACGCCTCGTCGCGGACGACACGAACGTCCTCTCGTTCGACCTCCCGGGGTTTGGTCGAACCAGTGCCAAAGTCGTGGGCGGTAGCAGCAAGCTCACGGCTACGTCCCTCGCGATGGCTGTGGTCGATGCTCTGCATCTTTTGTCGCTGCGTCATTGCATTCTCGTTGGGCACTCGATGGGCGGCCTCACAACCCTGGAAGTCGCCGCGGGCCTCGCGACGCAGCCGTGGCTACGAGGCGCCGTCTTTCTCAACCCAGCCGGCCTGCGACCGCACAAGGCGCGCTGGCCAATCGCCGAGTCGGCGTTTGCGTGGATGATGCGTCTCGCAGGCCCGGGATCGAATCCAATAACGCGCTGGAACCGCCACATTCACGTCAACGGACTCAAGCTCCCAAAAGCAACCCATGAATTCGACTGCGCCAACGCTATCTACCGCCTCGCGTCGGTCGACTATGGTGCCCTTCAGAAGGCAGCGATGACAGTCGTCGCCCGGCGGCTCCCGGCGTTTGTCGCGATTGCTACAGACGACCGCGTCATCGAAGCCGTGGTCGGACGCGAGCTCGGCGAGGCGCTGGACGCCCAAGTCATCAAGGAGTATGCGAACGGCGGCCATCATCTTCAAAGACGCAAGCCGCCGACCTCGCGCACGAGCTTCGTGCGTGGACACATGACGTTGTACTGCAGCGGCCCACGTCCCGCCTCTAGTCATTTCGATCTATAATTTTTCTACCCATTCATGTAATGAATGTACGCTTCGCTTGCAGTCCTAAGGACGATCGACGCTGGGATTCGCGATCTGTCATTGGCCTTTGGAGCCGCCCGACACACTTCCGCAGTGAGATCCTGCGTTATCGAGAAGATTATCCCGGCATCAAAGTGCGAGGCATTTCTTTAAGGAGAGCGTGACGATGGATACGGTACCAAAATGCAAGCAAATGCGGTGATGCAAATTTGCGAGCACCGTGACGTGGCACGTGCCTGTGACACGGCAGATACCCCTTTTTGTCAAATTGACGTCCAGTTGAACCGTGCCTCGGACACTATACGCACAGTCGCCCAGGCTCGTTCTCTCACCTCGTACGCTAGATACAATGGAGGCTTCCCTACAAATAGATAAAGGTACGGACGATTGCTCATTACCGTGTCATTGTGTCCGTCCGTGTCGTCACAAGACGCCATTGCCGTCGATTGATGTGCGACTTCAACATTCGAGGGATATCTCCTCACAACCCCACGTCACATGTGTGTCTCGCCAGGACACACGCGCATCACATGCGCAGACCTGCGTAGCTCTACCTATGTGCGCCTCTTGACGAAAAGATGTGAGAATACGGGGTGTTGAATGCACGGCTCGCGCTGCCCCGCCACAGTGTTATCGTCCGCAACGAGGTTGTACCTGCCATCTCCCTGCCGCCGCCATGTGGGATTGCTCATATAGTAAACGCCGGCGCTTCGTTTTGTAACGGAATGCGATTTCCAATCGCGCTTAGTCTTTTGGTCGTGCTGCAATGTACATCCGCCACGTCCATAACTGTCCCTTTCATTTTCAAACTTTTCGTCTTTTGATCATGGAGCCGACGCACGAAACGTGGACACTGCCGGGGAACCCGCACCCGCTGCACTACTCTCGCTGGGGCCCGCCGACGGCCGCGACCACCTACGTCCTTTTGCACGGTGCGCCCGGTACGTACCAAGACTTTGCGTACCTCGCGCCGCTTCTCGTCTCTGGCAACGACGTCAATGCGATTGCGTTCGATCTCCCGGGCAACGGCCGCACGAGCGCCGAGATAGTCGGCGGCATGTACTACATCGACGCTGCCTCGATCGCCAGTACCATCGTCACCGCGCTCGCGCAGCTCCCGCTCTCGCGCATGATTCTCGTGGGGCACTCGATGGGCGGCCACGCGACGCTGCAGGTGGCATCGGCGCCGGCGCTTGCGTCACGCCTTGCAGGCATCGCGCTCCTCAATCCGACGGGACTGCAAGCGCCGCGCCGTGCCCGGCCCCGCATCGAGTACTGTTTTAGCCTCGTCATGCGCCTCGCGGGCGACGCCACCGACTACTTTACCAAGTGGAACCGATCCATTTACGTCGACAAGTTCAAGTTCTCGGATGATATCCCGACCGACGACTTTTCCGTCGCGTTCTACCGCATGGTGACGGCCGACTACGCCCAGCTGCGCGTCCAGGCCGAAGACCTCGCGCAGCGCAAGGTGCCGGCGTTCGTGGCCGTTGCGAAGGACGACCGCGTGATCGAGTGCGACATCGGCGCCGACCTTGCGGCCGTGCTCGGGGCGAAAACCGTCAAGACGTACGAAAGGGGCGGGCACAACATCCCCAAGACACAGGCCACGGACCTCGGCGCGGAAATCAGCGCGTGGGCCAAGTCGCTCCTGTAGGTACTAGATCGCTTCAGATAGAAGACATTGCGTGTGCAAATAGAAGCAGTTGCGTGGAATTGAAGTGAGTGGGATGCGCTTTGGGTGCTCGTGTTTAGAGTCCATCAAAGTCGGCCGAGAAAAAAAGATTTCGGGCAATGAATGTTCTAGTGCCCTTACTGCCAAACACAAAAGCAACGCTGGCGTCCCATCACGCGAAACACCCCTCTATCTTAACTACGCCAGCGTATTGCCATCGCATTGACAACTATACGGTTCTTTGGCTTCAGTTAGAGGCCGCTTGCGGTGTGCCGTCATTTTGCAATATCTTTGCCCACGCGGCGCATTTGGCTTGAACCATAGAAGGTGCATTTATGCTAACCGTGAGCGTGGTATGCCCTCGAACTTCATGTAATAGATCTTATAGCTTGATCTTGGAACTGGATCCTTTCTGATAGATAGATCTTTTGCCGCACTCACGATCATGCTGCAAGCTCGCAATTCTGTTTCCAGTACTAGAATAATTTATCTTATTAAAGCGAGTCTAGTTGTCGTCATCCTCTTGGTCGTCGTCATTATGGCCCACAACGAAGCGCATGGCAGGTCTCTCCTTTCGCAGGTGCATATGCGCATGGAGCAGCTCGCGCATCACGTTGGAGTAGCACCACGCCATCGCGTCGTCTGTGAAGCCCTCGCTTCGGTGCGCTAGCAAGAACGCAACGACATCGAGATGGCCGCCAAAGACAGCGGAGTCGATCGCGTGCACCGAGCAGCCTTCCTTGCGTTTGTCGTGCAGAAACCGGACGACGTCCAAGTGGCCATTCGCCGCCGCGCGGCTCATCGCTGCCATCGTGCAGCCTTCGCGTCGGTGCGTGTGCAAGAAGGTCACCATGTCCAAGTCGCCGTTGCTTGCAGCCATGTCCAAGGCCATTGTCGAGCAGCCCTCGTGGCGCTCGTCGTGGAGGAAGCGAAGAATGTCCATCGCGCCGCTCCACGCTGCCATGTCCATGGCCGTGGACGAGATCTTGCAGTCATGGTCGAGGAGCCACCGCACGAGGTCGAGGCGAGACCCGTCGACCGGCGGCGCCTTCCCGAGCCGCGCGGTCGCTTGCGGCACGACGTTTACCTCGTCGTAGCGCACGTCGCAGAGATCATCGACGACACAATCCCAATCCAGGTCATTTCGGGCGGGTTCGTCTTGGAGTGGCGGTAGCGCGACGGGCAGGCCCAGTGCGCGGCAGCGCTCGACGACGTAGGCGACCGCGGTTGGGAATTGGCGATATGTCGCCGGGCGCAGCGCCAGCTGCACGTGATGGAGCGCCAAATCAGGCCCGCACAGGTCGAGGACGGCAGCGAGAACACTCATGTCGTTGCGCTGGACGGCCTCCAGAAGGTCGTTCTCGGTCGGGCGGACGTGGAAGGTACTGTGGAGAAAGTGCAGTATCGCGACACTGTTGACGGGTGCAATGATCGCGCCCAAGATCGCCGGGCCGCAAGACGCTCGTGGGCAATGGGCGTGGAGGTACTCGATGATGTCGAGGTGGCCGCGCGATGCGGCGCACGCGACTGCAACCGCCGGCACGACGTGCGGTGCGTGGGCGCAGAGAAGCGCGACGACATCCAGGTTGCCGACCTTGGCGGCGTCCACAAAGGCCTGCGACGAGATGGTAAACCCGTGCTTGATGAGCCACTGAATGACATGGATGCGGTTGTGTCGGGCAGCGCAGGCCACGGTGGTGGGAAAGGCCATATCAAGGGTGAGGAGCGTGGCCTTGTAGTTGGCCGCCCATGCGAGGCAGGCGTCGTCGTCGCCTTGGAGCATCGCCAGGCGGCACGGAAAGCGAACGTCATTCTTCTCCAAGAGCAGTTCGCTGCTGTTGTACGTCGCGCCCGCGACCGTAAAGGCAAAGTGGCCACCATCTTGGTAGCGAAAGCGCACGGCAGTCTTCCAGAAGTGGTCCATCGGACGCAGCGCGGATGGGAGGCCGTCTTGGAAGGATGCGATGGCGCCGAAAAGCCCGGGCAGGCGCAAGACAACGGCGGAGGCGGGTGCTGTCGAGTCGGCGTCCATGGCGGCGAATGTGAAATGCATCCGCAGGTCCATGCGCACACCCACACCGTGTGACCAATTGGCCCGTTCCAAACGAAGTGCAATCTGAAATTGACAAAACAGGGTGTGATCGCGACGTTTACTGGTGCGTGTAACCACGATTGCGAAGGCGTTGGACGCGTGACTCTGCTTTGACATTACTATGGCATGGACATGCTGAATTGAGAGCTTCACGTAGCTTCATTTTCATTCAAGTAGTTTCCATATCCATGACCCTGGGCCATGCTGCAGATACCGGTATTACTATCAGAAGCCCCCTGACGCGACGTGGTGAGGTGGCTATTTCAAGTTTTTAAAACATTTGCAGGATATTTCAATGAATTCTACTGTGGCACAGCCCACACAGAGAGAAAGCAAAAGCCAATTCTTGGAAATGGTTGAATCATTGTCGTTGAAAATTGGAGCGGTTTTAATTTTTGATCGATTGCACTTTGCTTGTCCGCGTTGCAGTCAAAAGATCCAGGCAATCAAGAGTGCATGTTTTATCAAAATGTATGCTCGTCGCAAAGTCACCAGAGTCCAAAAAGCTTAGCGGATGACGGCCGCCAACGTGGCGCTGCGCCAAGCGGGCCTCGTGCGTGTGATGGCCTCGTACCAAGATGGGATTCCGCTTGCACTCACGCGCCTCAGCTACTTCTGGAAGCACCAAGTCACGTTTGCGCCCGGTGGTTTTTTCAACCTAGGCTTCCGGTTTACCGTGCCCAGCTCGTCGACGGCGCACTCGAATAGCGACTTGTATCTTCACGTCGTCGACAGGCGCTTTCCATGGCACTGGGCCATGCGCGTTGGCGACGACGACGCTTGCCTTGCGTGGGGAGAGTTCTACAAGGCGGAGCTCCTAGCGCTGGATGTGTCCGAGGAGTCGTCGGTCACGGGCGCAATCCGATACGACCGGCCCGTCGTTGTCAAGTGGTTGTTGGACCAAGGTTTTTCCGTCAGCTCGACGGCGATGCAAGAAGCTGTCAAGCGCAGCGATGTGGCGCTGGTTGAACAGCTCTGTGCGGCAACGTCGCAGAGTATTCGAGGGGTCGTTGCATTGACCATCTTCCACGGGCGCCTCGACCTCTTGGAGTACCTCTACACTGCCTTTCCGACTGCTTTGCGAACGACTGGGCTGTATCACCCAATGATGCGATCGTCGTCGGTGTCGATGCTGCGATTTATGCATGAGCGCGTGGGCGCACTACCAAGCCCAGCCGACCTGCTCCGGGCCGCCAAGAGTCGCAACGCCGACGTTCTTGATGCCGTTCTATCGATGCTCGATCCTGCAGACGCGCTAACCATGGTACAACACGCGCTCGAGACGCAGCCGGAGTCGCCAGCGATGCAGCTCCTCTGTGATCGCAGCCGTCGCCTTGGCCTCAATGTCGTGTACAGCCCAGCAACGACGGATGGTTCGCTATCCCGTGACACTCACTGTCGGCGAGCAACGCCAGATCACGTTCGACCCGACTCTGCACAAGATATCTTGCGTCTGGCCGACGACCGCTATCGCTGGAGCAACGTGCCCAGGGCCTCGGTAGCGACTGCTCCTACGTACGAAGATGCTCTTTTAGACGAGATTTTCAACGGATATGCGTGCAGAGGACCGCGTTCTAAGTGAAATTTTGGAGATGAATGAAGTCCATCCCCCGCCATCGGTTGGTCTTTACTTGCAAGTCTTTTCGGGCGTTGCCGGCTCCCTTGGCAAAGGAATATAAGACATTTGTACTTGTTTCCTTCTCTCTTGGCGTTGTCCCTCGACGGCTCGACTCTTCTTCCGTAGAATCGCTGCTGCCACACCGTAGCCAAGTATGACATTGGCCTCTTCGAACCGGCGATGGTGACGCCTGCCATCACTGTGCATACATTGTACGAGATACATCGATTCTTGAAGAAGCACAAGAGAGAGCTACATCGTGTCCCAGCTAGCGAGTGCGGGCGTCGAGCGAGAGGCCGCGTAGCGTCCGCGCATGCGACGGATGTTGGCTTCGAGCAAGCGTCGCATCGCCTTGGCGCGGCACGTGTCAAGCGCTGCCGACGTGAACCCCTCCTCTCGATGCGTAAGCAAGTACATGACAACGTCGAAATGGCCACCAAACACGGCATGGTCGATCGCATCTGTGCTGCAGCCTTCACTTCGGCGCTCATGCAAAAAGGCAAGCATGGCCATGTCGCCGTTGGCGGCGGCTGCATCCATGCAGCGGTGCGTGCAGCCTTCATGTCGGTGCTCATGGAGGTAGCGTACGATGTCGAGATGACCGTGTTCGGCCGCCACGTTCATGGTTGTCGGCGAGAAGCCGTCCACGCACGCTTCATCTAGAAAGCGAACGATGTCCATTGCACCGCATCGGGCTGCTGCGTCGACTCCCTCGGACGAGACCGAGCAGCCGTGGCGCACGAGCCATTGGACAAGCTCGAGCCGGGCACAACCGTATGGTGGCGCCTCGCCCAACTGAAGCAGCGCTTGCTCCTTGACGCCGGCGTCCGACGAGCGGATATCGCAGAGGCTATTAACGATCGATGCCCAATTGCAGTACGCGGGTTGGTCGTGACGCAGCTCCGTGGGCAGGCCAAGCGCGGCACAGCGTCCGATGAGAAGCGCCATTGTCTCGGGGTGCGCGCCCGCGTACTCGCGTGTCAGTGCAAAATACGTGTCACTCGACGTCATGGGTGGATCATCAAAGAGGTCCATGACCATTGACAGCAGCGGTAGGCTGTCTTGGCAGAGCGCGAGGGAGAGATCCCGTCCCGTCGGGCGGAGACCGCGAAAGGCGCGGCTGACAAAGCGCAGCATGGGCTCGGCGTTCATAGGCGCGGTGGTGGCGGCACTCAGGACGCCACTTGACTGAAGCGTTTGCGGAAAGTGCGCGTGCAGATAGCGTGCGACGTCCAAGTGACCGCAGGCGGCGGCGGCGGCGAGAACGCGCCCTGGGACCATCGTCGGTGCGCGCTCGCAGAGCAAGGCCACGAGCGCAACGTCGCCGTACAGCACCGCCTGCGTGATCGACTCTGGCGTCATGCTAAAGCCGTGGTCCAAGAGCCAGCGAACGACGCGACCGCGCCCGTAGCGTGCGGCACACGTGACTGCCGAGGGCTGGAAGGCCTCGAGGGCGAGCAGCGTCGATTGGAAGTGCGCAGCCCACGCGATGCACTCGTCGTCGCGGCCTTTCAGCATGGCCCAGTGCATTGGGAAGCGGTGGTCGACCGAGAGAAGGTGCAGCGCTGCGTGCGAACCCTCGACGACGCCGTCGATCGCGTACGAAAAGCCAAGGCCAAGCGAGCCCATGCGGCGAAATGTCACCGACGTCTTCCACACATGATCCAGCGCCGAAATTGCGTACGGAATGCCATCTTGGTACGCTGCAATGCTGCGCACGAGGTCGGCCTGCGCCAAGACGACGGCCGCCGGGCGTCGCATCCCGTGCCGACTTGGCCTTTCTATCAAGTATGGCGGGTAACAATGTATCAAGTTGAAGAGGTTTTCATGTCTGCAGGACACTGTCGTTGGCACGTTGCCTGATAGTATGACACGGGCAAGCGCCTTTGCCGACGTAGGCCTCGACAGGTCCATTGAGCCTATTTAGCAGCGGAATATGCAGCATGCTCGGCGACGTCCCTTTGGTCGGTGGGATGTCTCTCATCGCTGCGGAACTGGCCGACGAGCCTGGCAGAATCGCAGTGTCCTGGTGGACTGCTTGTAGCTCTGAGACACTCACCACAATGAACGCTATTGACACCAATACAAGAACTCCACATTTGAGTTTAGAGCATGCTCCGATGGCTCCACGCGACGAGTGCCGGCCCAAGGTCGGCTGCTTGCGTCTTCTGAATGTTGTGACCGCCCTTGGCATATTCCTTCAGGACGCTTGGCTCGAGAACGCTCGCGACTTCTTTCCCGAGCGAGACTTCAATCAAGCGATCGTCGGTGGCGAGCGCCATGAACGTGGGCAGCCCGCGGCTTTTGATCGCGTGGGCTGACGCCTTGATACGCTCAAAGTCCGGCGATGCGACGTGCAGCATGGCGGCGACACACACGAGCGGCGGCGTCGACTTGGGAAACCCGAGCCACTTGAGGTAGAACGCGTGGGTCCAGCTCTGGAGAAAATTCGAGCCATCGCCCAAGTAGCGCAGCGCGCTGGCCCAGAGCTTGGCAAACACGTACGGTCGGCAGCTGCGGTGCGGGCTAAAGCCCGTTGGGTTGAGCAGCGCGAGGCCGCGGAGACTCGGTGCGAGCGCCGGGTTGGCGGCCACAAGCATGGACGTTTGCCCGCCCATCGAGTGGCCGACGAGAAACATGTTGTTCAAACCGAGCTGCAGCAGCGCCTCGACGACCGCGTCCGCGATCGCTGTTGAGCCAAAGCCGGCAATGCCGCCGGCCGCCGCAATGCTCGTTTGGCCGCTTCCAGGCAAATCGAACGCAATGACGTTCGTGTCGGGCTCGGCCAGCAGCAGTGGCGCGAGGTACTTGAAGTCCGTGTACGCGCCAGGCGCCAGCTGCAATGTCCGGTTGCCACGTCATGGGATCATTGGCAGTTTCACTTTGTACGTGGCAGTTTCGGACAGCAGCAAGAGCTGATTAGCAACGCTCCCAGAACACTAGCAATGGAACGACAGGCATATATGTACTGTATTGTACGAGTGGATGTATGTACTAACTGTCCATTGCTCAAGGGTGTTGCGGCATCATAGTGTGCCATTATGGTTGCTCCACACGACGAGGGACAGGCCGACCTCCAACTTTTGAATATTGTCGTAGCCCGTGGGGTATTCTTTCAACACATTCGGTTTCAAGACGGTAGCAACCTCGGAGCTTGCGGCCACGAGCAGCGCAGTCTGTCCCCCATCAAGTGCCCAAGGAGAAACACCTGTGGTAATGAAAAGCGCGACCATACGCGTACATTCTCTGCGATCGTTGTCGTGTCGAACAAAGCCAGCCCACCGGCTGCGTCCATGCTCTGCCCAGTAGATCGAAGACGATTGCATTCGTGTGGGGCTCCGTGGCAAGGAGCGGGGCGAGGTACTTTAAGCAAGTGTGCGCCCCAGGTGCGCCGTGCGAAAGTACAAATGCCTTGGCTGCCGTCGTGGGACCGTACGTAGAGGCGTTGCGTCCCATCATAAATCAGGCGATTCTTTAGGTCGCTGGCCAATCCCCGCGTCTTACGAGGTACGGAGTACAATGACCATGTACTTGGCCGATGCATTGTACGTCCTCCGTCGACTCTTCTGATTCAACTCCGTCGGAAGGTCGGCAACTCGTGGTCCAGCCGAGCGCCTTGCATCTAGTAACCAGTATTTCTGACGTATTGCATCAACGAATCCACGTACGATAGCCTTACAAGGAGGGGACTCGTCGTCCATCCAAGTCTCTTTGCCTTGGACCGTCGGCGAACGAGGCAAAATTTCATGACACTGTGACGATCTTGGTATTTTTCCGGATACCTTTCCGGATACGAGCGTCAACCCGACGACAGTCCCATGCACGCCGCTCCACGCGGGTCGGTGGCGGCGCCCGTCTTCTACTTTGCGCGCACCTCGGACGACGCGCCGCCGTTCGCTTCGTTTGGCGGCAAATCTCAATCTCAATCTCAAACGCCATCAGTGCCCTCCAACGTGGTGAGCGTCCCGCGGGTCGTCCAGCTCCAAGACTTGCGCGGCCACGAGGCGGCGTGCAGCCTCGACGAGCATGGTTTCCAAGCCATTTCGGATGCGCCGCCGCTTCTGCCCACCCTTCTCGATGCGCATGGGCAGCTAGAGACGCATGGAAAAGAGGCCGCCGTCAAGGACCATGTCGAGGCCCTCCTCGCCGCCAAGTGGCGACCGTCCGAGGAGATCGTGTACCTGGATGTCTTTACCGTCACCTTTCGCAGCGCCGATGCCAGTGAAGCAAAACAAGGTACACCTGCGTCGCTGCAGGACAAGAACGAATACGATCTAGGATCGAAACGACGACCGTCGCCGCTGGTGCACGTCGACCAGACGCCGGCGACGGGTGCCATGTACACGGCTAAATTGCCTCCAGAGCTGCGCGACTTGGTGGAAAATGGAACGCTACGGCTGCGCATCTTGAGTGTATGGCAGCCGCTCGTGCCTGTCGTTCTGGACTGGCCCTTGGCGCTGGCCGAGTCGTCGTCGTGCCCCGAGACACGGCTCGTCTCGTGCAAAACACGGTTTCCAAGCGGGTACGTCGGCGCCATGGCGCTCGTGCAAGACGACGAGCCCTCGGACGCGCTGCGCTGGTGGTACTGGAGCGGTATGCAGCCGCACGAGGCGCTTTGGATCCAGAACTTTGACTCGTCAACGCCGACGCGCAGTCCGCACACGTCGTTTCGCGACCCGCGCGTCCAAGCGAGTGCGTCGACGCATCGCAAGAGTGCCGAGGCGCGCGTCGTGCTCGTCACCAAAGCACGCTAAGCAGCGTCCTGTGCAAAATGCGTACTTGGTGTCAATCGCTCTGTCTTTGCGAGGAAGACGGCCCTGTCCACAAGCAAACGGCAAGTTGCAATCGATGGAGAGTCCCAGATGACTTCGCCTCGGCGGCGGCTCCTTCAACATTGTTGACAAGGCATTGGCGCATCATACAGTACCGGTAGTTGATGACGTCGGCGAGGACGAATAGTTAGCCGTCAAGGAAACAGGAGCGAACGATACACGGTGCTTTACGCAGCCAAACGTACCACCGTGCATGACGACCATATGCTCGCATCTAGCTTCACGTGTGGCGTGGACCTTGGGCCTTCCTGCACGCACTCCTGCCAACGAGCTTGGAACCACATCCGACTCCATCTTTGACAACTACCGATGCCCACGTGGTTGCTCGCCACGCCTTGCCAGTGACGCTGTGGAGCAGCTCATGGCGCCTGGATCGAATCTGGAGATTCAATGGCGTCCCACTCTTCGCGCTCAAGTCCAGTACGGTGGCCAGCGTGACGTGGGTTTGCACTGACCACCGATCTTCTCGGGATCTGGCACAGCGTCTCACAACCAAAGCTACCATGCCGGGCGAAGCGACGTCGCTCTTGGTCAAGGACAGCACGGCGTGGCCCGTCGAGTCGTACTGGAAGCGGCTGCTCTCGGTGCCCGTGCAGATGCTGCCCGTCGCGCTCTTCTCGTTTGGCGGGCCGCAGGCGCACCTGGGTCTCGCCCACGAGCGCTTTGTCGGTAAGACATCGATGTCATTTCCATACTCGTGCCAACGACCGTGGTCTAGACAAGCTGCAGTGGCTCGACGACGAGCGCTTCCTCGAGGTCATCGCGCTCGGCTCGGCGCTGCCCGGCCCGACGTCGACGCAGGTCCTCACCTCGATGGGCATCTTTCGCGCCGGGCCGCTCGGCGGCATTCTCGCCTTCCTCGTCTGGACGGCGCCCGGCTTCCTTGTCATGCTTCTCGCGGGCCTCGGCGCTCAAGAATACCTCGGCGGTCCGAGACGATATCTGAAGAGGCTGGACTGATGGCGTGTACGTAGCTGGCGTGCCTCTGTGGATGGTCGGGCTCGCGCCGGCCGCCGTCTCGCTCGTCATCATTGCCGCGACCAAGCTCTGGCAAAAGGCTTGCGGCGACGACCAGCTCAAGATGTCGATCGCTGCGATCTCGAGCTGCGTCGTGCTGGCGACGCAGGGCCTGGGCACGTGGATCTTCCCGCTGCTCATGATTGCCGGCGGCTTCACGACGCTGTCGGCCATGGCGCTGGGCTACCCAAACCCGCTCGTGGCCGCCAAGCGCCAAGACAATGGCCACAGTCCCCACTTTGAACGGTACGTACCGCCTACATCCACAGCCACCATAGCGTCTGCATAGGGAGCTCGGGATCCCCGCGTGGGCCGGCGTCCTCCTCATTCTCGGCTGGCTCGCGGCCTTTGGCCTCCTCGCCTACTTGGATTCGACGGTACTTGCCATTGCACCAAGAGCACGCGTCAACTTGGTCGTAGGGAACCCTCGGGCGCAGCTATCTCGGGCTCTTCTACGCCTTCTTCCGCATGGGCTCGATCATCTTTGGCGGCGGCCAGGTCATGCTCCCGATGCTCCTTAACGACATCGTCAACGCTGGCTGGGTCTCCAAGGAGCAGTTCTTCATCGGCTTTGCCCTCATCCAGGCGCTGCCCGGCCCCATGTTCAACATGTCGACGTACTTGGGTATCGTCTCTCTCTCTAGTTGGACGTAGTGAACATGTTGATGTAGGTGCGGTCGCGCTCGGTGTGCCCGGTGCGTTCTTGGCGGCCGCGGGCCTCTTCGGGCCCGGCGTCGGGCTCTTCTTCGCGGTGCTGCCGCTCTGGGAGAAGGTGCGTCGCCACGAGAAGCTCCAGGTGTTTATGGCTGGCGTCAACTCGGCCGCGATCGGGCTCGTCGTCGCCGCCATCGCGCTGCTGTGGCAGCACGCCGTGCACAACAACGCGTCGGCCGCCGTGTGCCTTGCGACTGGTCTTCTTGTGGGACTCTTCAAGGTGCCGGCGCCCGTTGGTATCGTCTTCGGCGGTCTTCTTGGCTACCTCTTTCGATCCTCAACATTGCCCAGACCAACTTTTGCGCGGCGTAACTTGCGGTCTCTGCGCCTTGTCGGTCTTGTGTAGCATCGATCCTTTCTTGTTGCCGATGGTATAAATGACAATATTGTGCACGTGAGATGTGGACGAAAATGGCTTGCATATGATGGTCGTACAAAGAGACGCGGGCGCTGCCACGGATGACGATTGTTTGTTGCGAAGGTTCTAAAACCCGACTAACCAAGGACGTAGAATCCTCCTGAGCTAACCCTTGAAAACGATATATGGAGGGGCCGAGTGGGCCCGTCAACCGTCCTTTAGACACTCGCATCGGACCTACTGCAAGAAGATGAAAAAGACGCACAAGTTGTCATTCAAAAGACACTTTTACGTGACAAACACGAAATGTCAACGGAACTCGAACGCAAGGGTGAGCGTGGTGCCGATTGCATCACCGACCAAATTGAAGGTGCGGACTGTCTTGCGCTGCCGTGGCAGCGTTGACAGCGGCACTTGCAGCGTCGACAGAAGACGCGACGGGCGCCCTCGTCGGGCGTCATAGACACACACCCCAAGCACGCTGTCCTTCTCGACTGCGTGGAACGTGGTCATATTGTCTTCGTACCACACTGGTGATCGGTCGCCGCGAACGACTTTGGTCAGAAACATCTTGTTCTGTAGCGACAAGCGACAAACGGCATGGACCTAGGCAACGCGTCGACCTCGGTTCAATAGAAAAAGTGGAGGAATACCGTGTGGCCAGCAGGCACCAAGTTGATGGCCGAGAGCACGGTCACACGCAACGCTGGGTCGTCTCGACGATTGGTCGCTTGGCCGAGAACGGTCGACGGTCGCATTGCGAAACCAGCGTCCACCATCGCTTGCTGCAGCACCCGCATCCACGCGCGCCGTTCGTCGTCGTCTGCGCACGCGAGTTGTAGCTGCTGCTTGGCACCGACGCGCACGACAAAGTGGTAGAGCGGTCCCGTCGCGGGCAGACGCTGCACCGTACACCGGTGTCCCGCAAACACGAGCTCGGCTTGAGCCGAGGTGGATGCACGGTGCTTGAAACAGCGTAGCGCAGTCGGCGTCAATACCACGTACACCGGGGTCCTTCGCTTGAACAGACGGGTTTGTTGGTGCAGTGGTCCTTGCTTGAGGACGCCTACGTCGTCCGACTTGCGCCGACCGGCCTCGTCACTGTTGCTGTTGCTAGCCTCGGTGAGCCGCGGCTCGAGGCCCGGCAAGGCTGGTGCTGCGATCGATGCCAGAGCATCCATGTGCGCATGTGGCACAAAGTGCAACGTGCATGGGGACGGCGCGCGCCGCAAGATGGACGCCACTGCTTCGTACGATCGATGGAGCACGACCGTCTCGTGAACCTTGTACAGCACGTCGCCGACGCTGACGATCCCGTCGGCCTTGGCCTGGCCCGTGAGGCGATCCACGACAGCGCCGTGGATGCCGGCTGTCAAGTAGACTCCTGCCTCGACGACGACCGCGTAGGATGGCGGCTCGCTCTTTGGCCGCGGCGCTAGCCGGGCGAGCTCGCGCCCAATGATGGTGCTTTCAAATATGAGTGCGAGGGGTCGAGGCAGCTAGCAAAGACGCTTGGACGCAGCGGCAAACCCGAGCCCGTCCACGGAGCAGCCACCGATCGCAACGAGTCGGTCGCTCGGCGCGACGTGGGGAACCAAGTGCAGGCTGCTGACATCGAGAACGACAAGATCGTGCGCGATGATGCCGGACGCCGGTGCTGCAAGGACAAGCCCAAGCGCGCAGCCGGGCGGGAGCTCGAGCGTGACGCAGCATCGCGCCTTGAACTTGTCGTGGAGCGAGGTGCCGCTGGACCCCACGAGTCGAAGGCGCGTGGTGCTCGCCATGCTTCTTTTGCCGCAGTGACGAACGCGAGCTAAGAAGGACGCGAATTGCGAGTTTTCTGAAAAATTCTCGGCATCGATGGCGTGCTGCCCACCGTTCGGTCGCCACCGTTCGGTCGCCACTGTGCACATTGTGGAGACAGCTGTTTAAGGTGATGGTCCCAGTTTGAGGGTAGGAATAGCACGTGATTGGAGGATGAAAGACAGCGGCAACGCATGAGGACATGGATACCGCCCCTCGTAATTTTGATGCTGGCGCGCTATTATACCGCTGGTCCCTGGCGTCATTGACAGATGGGAGCACGGTCAGCAGTGTTTGCGTCGGATCAAAGGACCCTTGGTTGGCCACGAAACAAGGTATAGAAGAAAATAGTTCCAGAACTGTGATGCGATCAAGCTCCGAGCCCATCTACACGGGCTCGACAAAACCGACCCAACGCGCCTCGCTTGCCCCGCGCATATTGGGAACACAGTTGTTGAGGGTCGTCATTGACAGCTGGGTTGAAAGAGATGCACTCTTTTTGAATCGGAAGTTGATTTGGAGATGCGACCTGGTCAACCGTGACCGTACGTACTCGGTGAAGAAGCGGAAGAAGTGGAACAGCAGCGCAGATGCGATCGAGTTCCATAGACGGGCGCGTGATTTTCTGATCGAACGCATCGTGCGGATCATAAGCGAGCAAGTCTGCATATTGCGCGCGCCGTTGACTCGCGAGAGTTCGGACGTACAGCTACTGGGACGCCAAGTCGACTGGTCTGGTCGTCTTTGCCTATGACGATTAGCCGTAACAAGTGGGTGTCTTCGTGGATAAAGCTCCACACAATACAAGGTGCTGCGCTCCTCGTCCGTCATGCTCTCGCCAAGCTCTTCGGGATTCCCAATTTGTTGCTTCGAATAATCATGCTCCACACACAAGCCTCATCGCGTGGGTCGCGGTGCGCTCGACCTTGGGCCCGTTCCAGTCGTCACTATGGTCGTTGGTTTGCCAACGCCTGACGCCGCTCGACCCACGATCCAGGATCACGATGACGTGGCAGCATCTCCTGCAACGATGCACCGTTCACACATGTCAACACATTGAAGTGACGCTGGACCAAGATAATAGCAAAGGCCGTGGTGGCCGATCAAGGCACACCAGAAGAATGTTCTCAGAAGATGGTGTAATGTCAATATTCGTACTCGTCAATGGTTAACTCGAGTGGAACAACTCTAACTGCGGTCATTTGTTCCGCTTTTCTTTCTTGGGACGACAAGCGGCGCATGCGAAGCGCCTGTGCAGGTAGCGATGGAAGCGTGGATTGGGGCGTGGACACGTGGTATGGAGGGCGGAGGCGGCACGGTTACAGCGCTGTCTACGCGGCGGCCATTACGCGCGAATGCGCCAACGGGGGCTCTTGCGCGACCGTCATGGCGTGCTGGAGGGCCGTCATCCACGCTGCCTTGTCGCTCTCGGTGGCACACGCGAGCACAAGGTGCTTGCGGTCGACGCAGACGCGCAAGAGGTGCACGACAGCCACGGATCCAAACTTTTTCGTTGCGCGCAGGCTCTGGACGCTGCAGCGACGACCTGCGAACGTGAGCTCCCGGCGCGGCGCCGGCGACCGTGGACTGGCAAAGCACAGGAGCGCCGTCCGTGTCAAGACATAGTAGCGCGAGTGCCAAAACTTGAAGAGGACACCTTGACGATACAGGTGACCTTCCTTGAGCGAGCCGCGGATCTTGCGGAAGAAGGCGTGGTCCATATTGGCGTTCGAAACGACCTCGGGCACCACACTGCTGTTCAGAGAGGCCAGTCGGCCAGAAGCTGGCAGCGTCGAGCATACCACGTCGGCGACCAAGGCGTGAGGAATGAACTGCAGGGCACTCGGCCGGGCGGCCTTCGCAACGATGTCCATGACGACGGAATACGGCTGGTCGAGCACGGAGGTCTCCCCCACCTTGTAGAGGACATCGCCCACTGCAAGGATCCCGTCGGCCTTGGCCTCGCACGTGAGGTGGTGGACGACGGCGCCGTGAATACCGTGCATGGCTGCTTCCGCAAAGTGCACGCCGCGCTCGACGACAGCTACGTACGACGGCGGCTCGCGCTTCGTTGGTGTGGACTGCGGCGAGGAGACCGAGTGCGCAAATGTCAGCGCATACGGTCGTGGTGTTGTTTGGAGGAGCTCGACGGACTTGTCCCATCGGAGCCCGTGGAATGGGATACCGTTGATGGCGGCGAGAACGGCGTTGGGCTGAACGTGGTGCTTGAAGCGCGGGTTGGTGACGTCCTGAACGAGGATACCGTCCTTGACGACGCCCGAAGAAGGGGGCGTGAGCACGAGGCCGAACCGCTCTTGCGGCGGCAGCAGAAGCGTCGAAGTCGGCAGAGAAGACATGAGAGTTGGGTGTTGGTTGTGGACGGCGCGAATCGAAGTGTGCCAAGATATCGTTAGCCTGGCAATGCGTTGAAGTTGGTGGCGTCGCGATTGATTGGCTAACGTCATAACCTGCAACGAATGTGATTGGCTCGTGACGGCAAGGAACCATGCTTGACGGTCGCCACTACGATCATGCAGAAGGGTTAGCTGCAGAGATACCATCGCCATCGCGGGCGACCACCATGGTCAGTGCAATCTGACGCCATTACGTGGCCGTCCAAATGGAACGGTGGCAAGCTACCGAGCTACCGGTATCACGGACAGCTACCACGGACCAGGCGTGCGAGAAGTGCTTGGGACTCCCAAGCACTTCTCGCTGAGCCAGCTACCGAAGTCTCCCAAGTTGGGAGACTTCAGTAGCTGGCTCAGAAGTCGGGTGAGGATCAGAAGGCGGCCCTCGGCACCCATATCACAAAGTCCTCGAATGTATCATGTACATGGACGATGTCGGAATGCGATTTATTGATATTTTTTATCATATTTTTCGATGTAGTTGCATGCAATAGAAGACAAGTCAGAAGCGAGAGTTAGGTTGCCGTTGGCAATGGGTAGCCGGCCGAGGCCATGATATCCGGGTACATGGCGTGCCAGCCGCGCATGAGCAGCTGGAAGAGCTCGGGGTGGCTCTGCCCCAGTGCTTCCGGGTGCTACAACCACAACAAGTTAAACGTGGCCTTCCACCACTGCAAGACGAAGCTGCGAACCTCGGCAAAGCACACGTACACGGTCGCGACCGCACCGTCGATGGTGCTGAGCACGACCAGCGCGACAGCCAGCGCCATAAAGAAGGAGCCGAGACCCACAAGCACTAGACAGCGCCTTGTATACCCCCTTGCGATGGCTCGCAGAGCGTGTACCTAGCGTGGCAGTTGCCTGGGTGTCAATCGCACACACGGCAACGCCAACGCCGCTGCAGATGAGAGCTACCATAAAGGTCGTCACCTCGTATCCCAAGCAGTATCTCTTTTGTACCGACAACGAACGCCGAGAAGGCGAGCGCACTCGAGATGAGCTCGTCGTTGAGAAGCGCCGTGAAGCCGCGCGCATGGAAGAGCTGCATGGTCGCCTTGCCGGCTTGGACGAACGTGTTGCCGTAGACGCCGACGTAGACAAACGCCCAGTGGCTGAAGAGCTCAAAAAGGGAGACGAGGCAGCTCATGAGGCACCTCGCGACGAGTGCGCCGACGCCTCCGTTGCGGCTCGCCATCTCGAGAAGCTACGCTGCCACGTCATGGCGCGCTTCTAAGAGCTGACGTATTACCTGCTGCAGCACTTGGAGAATCGCGACAAGAAGCGACCCGAGGCAGATGGAGCCCAGTGACGTGGTCGTCGCGCGCTGCAGAGCGCCGGCCGTCGGTGCGGCACTCTCGCCGTACCACCAGCTCGCAACGCCACCGGCAATCGTGACAACGTTGATGTTTTTGAGCACCTAGGTCATGGACAAGCACAACTTGTACATAATATATCGTGAGACAATCATGTACCGAGATGCCCCAGAGCAGCGAGAGCGAGAGTAGGATCGCAGGCACCGCCGGCGTCGACGCGGGCGGGGCCTGCACAAAGATGCCATAGAGCGCAATGAACCTAGTGCGATTGGAGCGGCGATGTGGCGACTCATTGTACCAGACAAGTGTCCAGACGAGCTGCAAGAGCACCAAAAGAAAGCTTATCGGGACAAGCGCCTTGACGTCGACGAGTGCGGCCGCCGCGACACGGAGGTTGGCCGCCGCAAACGCGAGCCGGTCGCGCACACCGTACATGTAGCTGCAAGAGATGAGTCCCTCGCAAGGAGCAGTCGTTGTACCAAGCAAAGAGTGCGGTTGACAAGCCCCCAATGATGACGAGCACGAGGATGCCGGTGACGAGTCCGAGGACCGCGACCAGAAAGCACAGCGTCAAGTTGGTCCTACGCAAGCTCCATCGACCGACGACACTCTAGAAAGTGCACACCATAGTCCAAAGGTGATGATTTCGGCGGGAAACTTGAGGATCGCGAGCACCATCAGCGCCGAGAGGCCGAGACTGACGACGAACATGGCCGCCATGATACCGATCCCTTTGCCCACGTACGTGACGTCGATCGACGTCGAGGCGTCTTGGCTGTCGTCCAAGCTTGGGGCGCCCCAGAGCAAGGCCACGACGAGGATCGCAAGCACGTTGATGACAAAGAGCACGGCGAAGGGCCAGTCGCGATACTGCGCAAGACCAGAGGGTGGCACCGTGGGTCGCAGCGACGACACGGGACCCGTCGACACTGGCTTGGCCGCGTCGACGCACTGCGTAGGCACAACCGTGGCCTTCATCGTAGCTCGAAATGACAAGAATAGCCTTCAAGATGCGTCACCCTTACCCTTATAGATATTAGGTGTATGGATAGATGGATGGATGGATCGATAGTTGGATAGATATGACGTTTCTTCGCGTGAATCAAATGCTAACTCTAAGCTCGATGCAGTAAGATTGTCGTGCGTGCGGACGCCGGGACAAGCGACAACGCTGTGTGTGGAGCCGTGCTCCTTTGGTCCATACCTTCAGTAGATGGACCGACGGTTCACCCACCAAGCCCTGCCATCGGTCTCGGATCCATCTGCGCTTGCTTCGCCATTTAAAGCGCAAGACATCATACAGGTACAGTGTAAAATGTGCACTTGTAGTATTACATGCAGTTGGCTTCCGACTCTGCGACGCATGCCATGAGAGCTTAGTACACAACGTAGTAGCCGGACGCGACCATGATATCCGGGTACATGCGGTGCCACTCGGTCATGAGCTCATTAAAGTGCTCCGGGTGCGACGTCTGCAGCGCCGCAGGGTCCTATACACGAGCAATCGTCATCCAGTACTTGCACCAATAATCGCATCTCGAACCTCGGCAAAGCACACGAAGATGGTCGCGACCGCGCTGTCAATGACGCTGAACGGGATGATCGAGATGCCAATGCCAAAGATGAGGCCCATGACTGGAATGATGATCTGCGAGTTGTTGAACGTCGTGTTGGCCGTGTCAATGTATGTGTAGACAAGCCCGAGCCCGGCGCAGAGAAAGCCGACGCCGAGCGACGCGAAGAGGAGCACGTTGCCAATGAGGTCGTCGTTGATGATCGTGTCAAAGCCGCGGTCGCGGAAGAGACCGATCACGGCCTTGCCCGCGTCCGTAAACTTGTAGCCGTAGATACCCACGTACACGAAGGCCCAGCGGTTGAAGTACTCCATGAGGCTCTGGAGGCAGCCGAGAATGCACTCGGCGATGCACGCCGCCGCGTCGCCCGACCGACGCGCCTCCTCGGCCAGCTGGCGCAGCGCCTGGAGGATGGCGACGATAAGCGACCCGAGGCAGATCGAGCCAAACGACGTCGTGAGCGTGCGCTTGAGCGACGCGCCGGTCGCGCCCGCCGAGTTAGTCGAGTACCACCACGTCGCCACCGTGCCCGCGACGGTCGCGTGCGTGACATTCTTGATCGTCTAATGTAGACACCATCGTCAGACTCGGGATCGACGTCGGAAGAGAACGAGCTACCTGCATGCCCCAGAAGAACGAGATGAGCATGAAAAAGTACGCCACGTACGACGCCGACTTGAGGCCCGCCGCCTCGCATCTGTATGTGGCCGAGCACTTGTTGGACATGCACTCGCTGCTAATGCTGCACGTCGATCCGTCGGGCTTGCCGCGCGTCGACGACGTCGCGTCCTTCTCGTTCAGATGGTTGGCAAGGCCGAGCGCGGCAGTCGCCCAAACGGCCACCCACACGATCTGCAAGACGAGCATCGAGAACGCGACGCAGTACGTGCTCGCGTGCTTCTTGATGGCTGCGGCCGCGCAGCGCAAGTTGGCGGCCGCAAAGGGAATACGGTCGCGCACCGCAAAGGCGTAGCTACAGGCTATCGATGAGGCAATGCTTCAGAGGAGGATCGTACCAGAGAGAGAGGAGGACAAAGATGGCACCGAGAATCGCGAGGGCGTACTGCTTCTTGATCACAGCGTAGATGGTGAAGAGCACGTTGAGACCGACGCCAAACCTAGAGAGCGCATCGAGCATTTGATTGCGCGCATGCATACCGAGGCGTACCAGAGCGAGAACGTGATCATGCCACTCGCAAAGCGGACCATGAACGAGAGCATGACGAGCGAGAGCACGCCCGAGAGGACGACCATGACACCAGAGATGATGAGCACGGTGCGCATCTCCTTGTCCGAGAGGAGGTTGTTGGACGACGTCGACTTGGTCGAGGTCGTTGACGAAGACGTGTTTTGAAGCACAGGGATGCCCCACATGACGAGGAGCACGATCATGGCCGCGACGTTGCCGATGAAGAGGACCGCAAACGGCCAGTCGCGGTAGCCCGTCGTCGCCGGCGCCTGCGGCTTCATCGACTGCACAGGCCCGAGGTGCGCAGTGCCACCCTGCGGCGCCGGGACGCCGACAGGGATCCCGTACGGGTCCATGGCCGAGGTGTTCTTCTGGTACATGCTGCTGACAAATTCCAAAATGGGCCACGCGATGGTTCGGAGTGTGTCCATCGCTTCGAACTTCGCACCCGAAATACATTTCGCAAGTACTTTGCAATGCGTCAAGGCCATTGGCTACTTTCCACCAATGACCTTGACGCAAATCCGAATGTCGAAGGTTACGGCGGATGGCAGCACAGCATCCAGAAGATGAAGTTGAAAAGTTGAGCCGATCCCGCTCAACCACCACAGTAGCAGTGTCGCTGGTGGTAGCTTCTTCCACTGCCGGTGCGGAGCTACTCCTCCCTTGCCATGGCGTTTGACTTTGCCCTGCTCGCAATGGAGTTACTGCACATCTTGGCTGCACAACGCCGACGCGGGCCTCAATGGCATTGGCGTATACGAAGAGGCTGACGCTGCGTGTCGCGCAGCTGGCTCCGTTATCAAGACGCCGTCAGTCCCCACACACCACCGTACCCTCCTCTTCTTGCACAGGATTGCTGCGCTAAATTTCACACGGATCATCCGAAGTTCGAAGCAGAGAGGAATGATGGTCGATGGATCTGCTACCGTTGGACAGACCAGCACTCGGTTCCCTCTGCCGTGTCCGCGCGTCGAGAGCTCGCGAGGCCCTCGCACCACAGCAACCTCCAGCGAGCTAAATGCGTCGCTTTACACTACTCCAGAATCGTCCGCCCGACGCCCTAGCTCGACCCGCCATGAGCTCTGCCCAAGCCTTCAACGCGGTCAAGGTCGCCAGTGCCACGCTCTGGTACCTTCTGGAACAGTGGTCTGGTAGTCCGGTAGCAGTGTGGTTTGGTAGGAGCCACAGGTTACTATTCTGAGTGATTCTGAGTCGACCAAGTCCATCCGAAACAAAACAACGACGTGACGTGCAAAAGACTGATCTTGTCGAGTTATGCAGCTTTACAAGCGGCTCGTCGCCTTGAGAAACTCCGTCTTGGCGACCGTGCGCATGTGCACCTCGTCCGGACCGTCCGCGAGACGCAGCGTGCGCAGCGCCGACGCGTAGTACGCCAGCACAAAGTCCTGGCTCACTCCCGCCGCGCCGTGGATCTGGATCGCACGGTCACACACCGCGATCGCCATCTGCGGCGCGACGATCTTGATCATCGCGATCGCCTGCTGCGCAGCCTTGTTGCCCTTCTCGTCCATCTCGTGTGCCGCGTGGAGCGTGAGGAGGCGGGCGCTGTCGAGCTCGCTACCATGAAAATATCAAAAATGAAAAAAAAAACATTTCAAAACGCGGCGGCGTACCAGCGTGACATGGCGATCGACGACGCGACAAGAGCGTTCTCGCCCAGCAGCTGCTTGAACGCATAGCGCGTCTTGGCGCGGTGCACCTGCGATGTGCGGTTCAGTAGGGGTAGGGTAACTTGAAAGGGGTAGGGTACCATGAGTTCGAGGCAGCGCTCGGCCATGCCGATGGTGCGCATGCAGTGATGGATACGCCCGGGGCCTAACCGGGCCTGCGCAATCTCAAACCCGCGTCCGTCGCCTACGCCAACGTGTCATTTGCACCAGTTTGCAAAAAGACAATCAAGTCGACTACCGAGAAGAACGTTGGCGACGGGCACGCGGACGTTGTGGAAGAAGATTTCGAGGTGCCCGTGCGGCGCGTCGTCGTAGCCAAAGACATGCATGGGGCGGCCGAGCTCGACGCCTGGCGTGTCCATGGGCACGAGTACCATCGACTGTTGGCGGAACGGCGACCGCGCCTTGGCGCCGAACGAGTCCTTCATCTTGCCCATGACGATGATGAGCTTGCAGCGCGGGTCGCCGGCGCCCGAGATGTACCACTTGGCGCCATTGATCACATACTCGTCGCCGACGCGCTCAATCTACAATACGATCATTTGCTGGGATCGAACCTTGTGCGACGTGGACGTACTTGGGTGCAGACGTTGGTCGCATCCGACGACGCCACGTAGCGCTCGGTCATGGCAAAGCACGAGCGCATGTCGCCGTCCAGCAGTGGCGCAAGCCAGCGCGACTTCTGCGCCGACGTGCCAAAGCGAGCGAGGATCTCCATGTTGCCCGTGTCTGGCGCGCTGCAGTTGAACACCTCGGGCGCCAGCACCACGCAGCTATCCAGCCGCATCATCATGTCGGAGAAGACGAAGAAGAAGACAGTACCGGCCCATGACTTCGCACATCATGCCGTACTCGACGTTTGTCAGCGGCGCACCGTACGAGACGCCGTCGATCGTGAGCGGCTGCATAAAGAGGTTCCAGAGCCCAAGCGACTTGGCCTCCGCCTTGAGCGTCTCGATGATCGGCGCCACGGCCGTCCACGTCTTGCCGGCCGCGCGGTTGGCCGCTTGCTCGGCCATAAAGACCGACTCGGACGGGAACACGCGGGTCTTGCAAAAGGCGACGAGCTTGTTGTACGTGGCCTTGGCTTCCGCGCTCATGGGGAGCCCAAGGACGGGCGCTGCGACCTCGTCCGGTGTAACAACCGACGGCGATTGCACGAGCGACGTGGCGAGCTGCACGAGCATGCCGTAGACGTCCCGCGTCTTGTTGGCATGCCCCGATGACGCGTTGCCCTATAAGACAATATCGGTTTTGCTAAGACCACTTCGTGTCGAACGCATTGTACCTGGTGGCTACGCGCGTACACGCCTTGCACGATCACGGCCATACGAAAGACCACGAGTGCACCAAAGAAGGTCCATGTCGTCGCCGTCGGCGGGTACACGGCCGCCCGCTCCACGTAGCCAGCAAGAAACGTGGCTTCGCTCGGGATGCCGAGACGCTCCAAGCGCTTGTCGACGAGGCCCGGGAGGAGCTATCCTAGGTGTGAGCCCCTCTCTCTCGACAAGAAGCGAGTACGGGAAAGGTCGATGGGATGCGGTACATAGTGCAAAAGGTTGCCACGTCGGCGAGCGGGTGCCCGATCGTGCTGAGCTCCCAGTCGAGAATCGCTACAATGCGCGGCTCGGTCGGGTGGAAGATGCAATTGTCGAGGCGAAAGTCTCCGTGGACGATGCCAGCGCGCTCGGGAATGGCCTCGACGTGCGCCTCGAGCCAGTTGCTGAGCGTCGCCAAGCCGGCGTCCTCGGGCAGCGTCGTGTTGAAGCTCGCGAGGATCTTTTGCTGCGCGACAAACTGCCGCGTCCACGTCGCGAGCACCCGGTTCGCGTACTTGGTCGGCTTGCCAAAGGTCTCGAGGCTACACAGAGTTGTTCGTTGACGCAAGAAAAGCACATGGGCGTGTACCCAAGCGCTGTAGGGTCGAGGCCATGCAGCGTCGCGAGGGCGTCATTGACGGCGCTGTAAATGGCGTAGCGCTCCATGGCCGAGACGCCCGGCAGCGACGGGTCCTTAAAGACGCGGCCGTGGATGTATTCCATCAAGTAGAACTCCGTGCCGAGCACCGAGGCGTCGTGGCAGTACGTGACCATACGAGGCACGGGTACCGGCGTCGCTTGCAGCGCCTATTGGCATCCTCAAGAGACGCTATGGCGATGGATATGATGGCAGTACCTGCATGATGCGAAACTCGCGGTCGATCGCATGCGCCGACGGCAAGATCTTGCCGGATGGCTTCTTTCGAAGCACGAGCTGCTGGCCGCCATACGTCACGAGGTACGTCGGGTTGCTCTGCCCGTGCTTGAACTGGTGCACGGTCAGCGGCTGCGATGGCGAGCTAAAGTGAGCATCTAGGAACGCGCCAAGCCGGGCTTCGTCCAGCGGCTGGCGCACGGGCTCGACGTCGGGCGCACTCATCGTCGTCGGTCGGTCGATCGCAAAGTGAGCCAACGCCGGTTGCACGTGGCGTCGGTCGTGAAATCGCTCCAGATAAACTCATCAGCCCCAGCTTGCCCTTTAAGCGCACTTAATCGAAAAGTCTCATTGCACCCCATTTCCAGCTCCATGTTGGGATTGTACGCGGGTTGTAGAACGACAAATGGCGTGATTTTAGCTGCTGTGCATGCGAGCTAAAACGGCAACTTGAAGTTGGTGTAACATTAGATAGGATGCTAGAGCGATGCGCTGGCCGAGAGAAAGGCGGGTGGTAAGCCAATGCCATGTGCGAGGAGCGCGTCGCCGTGCTTGGCGACCCAGTTCATCAGGTCCAAGCGCAGCTTGCATTTCTGGATGAGCTCCTTGTAGGCTGGTGTGACCGACTTGTTTAGGCACAGCGCGTTCGTGAGTGTCTTGCGGGCCAAGACGCTGGTGAGGCTACTCTGCAGCGCCTCGCGGATCTCGACGACCTTGGCCATGCGCTGCGTCCGGTAGGCAAACTTTTGCACCGTGTTGTACGGTGCAACCTTGTCCTGCGTCGCGCTGTAGCACACGTCGCACGCATGCTTGTAGCGCTTGGTCTGCGTCACCGCGTCGCGCCGGGTCAAGCGGTGGAGGCAGCCGACGACGTGCGCTGTTGCTTTTCGTGGCCGTGGAGCGTGATTTGAACGCCAAGGTCTTCGTACTCGCCGTAGACGGCCATGAGCCGCAGGTACGCGGCCGGGCCGTAGTAGATGCCTGGGCAGTCCTCGATCGGTGTGGTGGGCTTGGCGGACGACAGTGGCGGCGTCATTGTGGTCATAGGGGGTGCGGGTGCGAGCGACGTCATGCTGCTCGGTGTCGGTGGTGTCATCGAAAGGGTGGGCGCCGGACGGGGCGTGGTCACGAGGAGCATGGATTCGCCCAAGCCGGCGCTGCGCTGGTGGTTCTTGGACTTCTTGTGCGTCTTCCACGTCGTCGCGTTGAACGGCCCTTGGCACATGATACGCTGCGGCGTACCTGACTTGCCGACGCAGTACTTGCACTCGATGTAGCCACCGTCCGCGCAGGTCAAGCCGACCTCGTCGTCCTGCGCGACGTCGTCTGCCCACGAGTACTTGATGCGCTTCACGCGGCGAGTGGCGTCGGGCGGCGGGGACAGCACTGAGTCGACCGCGTCGAGCGCAGCCGGCGGAAGCATACCACTGCTGCTGGTGCCAAGCCCGTCCATCTTCGACGAATATCGGCCGTCAATATTATTATCCACCAATCATGCGCACCGAATTCAGTAGCAGCCAATCCAAGCACGCAATTACCTCTAAAATATTCATATTCGAGAAATACTCGTTGCCGTATCTGAGCCAATACAACACTATTCAAGTAATATTGCACATAGATAATGTGAGTCATCGACATGTCGTGTTATCGCCGTGTTTATCTGCAGGTCAGGCAGGACACACAAATGGTCGGGGCAGCTCCTTCCTTCATTGCGCTACAATTGAAAGAGAGCTCTCATCATATATAAGCTGTCTTTCTCGCGGCCCTTCTGCAACGCTTAAAAGGTGTGCAGAACCCAAGGCACGCCGCCCCCCGTCTATTCACACGCAACCTTACGTGCTGAAGTGGGTATGTACTAGTAGCATTGTGTGGCATCAATGCCACTAGGCTTGACAATGTGTCAACGTTACCAAAGAAGCGTGGCATGTCCTTGGCTACAGTTAAACAAGCTGGTTGAGAGACATCGCGATGTGATTCAGCCTTGGCAGTCCAAGTTGCGTGCAATCAGTCAATAGCATTTGAGCCTTGGCCAATCGAATGGCCCGAGCTTACCCCAAGCGCCAATCAGCGTCAACGTGCAATCTGGGTGACATGGCCACCATCGACGAGCTCGGCGACGACGCCAGCTTCTCCAAGTCCAACTGGGTCGCGACCGACGCCAAGGCCCGCGATGGCCATCTCTCGCTGCGCTACCTCAACGAGTTCGTCGGCGACCTCAAGTGCGCACCGGCGCTCCTCGAGCGTGGCCTCTTTCCCGATGCCAAGGAAGTGACCGAGGTGCGTCCCACCGTCAGCCTTGGCTCTATCTGCTGCGCATAGACCATGGGTGTCTTCAATGCCATCCGGAAGCTCAACCTCCACGTGCTCGACGCTGGCGACGACGCGACGGGCCTTCGCAACGGCATTGTCGTCGTCGGCGATGGCATGACGCGTATACGCCCGTCCCTGCCGATGCGACCACCTCACATGTTGTCGTGTAGCGCGGACAGCCGCCATGTTTGCGAGTCGCACGAAAGGCTGGACGTGCTTTAGCGTGGACCCGATCATGCGCGTGTCGACGCCGGTGCGTCATGGCGCGTGACCACATGTACCCACGTTGCTCGTGTAGGAGGCGCCCGTGTCGTGGGCCGATATGGAGAACGTCGTGCCGATTTGTGCCAAGATCGAAGATGTCAGTCTGACAGCTCCACACGCGGCCACGTCACATATCTGTCTAGATCCGCATTCGCCTCAACAAGGCGATCGTGATCCTCGTCCACGCGCACGTGACGATGCCCCAAGCCATGGCGTCCATCCAAGCCAACACTGTCGTCGCTGTGCTTACGCTGCCGTGGTACGCTGTCTCCATTTACACCCACGCACCACCACAACGGGTCGTGCTAGCTGCAACTGGTACGGGCACCAAGAAGAACTCGATCTACGGTGCGTCGCGTCGGTGCACTTCGGTAGTTAAGTCCCGTGGATAGCCCACCCACTGTCGTGTACGACGACATGAGCATCCTCTCGCAGCACCGCGAGGTACATCAATCTGATTGTGGAATCACCGTCGAAACCGCCCGTCCAGATCCGCCTCTGGTTGCCAGACCACACCAACCCCGACGCGATTGTACCGGTGGGAGGCGGGTGCGTCCGGAAGGCGTATGTGCCGCCTCGACGCGTGCCACCGCCGCTTGACGCGTTCCTGCATCAAATGCTCTCGACCCCGACGAACGACCTGCCCAGCGACATTGTGGCAGCCGTCGTTGACACGTGTCGCCGGTACATCCCCCGCAACACGAGGTCGACAACCGATGCAATAGACCTCTCGACATAGGTCGCTGGCACCCTCGGCGGCGCTGCTCTTGTTGGGTGACCAACCCACGGTCCACGCCGCGCTACAAACGAGTGGTTTTACCAACGTTCTTTCTCGCACCGAGCTCTCTGCCTCGTCGTCGTTGAAGGTCGATGCGATCCTCGATGTCGGGTACCTCCACGCCGTCCTCAGCCGCGTCGAGAAGACAAAAGCCTGTGGACTCGTGACCGAGCTCCTCCGCTTGTACAAGTCGTGGCTGCCAGTCCATTCGGGCGACGTGCTCTGCCTCTCGGGCCGCCGCATGTTGCGCAGTACAAAGTACTTTGCGCGGTGCGTTGACGCGATTGCTTGTGCTTCTCATCACTCTTCTCGATGGGTGGCGTAGACCGTCGCTCGCGTGGTCGATGGTCGTGACACCGCTCGCCGCCGCCAACGCGACGTTCACAACCTTCTTGCACCATGCAACGGTGCACGACGCGCCGCCCGTTGCGATGGCCGACGGCGATGCCCTGTGCTCTCTGGAAGCACTCCGCCCGCGCCTTGACGCGACGTTCACGGCGCGCTGCCCCACGGCATTGCCGGTGACGAGCATCGCCGATGTTCTTGCGGGCGGCGACTGTCCGAACGTCGTGGTGCGCACGTCCGGAGTCGTCACACGCATCCACCCAATGCACGCTAAGCTTGTGCTCGTCGACCTCTGTGACGCCGTCGACGGCAAACTCGTTCTCGTGCTTCTGCGCCAGGATTCGCTCATGGCACCTGGTGACGCGCTGCGCTTGCCGCACACGCTGCTCCAGCACCTCCAACTCGGTAATGTCGTCTGGAGGGATCACGAACCGAATATAAAAGGTGGATGATGTAGGGGATACGCTCGACGTCGTCGGCGACCTCGAGATGACGGGCACCGGGTCGCTCAGTGTCAAGGCGGCAGCGGTCCGCCTCGCCGCAACCGTGTCCAGAGATACGCTGACGTACTACCAATAAAGTGCCGCCTCGATGCAGGACCGTCGTCTCAGCGTTCGTGCAACCCAACTAGGTCTAGGGTTGGCTTGTACAAAGCTCTTGGTGGTAAGCTACAGACCACGGGCACTGCGGAGGGCAGGGAGAAGCTTCGTCGAGTGCACAATACGGTTGACAGGACGAGCTCTTTCTTGTAAAATTCAACTGTGTTGCGTGTCAAAACAGTCGATTCGATTTACGACTTAGGTCTCGTCGTCGCAGTACGACTCGCACTTGTTGAAGAGGAGCTTGGTGTCCTTGACGTACGACGCGCCATACTCGGCCATGAACATGCCTTCAGGAAACTGGATGCTGGGCACGCGGCTGGCGAAAATGCGCGCGTCGCACGTCAGCGGAAACATCATCGCCGGTGGCAGGTGCTTCTCGGCCGTTTGCACATAAATCTGGTCGCCGTCGTCGCGCCACATGTACAGGTCCAGATACGGCGTTCCGTGGTCAGGCGAGTCGGTGAGCGACGACTAGCGAGGAGAAAATCCATAAAAAATCACAGTGGGCAGAGGCGTGTACCGCGGGGGCATACAAAAGCGGCGCCAGCGGGTGGTGGGGCGCGACGCACGCGGCGTGGATCGCACGTTCAAACACATAGTACCCTTTTGCCCACATGACGTCCTGGAGGTGGTCCCAGTCCGTCTCCCACGGCACAATAATGTCCGTGTCGGGCGTGTGCGGGATCATGGCCTGGTCGCGCCACGCACCGAGGAGCGTGCCAAAGTAGACAAACGCGACTTGGTCTTCAGCGTTGAGCGCGGTCAGCATGTCCTCCATGAGCATATGCAGCACGGCCGAGCGGCATGGGCGGCCCGCCGGCGTCTCGAAGAGAGACGACTTGTCACCACGGCCGACACCGCACTGCTGCGGGCGAATCGGAAGGCAGTAGGTCCATTGCTTGCCCGCACGCAGGCGCGGCACGTCGTTGCGGAACGGCGCCAAGATCTCGGCGTGGGCTGGCGCGAGCAGCAGCGGCACCTGCTTTGCCGCATACTTCGCCGTTTTGGCGCGAAAATCGCTGTCGTCTTGAAGCGGACAGCGCGGGAGATTGGGCCGCGGTTGCATGCGCTTGGTGGGGGCGGCGACGTCGCAATGGGCTTCGCACGACTCGCTCGGATACGCAAAGGCGTACGGTGCGTTGGTGTCGAGCAAGACGGAGAAGAAGGCGGGTGCAAAGTGCGGCGTCTGCACCGCAACGTTGTAGAGGCCGAGACAGCGCAGCGGGAAGAGCTCATGGCGCGCAATCGGCGCGCTGCCGTCGAGAACGTACGCTGTCTCGTCGTCGCCCCCGAGCAGGCTTGGCGCCGCCGTCAACGACGCAAACCGGAGGTACGGCACACCGTTGTCCGGACCCATGACCAGCGGCAGCTCAGGCGCGTACAAGGCACTTGCAAGCGCGTGGTGCGGCGCGACGCACGTGATTCGGGCGCGCAGCTGCGGGTCGTAAAAGTGCGCAAAGCCGTCGGCCCAGAACGACGATGTGAGATCCTCGGTTGCGTCCGTGGCCACCTACGCCACCGCATGAGACCGATACAGGCGGTGCAGTAATACGTTGAGCGTATAGGCATTCGGTGGAAGCGCGCCGTACTCGTAAATGTGCTGCAGAGCGGCGCCAATTGGCGTGCCAAAGGACCCGTGGCGTTCCAGCACCTAACCATCATACCACTACCGTCAAGGAAGGGCCTCGACGGCGAGGATACCGTCGTTGCGGCCGACAGCAGGTGGTGCAAGATGGACGACCGGCACTTGCGCTCGCTCGTCGCGAGAAGCGCGTCAACCGAGCCGGCCATGAGCCCGCACTCGAACGAGTGCATGGGCAGGCAGTCCTTCCACGAAAGTTGCTGCGTCGGGAGGCTCGCATCCGCCACGCCGCTATGAACATGGGATCAGCTAGTACCGCAGAGCCAGTCATCGTCTCGGAGAGGGTACCGGAGGACACTTGCGTGCTCCTTGGACAAGACGAGTGGCGGTGGATGCACAGCGCGCACGTCGAGAGTGGCTTGGAACGTCGGCGAGAGGTATGAGCACGACTCGGTCCGCATCGGATACCGCGCGAGCGTGAGGAACCTACGTCGTTGGAGCTCCTTATTGAGAAAGTCGATGTCGCATCGTCGTACTCGGTGGTGCGGGCGTCGCGGTAGTAGACCACGGTCGCCAGCAGGAGCAGAAGGAGGACGATGTAGCGCTTGGGGACCGTTAGGATGCGCGCGCGGAGGAGCGCTGCCTTGTCAAAGGCAATGCCAACCACGTCTTCGGGCCCGCCGTCCATGCTGCTGCGACGTCGGCGCGCCATGACCAAATTGCAAACTGCAAAGTGGTGACCAACAAACTACCAGCTGGCAGACGAGTGAGAGCCAGGAAAAGTGGGAAAGTGAGGCCACAAGGGCCGCGGGAGAGATCCATTAAGATCCGATTGCGTCCCAATCATAAAAGAATCTTAGTCGTGGATCTTAGTCGTGGATCTGGATGGTGACGCGATCGATCGGGTCCAAATTGCTCGTATCTCCCTGACCGGTCGGGCAGAGAATAATTATTTAAAATGCAATGTTTATACGTCCGCTTGCATACATTGCCGCTAATAGAGTGGAATGCAATGTGCGGTACCAATCATAAAAATAATCAGAAACGGGAATTTTGCTTTTCGACGATTTTTCGAAACGACAATTTTCTCTGAAACAGTGACGTCTAAGTGCCTTGTTAGTGCTTGCCACTGTACGTGTACAAACTACATTGACAGATTCGTTTCCACTTTCTCGTAGCCTCGTAAGAGACCAATTCACGACGTCAAAAGGTACCCCTTCTGCCTTGCTCTCAAGTACGAGTACGCGAACAGGACTCGAATTGGCGATTAGCTAATTCCACCTCTCAACACGACGAGCCGTCGGACGACACCAATTGAGCAACTCGGTGGTCGTTCACATCAGACTGCATACGTCGGTGGCTGCACCGAGGCCAGATCGAGTCGTCGCCAGCCCCGGTTCTCATCCTGGTGCAACACAACTAGCGCGCGCAAATGAGGCAAGGAGCTTTCGCATGGGAGACGTACGTGCAAGGAGGTCTTGGGTTGCTGGCGGCACGAGTGCGGCGGTCGTCGCTGTGCTGTGGCTTACGTCTGGGCTCACGTTCACCTCGAGCAGCCAGACGCGGAACGTCTCGTCGATGAGAAAGTCGAGTCCGAGCCACTCAAACCCTTGCTACGTCAGCATTCTCACGTCATCTCTCGCATGCAAGAAGCGCGTACCCCGACACGGCGGAGCTTGCTCGCGACGGACGCCAGAGCCTCGGCGCAGGCAAACTGCATCGCAGGACGCAGCGAGGTCTCCCATAAGGCTCCGTGGCCAAGCTCTCTAGACCCAGTAACATCTTGACGACGACGAGTCGAGTCCAGTGGGTGTACGCGAGGTGCTGCTGAAAACGATGCAGCGGCCACATGTGGTCTGGGATCTCCTTGTGCGCAGCTCCCGTCGCGTGCTTTTGAATCGAGTTGTTGCAGAGGTGCATAGCCCTACGAGACGTTATGACAATAGTCTCCACAATGTCACCACGAAGAGACAACTTGTCCTGGAGGCTGGTCGACGAGGCGAGGCTGTACTCGGTCGACGCGAAGCGCAGGTAGCACGACTCGTACCAAAAGACTTGGAGCGGCGCGACGTCCGTGAGCAGAACCCACTGCCGAATGTCAAACTTGCGCCCGTAAATCGTGAGCGGCCGCTCGACGTACTGCTGCACGACCATCGGTGACGCCCAGATCGCCTCGAGCTCGGCCAGGGACGTCACGAGCTCGATACCTACTTGTCATGAGAAGACGATGCTGACGATAGGACGCCGGACCCCGGCCTTGCGAGAGGCCCGACGGCTTGGCGATCCACAGATTTCGCGTTCCGACAAAGTGAAATTGAGGGTCGCAGGCTTGGAAGTGGTGTAAGATCGCTTGAATTAGATCATGTTGTGCACTTGGGATCGACGAGTCGACCTCGCGGTGCAGCGCGCTGTACAAGCCATCGAGGGCAAGCGTGCTAAGAAAGGCGGCGTCGACCTACCGGTAGAAGGGCGTCAAGTCGCGTCCTGGGTCTATGGAGCAAGGACCATGATGAAGCCGTGCGCACGGGCGACGGATGGATCGGGGTTGCGCCGCATCAGCTCGGCTGCGATGGCCAGCGCGGGTGTGAGGTGCGACGCGAAGGCCGTCGGGTGCTTGAGCACGAGCAGCACCTGCGCGTACAGAAAGAGCTGGCGCCACTCATCGAGCGAGGCAGCGCTGCGGGGCGCGATGTGCTGACGGCTATGGCGAAGCCGGAGGTGCGCGAGGAGCTCGTGCTTCTGGCTCAGCAACACCGCGTGCTGGAGGTGGTTGACGATGTGCGCTGGCTTGACGTACGCCCACTGCACCTTGGCGTAGTTGACGAAGCGCAAGCGGCAGGTCGGGAACGTCCAGTGGCGCACGGCCGCCCAGCCATCGGCCTCGAGACACGCGATGACGTCCGGGTACTTGGCGTCAACGTAGAAGCCCGCTCCTGCCATGCGCCAAGATACGCCACACCCTCGAAAGCCCGACCCGTACATCACGTTTTATAGGTTTTAATGGGTTTAATAGGTCGCCGACCAGTGGTGGCTGCTTGCAGGACGGCCATGGGCATGACCGAGCGCGTCGAGAAAAATACGCTGACGAAGAACTTGAGGGCCCTTAGCATGGCCTTGTCTTGCGTAGTCCTCGTCACGCGTCTAGATGCACGCTGTCTCTGGACTATGCATACTAATACTGTAAAACCGAGTCCGTCAAATAGGTTTTATATCAAAACCCACCGATATTTTACGTCAAATGGGTCGTATCCGGAACGTCCAAATCCGGACCAGTGGAACGATGGACGCGATCGAAGCTCGGAACGCGGCTGGCAACGACAAGTACAAGGCTGGCGACTACGTTGGCGCGCGCACCGAGTACTCGGCGGCAATCGACCTCCTCGAGGAGGTCGACAACGCGGCGCTGCACAGCCGCGTCCTTGCCAACCGGGCGCAGACGTACCTGCAGGAGCGCGACTGCGCCATGGCCCTTCGCGACGCCGCCGAGGCCATTGCACTCGACCGCACCAACCTCAAGGCGCACTTGCGTAAGATCGTCGCGCTTGAGAACCTCGAGAACTTTGAAGCAGCGCTCGAGCACGTGTACGTCCTTCTGCCGCTCGCATCGTCGTCGCCCGACCATGCGACGTACATGCCATCGGCGCTCGCAGCCAAGAACCGGCTGCGCAAAGCCTGCAGCACCGACCGCGCGGCCGCCAAGGCCCAAGCGTACGACGTCGGGAAGCTCGTGCATGCCAAGCAGTCGCTCCGGCTCAACTTTGCGATCGCGTTTCCGCGATCGCTGCCTCTCCAGCACTGGTTCGATGTGACCGTCTTCCTCGCCAATGAGTTTGGCCTCTTCCAGCGCGGGCTTGTGATCACGCCGCTGCCACTCGTCTGCGAGCTGCACACGCCAGTGCCCGGCGTGGCCATCGAGGTCGACCCGTCGCCTGCCGTGCTTGGTCTCAACGGAAAGGCGCATTTCCGTCTCCGCTTCACCGCCGCCGACGTTGGCGGCAAGAGTCTGCCGTTGGTCGCGCTGCGCGTATCGCTCACCAAGGGCCATGGCCTCAACGACGTCTTGCCCGTCGTGACGCTGCCCGTGCAACTACTCCCGCCGACATCAACCAAGTGGGCACCAACCGAGCCCTCGACGCCCGACCCGCTCGGCATCCAGTGCTGCCGCAGCGTCTACGTCGACGAGATTGACTCGTACATCACCTTGGCCGAGTCCCCCGGACATCTCGGTACGACATACAATGCGATAGTCAATCTCTAAAAATGAGCGGTTTGTCTCATATATGTTTACGTGACACTAGGCATTGCGGGCAAGCTCTGGGACTCGGCTCTCATTCTGACGACGTACTTGTCGCGCCACCAAACGGTGCTATCGCGCAAGCGCGTGCTCGAAGTCGGGAGCGGCCTCGGTCTCGTGGGCATGGTCTGCGCGCGTCTCGGCGCGGCAGCCGTGACGCTGACCGACATGGACGAGGTCGTGCCGATGCTGCAGTACAACCTGCAGCTCAACGCGCTCGAGGCAATCGCGTCGGCCGCGCCGCTGTGCTGGGGCACGTCGTCCTCGCACTTGTCGCCGCCGTTCGAGGTCGTCGTCATGTCAGACGTCGTCTACGACCCGGCGGGCTATGCACCGTTGGTGCAGACGCTGCTGGACGTGACGACGCCGTCGACGACGATCCTCATGGCGCATCGCTCCCGGCACCCGCAAGAACAGGACTTTTTCCAGCTCTTACGCGCGTCGTTTGACACCGAGACGATCCCGCTCCAAGGCGTCTGGGACCACGAGTCGCGCATGACGGACGTGCAGCTGCTACGCCTCTCACGCCACGCGTAACCCGCATTGGGACCAAGTGGTTGGTCGATACGACCTCGCACCTCACTGCTGTTGTGTCGTACTAGAGAAGAGGGACCTCATCTGCTCGGACATAGGTCGCACAGAGGGTGGCATGGCGGAGCAATGGACAGGACGTCGACCATCGCTCGTATCTGCGTCTACATTGTTTTTGGTAGAGTAAAAGAAGCCTCTTATACATCCGCCATCTCCTTCTCGCAATGCTTGTCAACAACCGACCGTTGACAGCCTCGACCCCGTGCTGCGAGAGGCTGGCTCTTGCTCTCAAATGGGGTGCCAAGCGTCGCATCATGGGCTCTGATGCATGGCGTCGCAAGGCCTCGAGAGATCGATGCGCAAGCAAACGGCTCCTCTCTATCTGGTGTTGCCGCCTTTGCACGATTTGTTGCTGTATCCAACCGCGAGCACTTTGACAAGTCCTCAGCATCGACGAGGAATCACGCTGTTTCTCTTGGCGACCTTGAGGCAGCTTTAAAGCGCACGGCGAATACGATCGGCATCGTAGTAGTACGCAGGGTCGACGGTAGTACGCAGGATCGAATGTAGTAAAAGGACGATAGATTGATCAAATGTCGTACTCTTCCTGGCGGTGCCCGTCGTCGGCTTCCGACTGGTCGTCGACCTCGAATTCAAACTCGCTATCTTGCGGCACATTGTCGTCAGTGTATCCTTCCGAGCCCGAGATCATGGAGAGAGCGTCGAGCTCGTACGTCTCTTGCGAGCCATGGTACGCTGTCGGGCGGCGCGGGTTCGAGTCGACGCCCGTCGAGACGCTGTGCGTATCGATCGAGACCTCGGACATGGTCTTGCGCCGGGGCGCCGGCGCCGGCATCGACCGATGGTACACCGAGTGCTGGTTGCGCATGTACGGGTGCGCGAGGATCGGTGGCTGCGGCTTGGCCGGTGGCTGCGGCTGCGGTGGCGCTTGGCGCTGCGGCAACTGCGGCGATATGTACTGGGGCACGAATTGCCGTGCCGTCGGTCGCTGCACCGGCGACGGCGTCTGCACCGGCGGCGGCTGGTACACTGGCGGTGCTTCTTGCGGCGGCGACTTGTACAGAGGCGGTGGCTGCGTCGTGTGCTTGGCCACCGGTGGCTGGAACTGCCGCGGCGTCGGTAGCGACGGCATCGACGCTCGGTTCGGGACGTGGACGTGCGGCGCTTGTGGCATCGAGAGGGCTTTGGGTCGGCGCAGTGGCGACACCATCGGGAGGTTGGTCGGGGCTTCGACGACTGCGTGCGTGGGTGCGTGCGTCACGTGCGGCGTGTGCATGCGCTGCTGCATCTCTTCGCTCTCGGCGCAAATGCAGCGCATGATCGCATTGGCGTGCGTCGTGCAGTCCATGGGTCGGCGGACCATGCTCATGTCTGCGCTGCCGTCGTTGAACGCAAGCAAGAGCGGGAACACGTCCAGGTCCGTGATGCACTGGAAGACCGAGAAGCGGCGCTGGCGCTTGGGCTTCTTGTAGTGATTCTAGTAACGCACCGCTCAATTAATACCTAAAGGGTAGGGGACGCACCTCGACGATGACGCGGAGGATCTCGAGGATCAGCGTTGGGTCCTGGTGCTTGCGCTGGATTGGCGCGAAGAGCGACCGGAGACACTCGGGCGACTCGAAGAGAGATGAGTTGGCAAACACCGCCATGAGCCGCAGCACACAGGTCTGCGGAAAGCCGACCGCGCGCTCGGCCTGGCACTGCGCCAGCACATCGAGGAGGTTCTGCGCCATGAGCTCTTCGTCCTCTAGATGCGCCTTGGCGTCGCTGTACTCCTACAACACATAGAGATGCGTCATTATAAGAGCTCGCCGTGGCCAGTAGTACCCGCAAAATGAACACGAGCGCGTTCGTGAGCTTGTTGAAAAGGCCGGCAAACTCGACACCGCGGTCGACGAGGTCTGGCAGCGTGTACGGTGCATCCATCATGGACTGTGCGGCCTTGGGGATGATTTGCTGCAGCTGGTGACACCACACGTTATAGAGCTGTGAGGCCACGTGCACCGGGAAGCGGAGCGTCGACGCTCCGGGTTTTGCAGAAAGAGATCCAAATACAAGTCGCCGACGATCGTGCCGTGGTCCCACGCGTTGAAATCCATGCCGTCCTCGGGAAACGAGAGGTACTTGTCGTGGACGTCGGTCGCGCCTTCGATGCGCGTGAGCACCTCGTCCATGTGGCCGCGCAGCGCGCGGCGCATGTCTTCGTTCCAGATGAGCTCGGCGTCGTGTGCGTCTTCCTCAAAGACCGCTTCAAAGTTTTCGGGGTCGTCCATGAGTGTACTCACGAGGGCAAACGGAAGAAAATGCCGCAAGTTCTCGACCGCCAAAGCCTCCATGTCGTCGCTAAAGTTGAGGATCGCGCCCCAGACCGGCGCCGCCGCCGCGCGAAGCGTCTCGGCCGCCATGTGCGCGTCTTCGGTGTAAAAGTGCCGCGCCTGGATCGTCATTGAGAGCAGTTGGAGCCACACGTGGCTTTCGAGGAGCCCGATGCAAATGTCGGCGCTCGCGCTGCAGAGCGCTTGGAGGCACCCGAGGCTAAAGTCGGCCGTCTCGTCCCCGGCGTACTGCTCGGCGAGGTTGAGCATCGGTTGGCAAAACGGCTCGAGGGCTGAGAGCACCTGCGCGTCACAGTGTTCCGCCAGCGTCTCCATGCACGCCATGGCGGCATCCCGGCGCTGGACAGCGTCGACGTCGATGCCAACCGACCCTTCCGAGAGCGGGACGCCGCCGGCCATTGGGTCTTGCGTGAGGTAGAGCCCGATCGCGTGGATAAGCGGCGGCTCCGAGAACGACTCGAGGACACACTTTTGCACCTGCGTCGGCTGTGCGAGCGTGAGGTGCCGAAAGCAGTCGAGTGCGAGGAGCGTCTCGGCATACAACTCGTCTTGCGGGTTGGCGTGTTCGTGCAGAAAGACAAGCAGCGACTCGCAAAACTCCAAAGCGACCGACGATGGCAGACTCTTGTCGACGATCGGCTCGTTGTAAATGCGGAGGTACACGCCACCCACCACCGGTTCACCGACGAGCGTCTCAAACTCAAACTCGGATGCGGACTGAATCGCATCGTACGCGTGGGCAGGAAACTCGAGGATCGTGTCGAGGTACTGGACGACCTCGGACCGCATCGCGTCGTTCCAAATGCACTGCGGCTCGTGCGTCTCGCCAAAGACAAGGCTCAGAATGTGCTCGGGATCGCCCTGGACGAGCGCTGGCTTCGACCAAATGGGCAGCAAGGTCGCAAGCGCGCTCTGGACGTTTCCCTGGGCCTTGCACTCGGCGTCGTACCCGGCGAGCGCCCGCACGCAGCGTAGTGCTGCCCACACGACTTGCTGCTTGGCGGGCTGCGGGCCGTAGAGCAAAAGCAGCTGCAGGCACTGCCACAGCACCGACGAGCTTTCCAGGATCGTGTTCTGGGATGTCTCGTGCCGCGCCATGAACGAGAGGATGTCGAGGCCGAGGATCGTCATGTTCGGGTGCAGCAGATCCATCGTAATGAGGTCGCAGACGATCTGCACGACCGGTCGAATCGACGGCTTCTTCGTCTCGACGGCATCTTCGAACGCGAGCTCTTCGCGGCCAACGTCCGTGTTGGCCACCGCGAGGAGCACGCGGAAGGCGAGGCCACCGATGTAGTCAAAGTTCGAGTCCGCCTCGGAGACCCAACCATCTTGGTACTTGCGGCAAAGGTCGGCGATCTCGATGATGGTCGGGAGGCCACCCGCGCTAGACACGACGCCGCATCAAGTCCTCTGAAAACACGATGCAACGCACCGAAGCATTTGTTCGACGTTCCACGGCGACGAGATCATGGTCGCGAGGAGGAGCTCCATCGTCAGCGAGAGCAGCTCCATGATCGGACCGTCCGACTCGAGCGACGCCGGCGGCAGCTCAATGTCGACGCGCAGGTCGAAGCGCGCGAGGAGCTTCAAAAGCAAGTCTAACGAAGCGGCATGAGACCGCGAGCAAAGCGCCGACAACGAAGCGCGTACCGTACGACTCGTACGGGATCGACTGGAACGTCGACTGGAACGTGTCGTAAAAGAGCAGCTGCGTGCGCAGCAGCAGCGACAGCGTCTTGTGCGGCAGCTTGTCGAGCTCGCAGTCGCTTTCGGGCGCACACGAGAGCACGAGGAAGGCCTCGTTCAGCCGCGCAAGGTCGACGTTCTCGTCGGCACGGCAAATGGCGCGGTACCGGCCGCGCAAAAACGCGCCTTCCGTCTCGAACGTGACTTCGGACGGATCGACCTTGAGCAGCGCCCGCGCCGCCGTCTTGGTCATACGACCTAAGGACGGTGTCATGCCAACAATACAGTGGTGGGTAATGGACGTACTCTCGGCCACAGCGATCTGCTCGCGCCACGTGAGATGCAGTGCACGCATGAACCCGAGCGGGTCGGTCACTTCGTCCGCCACGTTCACACGCTTGGGCTCCGGCGACGCATCCTCGACTGGCTCGTCATGATGCTCGTCGTCGGCACCGTCGTCATAGCCGTCGCCGTCGTCATACCCGTCACCGGCGTCATACCCGTCACCGTCATGAAACTCGTCGTACCCGTCGTCGTCGTCGCCGTACGCTGGCTCGTTGGGCTCGTTTGCGTCTTGCGCGCGGACCGCGCGGGCGTGCGACACGTGGTCGTGGACGTCGTCGTCGTCCGGGTCTTCCGGAAAGAGGCGCGAGAGGTACATGTTGTAGACGTAGATGTCATCGCGCAGCTGGAGGTAAATGACCGGCGGCATCGGCGAGTACTCGAATCTACGCAAATGCTTCAGTCCTTTCCGAGGATCGACGAAGCGTACTGCGCCGTGCTGTCTTGGTGGAGCCGAGCGACGAACGGACTCAAGTGCTCGTGGAGCATGAGCTGGAGGTGCTCGCGCATTTCTTGGAGCCAAATGACGCGGCCGTCCGTCGTGCGCATGGTAAAGACGTCGGCAAACACGTGCGGGCCTTCGAGGTCGAGAATCCGGATGAGCGCTTCGGGCAAGAGACCTTCGAGGATGCTGTGGCGACCGGCAATGTCCTTTTGTCGGCGGTGCGTCTGCGCGAGAACGAGTGCGTGCTCGAGGAACGAGACGCGGCTCGCGCTTGCAAACATAAACCAGATCGCGCCGCATCGGTACAAGTTGGACGCCTAGACAAGTTGTCTGTTTCAAGAAGATATGGACAATATTGCTGTCTACCGTCGCATCGTTCATGGCAACGAGGCGGTGCAAGATCGCAATGGCGCTCTCGACGATCGCGCCTTCGTTGCACAGCAAGAGCTGCACGACATTGGAGAGCGAGATCGGGTCGCCCAGAAACCGCTTGCCCTACTGTCGCGTCAGCATTTGTGTTTTCTCGAAACTGAGTCGATACCGCCGGCACGGGGAAGTACTGCAGGCCGGACGACGTTCGGTCCATCTCGCACTCGACGAGCGCGCGCACCTAGTACAAAAGTATAGTTGTGGACAGAGTGTCTTATATCATCATCTACCAGCGTCGTCGTGTAGATGCACACATTGACGTGGAACGGCGCTTGCACAAAGAGGCGCCAGCGGACGCGCGGCACGCGGAGAAGTGGCCGCCACTCCCGTTCTTCGGGGGCCCGCTCATTGTACATGGAGAGGAGGATGCGACTCCAGTTGGACGTCTTGGTCGAGCAGATCGCTTGCAAAATGGACTCGGGGTGCGGCCCTGAGACGCTCGACATGTCGTTGTCCTTCATGACATACCTAGAACCAAGCATCTTGGCTCCTATACGCTTCCGTCAGAGGTCTTTACCAGTAGACTTCGCCCGTAAACGTCTCTTCGACCGCGTCAATGTTGGTCTCGCCTTCGTCGAGCTCGGTTTCGTCCATGCCAGCGCGCACCGACTGCTTGAAGAAGTTGAAGTAAGAAAAGCCAGACTTGGGCGGCGCGCCGTCGCCCTCCATCGACTTGGGCGTGTTGGTGATCCACTGCGACGACCGCGCCGACTTTTTCATGGTCTTGACGTCGCTTGTCGCGACCGGCGTGTTCTCGTGGATCAGCGTCGACATATCGAGGAAGAGGTCGACGTTGTCCTTGGCTAAAATGTACTGGCACGTGTCCCGGTTGAGCGCGACCGTGCTCAGCCACGCGAGGAGGTACTCGATGATGTGCGCGCGCGTCTCGCCTCGGAGCATGCGCACCACGTACTGGATCTTTTCCATCTAGGGTGTTGATACGTTGATACATATCATTTCGGTCACGATGACATACCTCGATGGGCCCCATCGTCGGGAACGCACGATACGTGGCGACCATGAGCTGAAGGCACCAGATCTCGGCGCGGTCCAGCTGCGTCGACGGAACCACAAGGCTGTCCGAGTCGACGCCGACCATCGAGGCACTCCCATACGGCGTGACAGTGCAGAACGGAAGCTCTTGGAGCCAGCGCTGAAAGCACTTGTCGAAAAACGCCTTGGGGGCCGCCGAGATGTCGTTGATGGCGTGCGCAACAACCGTCTTGTAGTTGCCATGCGCGGCGAGATCCAAGTCAATGTCGACGAACGACTGCGCGCGCGTCCGGCTCGACGATGGTTCGCAGAGCACGATGCCATCGTGCACGTTGTCGATGAGAATGCGCAGAAAGTACGGGCCGACCTTGATCTCTTTGGCCAAGCTCGCATACTCGACCTTGAACGACGCGTGGTTCCAAGCAAACGGCATCGCGCTAAAGTGCTTGAGAGGGTGCGCGACCTCTTCTTCGTGCTCCAAAATGGCCTCTTCGAGCGCATACTTGAGTTCGCGGCGGGTCGTTGCGTTCCAGATCGCATCCGGCAACGCAAAGCCATGCAGAAGCAGGTGCGACACCAAATGGAGATCCCGGGATGTCTCGCACTTGTAGTTGTGCGGCATGTGCGAGTGCCGGGAGGCGACCTCGAGCTCGATCGCGTTCGGAAATTTGATGACGCGCGCATGGAGGCGGCCGCTAAACTTGTCGATCGCGTCGCAGAGCTCTTCCTCGTCGCCATTGTCGTCGACGGGCAAGTCCATATGGAAGGACGCGCGCGATAGGAACGTCGTCGACGTCGCCAGCGGGTCGTCGTCGTCCGATGCGCCGGTCTTGGGCGGCAACATGCCGTCGCCGTACTCTTCCAGCATCTAGTTTCTCAACATGAGGGTAGGGTCCATATCATTTTACGCAGGTTTCAACCAGTTTTTTGGTCTGTGGGTACGCGAGCATGCGGAGAAAGCCCGTGGGGAGGACGCGGTGCAAAAGCTGAAACGACGGGCGATGTGCTGTCATAAAGACCGACGCGACAAACTGATTCACAAAGCGCTGGTCGTGCGTCGGCGAGTACCACCCCTTGTAGAGGTGCCGGAGCGTGAGACCGCCTGCAAACCACGTCATTTGATACAATACTCCTACGTTGATCGTACCGTTGAGCGCCATGTCGCAGATGGCCTGGCGCGTCGCGGCGTCGGCGTTCTCGACCACCATCTTCATGATCATGACGCACGCTTCAAACGTGCCAATGACGGGGCGAGAGTAGAGGATGCCGAGCACGCGCGGGTAGATTTTCCCAAACTTGCCAATGAGCTCCATGAAATGCGCGTTGTTGGTCGAGTCCCGGTGCGTGCAAAAGACCGAGTCAAAGAGGCTCGACACCGCGAGCAGCGTCAAGGGACCGTACCCCGGGTTGAGCTCGTCCTCAAACGCATGCAAGAGGTGATCGACGAGCCGCGTGTTGACAAAGATGCGCTTCTTGTTGGCAGCTTCCCGGCTTTTTCCGTCCGGGGACCCACTGGCGTCCTGCGAGAGCGCGTGAATGAGCTTGATGGTCCAAAAGATTGACGACTCGTTCTCAGTCGTAAAGACAGCGAGGAGCGTCTCGAGGAGGCTGATGCCAGGGATGTCCAAGACGCTCCGCTCGGCGTGCTGGAGCCAGCAGAACGCTTGCAAGATCGCAATGATAGCACGATGGTCGCGGGTCTTGCACGACAGCATGAGCTACCACCACGTGTGTGAGGCCAACCCATACATCGACGCAATAATACGTACGACGTTGGACATTTCTTTGCAGACGTGCGGGATCCACGCCGCGTCGCTCTCAAAGCGCAGCCGCGTGTGGCGACTCACACTGCAGTTGGCGTTGAACTCTTCGACCGCGTCGACAAACCCTTGGGTGTCGGCGTCGTGGATCTTGCTCAGGTAGTAGACGCCCATGCTACACTATCGCATAGGTACTTCGAAGCAGAAACGAGCGATTCGTATACCCTTGCGGTCCAAAGTAGAACGCGTGTTCCTTGTCGGTACCCACCACCGCGCGCGGGAGGAGCTCCATGACGAGCTCGGACGGCTTGACCTGCATGCCGATGCACATGTCACCGCGCTCGTCCTTGTGGTTCATGCACGCATCGAGCAAGGTGGTCATGATCTCTTCGCGGGCATCGGCGTCGAACCTACGCCCATGATGGGATATCGTACTTGTCCATATCGCATCGCGCGGGCGTACCAAATGGACTTGCCCGAGACAAAGTTGAGCTGGAGGCGCGTCGGGTGGCGCTCCAGACGTGTCACGGCGTGGATGCTCGAGTAGCGCCACATGCGAAGGTTGTCGCCTGTCTCGTCGCACTCGAAGACGGCGTCGGCGGTGAACCCAAACACCTTGAGCTTCCTAATGCACACCATATTGGAATTCGACTCGGGATGAAACAAAAGTGACATACCCGGTAGCGTCGGATTTGTGGGAGCTCATGCGCACGACGGGAAACTGCAGAAGGATCTGCGTCTGGGACGACGCGACCGATGGCCGGCACGTCAGAATCTGCTCGTTGCGCAGAATGCCCGTGATCTCGAGCTGGATGCCGAGATGGCCTGCCAGCGTTTGCCTACGTCAACGTGTCAAGCATCTCGTCGAGATACGATTGGACCAACATGAGGTCGAAAATCTCCGTGCGCTCGAACGAGTAGACAATGCGGTGGCGACCAGAAATGCGCAGCACGAGACCGCACGGGTCCTCGGCCATGAGCCCGATACCGCCTTGGATGCGTCCGTAGTCGTACATGGAGCGTTTTCCCGGCGTGCCGTTGACGTGGCCGGTGGTCCAGACGATGAGACCGCTGGGGGCGACGTAGATGGCACTCTTGACTTGACCCAGCTTCTGCGTCGCTTTCGATCCCTCGTACTTGACGGCGTGGATCTGAAGTCGGTCAATGGCCAAGTCCAGGTCGCCGTCGAGCAAGTGCATGAAGCGCTGGAGGAACTGGGACTTGAAGCGGTAGCGCAGCCGGAGCGCAACGGGGTGTGTCCGGTGGCGAAGGTCCTATCCATTTTGCTCGAGTGGTGTCGTGTGGCACTTGGAGTGGTACCTGGTCGGGGTCGAGGCCATGAGGAAGCTGTAGTATTGCTTGATGATGCGCTCGGGGCTCTCCATGTAAAAGTCGCCCGCGAGGTCCTGGCCCAGGTCCCGCAACGTCGCTTCGTGCGTTTTGGTGAAGTTGAGCACGGACGAGTGCACCATGTGGTCGAGGATGCACACGATCGACTCGACCGTCGACGTGACCGGGAAGTGAAAGAGTGTCCGGAGCAGCATAAAGTAGTGCATCGAGACGTGACTGAGGAGAATGTTGAAGAGCGGATCCACGGCCATCCCGTCGACAACGAACGACATGAGCGCGTCGAGGACCTCGGTGAGGCGCATCACCAGCACCGCGTTTTGCTGTGGGTCCTATCCTGCGCGTGAGTTCGATTCCCGTGAAAATCGCTCTTTCGTACGCCATGGGGGGACGGGTGCAACGGCTGGAAGAGCGCGAGGAGGGCCGTCGCAAAGCCGTTGTGGGACAAGAAGACCTAAGGGCCCATCATCACGACCAATAACATGGCAGGCGAAGGAATACCTTGCGCGCCATTTGAGCCAGGAACCGCTCCGAGTTGTGCAGCAGCCGCGCCATGAGCCGGAGCACCCAGTACGTTGGATGGAACTGCTGGCGCTTGAGCGTCTCGGCCATCGCGTCCATGTACTCGGAGCGCTAGTCAATCATTGTCCTTAGCCCAATCCGACACCAACGAACGCATTCCGAACCGATAGCATGTCGAGAGCAACCTTGGCCGCGTTCGGGTGCGTCACGAGCCGGTAGAGCGCTTGGAGGTACGACGAGACGACCGACATGTCGCGCTGCGCCGTCCGCATGACGTGATTGGGCAACTAGTCACAGACAATATTGTCCATCAACTCGGCATGTGTGCAGCTGTACCTCGCCCAGTAAGAGCGATACGGCTGCACCGATATCTTCCTTGAGCTTGCTCGACACGCCGGCGATCGTCACGTTGGCGTTAAGCTCGGCCACCATGTCGCCGACCGGGATGCCGGTCTCGGGCTTGGAGCCGCTGCCGCGGTGCACCTTGAGCGTCTGAAAGATTGACGGCGATTTGGCTTTGCCCGAGTCGGCCTTGCTGTCGCCGCCGCCCACGAGCCGCTGAAGCCACATGGATTGGTACTGGACGGCTTCGGACGGTACGGCCGCCGGTGCATGCAACATGCGCCGGAGAAACATGCGGTCGCCGCGCGGTGTGCGCGTCTTGGTGAGTGGCACGAGGTTACCACGGGCTTCGCAGCACGAGAGGAGGTGGCCGAGGATGGCCTCGCGGTGGATCGAGAGATAGGTGCGCCGGAGGCCGTTGACAAACTCGAGGTCGAACGCTTGCGGGTCATCTTCGTGTCTAGAGCCCCATGAGATTGGGTTGTTGCGCTTGGAAAGAGTCCTACCGAACGAGCTCAAAGAGCTTGGTGAGTGGCTGTGCGAAGGCGACAATGTTGCCGTCGTCCATCTCGCAGACCACCGAGTCGGTGAGCAGAAACGACCGCCCGTACAGCTCCTACATCTCGCTTTTGAGTGGTCGTCCACGCACATCGAGCTACGTACCGACTGGCCGTCCTCGAGCAGAATTGGGATCTGCACGTCGTAGCGGCAGAGGATCCCGCCGTCCGTGAAGCCCGCAAACTGCATGTGCTGGGCTTGAATGTCGGATGCGGTCGTCTCGCGGTTGATGGCGACGCTCACGTCGTGGCTGAGGGCGGCGTCGAGGATTGCGCGCACGACGTCGTTGGGCGCCGACGTGTGGAAGATGTGGACCATGTCGCCGGCCACGATACCGAGCAGCGTCGGGTCGTCCAACGCGAGGTCGATGCACTGGATCTTGGTGAACTCTGCGTACGGGAAAATGTCGGCCGTACCGCCCGTCTGGTACACTGCATCGACGCCGACTTGGAGCATGCACTCGGCGAGCGTGCATTGGATCCGCCCGGGATCGGCGGCGTCTGGGACAAAGACTTCGACGTGGGCTGCGAACGACGTGAGTTTGGCGAGGACGTTCATGTTGCGGGACCGGCGCTCCATTGAGAAGGAAGCGCGCGCACGCGCGAGGGCCTGGAGGACCTCGGCGCGGAAACGGAAGCGCATTTTGAGCTGCACCTTCTTCTTGAGGCCGGGCATGTTGATGGTAAATTCCTACATCAAGGGTTCAATCAAGAAGATGAAGAAGAAGAGGACGGTGTACCGTCTTGTCTTCGTGCGAGAGCTCGATGGACGAGATGGCCTCGTACGACCACTCGTTGGTGATCGCGCCCGTCTTGGGATGCAACGTCGCAAACGTGTAGGCGCGGAGCCCGAGAATGCGCTCCTGCTTCCCGCTCCACTTGACCTTGACGACGAGGAACTTGTCCGTGAACGTCGGGTCCACCATCTCGGATGCTTCGTGGGTTGCCGCGCGACAAGGGAAATATTCTGTCTCGCAGCCAACGTCCAGCGGCAGAGGAAATAGAGGTCGGGCACAGCCCACTGTCCAATCACGCGAAACCGCTGCCATCTGTTTCATGTGCCCGTTTCGCGGCAGAAGGGGCGGCCATGTCGCAGCTCACCACGGACGGTGGCGCGTCGGTCCCGGCGATTATGATTAAAGCGGTGGTGGAACCATGCACAAGGCCCGTATCGGTAATGCCAGTCGATTGTCGGTGTCGAGACGCGCACGGGAGCGTATCGTGGCGGCTCGTGTCTCAGTAGTTAGCGGCCCATTAGAACTGATTCTTATTGCCACTTGCTGAGATGCATACCGCGAGGCAAGCAAGCGCGGCGAAGGACAACGAAGACGGCGGACAAGTTGTCTCTGTGTGCGTGGACGTTGATCAGAGGGCGTCTCGTACATGTAGCTCGTACCGCTAAACTTGATTATCTACACCCACGGTGTGCGTCAAGGAGCAAAACCATCAAGCCACCGACAAGCATACATACGAGAGGGTGTTTTGATCTTCAGCGTGGTCTAGACTGTGTTCATACGAATGTCAAATTTGAAAAACGCTACCAGAAAGGCCACAATGGTCACCACACCGCCGACGAGAATCGGAAGCGCGTGCGGCAGCAACGTGGTCACGAGGATCGGCGACGCGGCAAACGCGAGGAGCTGGCCAAAGCAGTTGGCCGAGTTGAAGGCGCCGGCAAACATCCCGAGGCCGTTGAGTTCGCCGTACCTAATCACGAGCAAAATCACGGGAATTTGCATGGAAAAAACCGTGTTTTGAGTCACCGATTTGGCGGTCCCAACGACGGCCGTGGGGATCTTGCTGCGGATGAAAACGAGGATCACGAGGAGCGTCTGCGGCAACATACTGTACACGACGACGCTCCGCGCCAAATTTGCGGACGAGTTTCGGCAACAGAAAGAGGTACGCCAAGCCAACGACGAGATGGAGCGTGTCAACAAGCGAGCAAGGCGCCGTCGCTGTAGCGCTGCTGCGGTGCATCGCATATTGGGCACTTGTCGGCGCCCGTGGCAGTCCCGTCGTTGAGGACGAGGCCAAAATACTGGTTCTTGTTGCCGTTGTAGCCTGCAGAGCCAAACTCGAGCAGCATAGAGGCAGCATAGAGCAGATGCAGTAGACAGCGAGGACCTGCGGAAGGTCCTTGATTCCATCGTAGACGGCAAAAACCCGTTCTTGACGTTGGTTTGGAGCGGCGTCTCGGGCACGAAGGGCGTTTCCTAGACGTGAAGCACGACCGGCAGCACGGTGACGAGCAAGACGGCAAGCAGCATGGCCATGAAGCACATGAACGATTCGTGCGCAGGCCCAAAGAGCGAAATGTAGCCCGAGACGACGAGCGACCCGATAATGATGTACAGCCTGCGCGATGCTAAACGCTGTCACCTGGCGGTCGCCGGCAAAGTCAGCGATGATGAGCGATGCCGGCATCTGCGCCGTGTTGACGGCAGCGCCGCTGAGAACATAGAGCGTGACCATGTAGCCTGTGCGCCACACATCGCTAATGTACGACGAGCACATTATCAGCACCCAGACAACGACGATTGCGAGCGTGCCAAGCACGAGCGCGATGGGCAGTGATCGCTCAAGACGCCCACCGTGGGGCACACGAGAAGTCCTGTGATCGGGCCCGTGATCTGGACGAGCTGGACGGCCCAGGACGGGAGGTGCGTCTCGAGTGTCGGCCAAACGCTGCCCACTGCGCCGCCCACGCCATCTGCACGGCCATGTGCGGTGCGCAGAGCAGCAGCAAGTGCGGCAGCGAGCAGCCTAAGTGCTCGAGGGCGTGGTAGTTGGCGACCATGCAAAAATTGGGAAATGACTGCCAATAAGCGAGGTTCTAAGGTGGACAAGGCTACGGCAACCTCGTGCGACGAGGTGCTAATCCAGAAATCGTGCTCCCGAGTTGCCAATGGGACGCGCGAACGTGCTATGAGCGTGTCGGACAGGCCACTGGCGTCCCGAGTTTTCTATACTGGGTAGACTTGCGTCCACAGACGTCGACTACTGAACCAGCTCTGGCATACCATCACGACGTACGAATACACGGTGCCCGTATTGGATTATGTATCTTGGTCGTTCATTGACCTCAACTTGACTTTGCACTTCAACAAAAAGTCGGGAATGACGTGGCAGTAGCAGCTGCTGCTGCCATCCACTCGCACGGCCATGTTGCCGCGAGACGTTGTCATCTACGTACCACGCTCAACAACGGGAATTAAAGCAGTATTTTCACGCTGAAAACGCCACGACAACCACACGGGTAGACCGTATCCACCCAGACGCGTAGGTGCATGGCTCATGTATGCGGAACGTGAGCGTAGTAGCTTGAGCGGTGCAATGGAGCGGTGCAGGAGCTGGTGCAGGTCACACACAGATAGTACTGCACATGAACACGGTACGCCAGCAAGGGGTATAAGATTGCACGGAACGCACCCGACTTCTTGTTGGATTGCTTGCCGGTGAGAAGTCCGGAGCGGCGCAGATCGAGTAGCCAAGTGATATTTATATAGGATTCTTCCTGCATGCAGTTGTGGCACGGGATGTGCTACGTTGTTGGCAGAACGCGGGTTGTGATGCAAGCCGTAAAAGAAATACATGATGTAATCTCTTTCTCCTCCGTTTGCTCGCGTGTGAAGTTCTCAAGCCCTTGTCATGTCATCCGTGCTCGTCGCTTGCGTTGTTGGTGCATGGGGCTGTAGCAGCAACATCCGCAGTGCTCTCAATTGGCTACAAATAAGACCCATGGATCGCTGATGACCCAAAGTTGCGTGTTTAAAGACAATAATATTCTCCACAAGTTAAATCACGCAACTTAACTTGGTTGTCGACGGGATTCCACGGCGACCCACTAGGGCAAGGTTATCATGTTTTCCTTGCACTTGGTGGTCCATACTCATACCCTTGACACTAAGCGTCGTCAGGACGCGGTGTCGAATAGATAAACAGTATATTGCGACGACTTAGAGCGTAAACATGCGAATGTCAAACTTGAAAAACGCCACCAGAAACCCGAGAAAGGTCACGATACCGCCGACTAAAATCGGGAGCGCGTGCGTGAGGTCGGTCGTCACGAGGATCGGCGACACGGCGAACGTGAGGAGCTGGCCAAAGCAGTTGGCCGAGTTGAAGGCGCCGGCAAACATACCGAGGCCGTTGAGTTCGCCGTACCCAATCACGTGCAAAATGACGGGAATTTGCATCGAGTTGACCGTGTTGAACGAAATCGACGCCAGCGCGACGATCGACGCGCCGAGCGGCTTGCTGTGGACCCACGAGAGCACGACAAAGAGCATTTGCGGCAAGAGTGCAAAGGTGAAGACGCGCCGCGCACCATACCACTGGACGAGCCGCGGCAGCAAGAGAAGGTACGCGAGGTCGACAAATGACGCGAGCGCGTCGACGAACCCCAGCGCGTACTTGGCGCCGTCGTTGTACGCGGCTTGGGCCGGCGAGCACTTATCGCCGCAGACATCGGCGCCGGTCGCGTTGCCATCGTTGACAACGAGGCCAAAGAACTGCGCCTTGTTGCCATTGTAGCACGAAAAACCAAACATGATCAAGATGAAGACGACGCAGTAGACGGCGAGGAGCCGCGGGAGGTACTTGATGCCGTGGTAGACGGCGAGGAGCCCGCTCTTGAGGTCGCGATGCGGCTGGTCGGGCACGTACGGCGTCTCGCGGAAGCAAATGCACACGGGGAGCACGGTGCTGACGAGCACGAGGATGAGCATCGCGAGAAAGGTCACAAAGGTGTCGGTCGCCGGGCCAAAGAGCGAAATGTAGCCCGAGACGAGGAGCGCGCCCAGCGTGTTGTACGCCTGCGCGATGCTAAAGGCCGTGACTTGGCGGTCGCCGGCAAAGTCGGCGATGAGCAGCATCACGGGCACTTGCGTCACGTTCACCGAGACGCACATGCACACATAGAGGAAGATTGTGAAGCCGTCGCGGTACTGAGCAGGCACAAAGTTGGTCAGCATCATGAGCACCCAGACCGTGACCGTGCCGAACGTGCCCGCGAGCAGGAAGGGCCGCCGCCGGCCATAGCGCGACGTGCAGTGGTCGCTGAAGACGGCGACCGTCGGGTACACGAGCAGGCCCGTGATGGGGCCGATGATCTGCATAAGCTGGACGACCCAGGACGCCAGGCGCGTCTCGAGGGTTGGGCTGAACGCGGCCCAGTACGCCGACCACGCCATCTGCATGGCCATGCGAGGTGCGCAGAGCAACAGCATCGCGAGGATCGAGCAGCCCGGGAGCGGCGACGACTCCATCGTCGTAAAGTCGAGGCTGTGGCTCATGGACGACGACCTGCTCGGCATTCTGGCTCGGATCGCGAAATGAGGCCAGACACCGCGACAGTACAGTGCAGGTGTGGTAGAAGTAGCCTGTCGCTTGCTGGCGGAGGATGTGTCACATGCCACGGTGGCGATGCGTGCGGTAGCTGCGTGCGGTAAACTGTATGAAGGAGCGCGACCGGGCCAGCGCCGATCACTTCCTTCCTGTCATGCTACGGCGATGACATAGACCTGCAAGCGGTCGACGCATCTCTACCGTGCCATCGGCCTGGGTCTGAGCTGCTATCAGCGCCCAGTTGCCCGGCATCTACAACCCCAAGCTCGTCCAACTCTTGGATCATGTTGGTATTTTTATTGAAATGACCCTTTTCGCCGTGTCGACGTTGCAGTTGGGTGACCGCTTGAACTTGGCGCGGGCGTTGCGTGCGTGGGTGGGTGTGTATCTCGCGTGGGCGCATCGCTTGCGCCGGAACCTGACCCACGCGCATCGGCACTGACACCTCGGACGCATTCCATGCACCGAGACCGAGTCCAGTCATCCTGGCGACCGTCCAGCGCGCGACTGGCCGCTTCGTCTCAAAGATTTTTTTAAAGTTTGTATCGCTGGTAAGTCAAGACATCGCGAGTATGGAGAGAGAGCAGTACAAGCGTCGTATTAGCCCACGACGATGCGATGGCTGACCAGCTTTGAGGGTGTGACGTCGCGGGCTCAGTGCGCTCGTTTGTCTGCCCTCTGACTGGCCACACGCATCTTTATGTCACCCCTTCTGTTTTCAAACAGAATTCACATGAAACAGTGTTTCAACCAGCATCAAATCCTGTGTTTCGTGACCATGTCACCTCTTCCAGATTATGAAATGACAAAATGTACACAATACACTGTCTTGTATTCCTACGACGCTTAGAGCGATCGCATGCGAATGTCAAACTTAAAAACGCCACCAGAAAGGCCAGCCCAGTCATCCCGCCACCGACCATGATGGGCAGCTCGGGCGTCGCTCCCATCCAGCTCAGAAGCGGGCCCAGCGCAAACGTGAGGAACTGTCCGAGACAATTGGCCGAGTTGAGCGCACCCGCAAACAACCCGAGTCCGTTGGCTTCGCCGTAGCCAATGACATGAAGCACGACCGGAATACCCATGGTAAACAGCGTGTTCTGCGTGATGCTCGACAGGATCGCAGAGGCCGCATTGAGCTCTTTGACGCGAACAAAAGCCAAGAGCAGCGTCATCTGAGGAACCATGGCGTAGGTGAAGACGCGTCGGACGCCAAAGGTGCGGACGAGCGTGGGCAGCACAGCGAGGTAGAGCAGTCCCAGAAGCGAGTGCAGTGTGTCGACTGTCCCCGAGGCAAACTGCGTGCCGTTGTTGTAGCGCAGCTGCGCGTCCGTGCAATGGGTACCACACTTGTCGGCGTCGGCGGCAATCCCGTCGTAGAAGAGGACGCCAAAGAACTGGTTCTTATTGCCGGTGTACGACGCATACCCGAGCATCGCGAGGACAAAGCAGACGCAGTAGACCGCGAGCACCCGCGGGAGGTACTTGAGGCCGTCATAAAATGCCACAACTCCGCGCTTGAGCTCTTGTCGCCGAGAGATGACGACCTCCGGGACGTGCGGCGTCTCCGACACATAGAGGAGCACGGGAAGCACCGTCACCACGAGTGCGAGAATGAGCATGAAGAGAATTTGGATTGTCACATTGGACGCAGGACCGTAGAGCGCGATGAAGCCGGACACGAGGAGCGACCCGATGATGCTAAAGGCCTGCGCGAGACTAAACGCCGTGACTTGGTGGTCGCCAGCAAAGTCGGCGATGAGCAGCGCCGCCGGTGCCTGCACCGTGTTGACAGCGACGCCCATGAGGAAGTAGAGCACGATCGCGACGCCGCTGAGCTTGTCGGCTGCCGCCTTTTTGTCGTCGGCAGCTTGGATGACGCTCGAGACAACGACCATGAGCAGCCACACGACAATGCTGGCGACCGTGCCGCCCAAGATGTAGGGTCGGCGGCGTCCGTACGTGGAGCGGCAGCTGTCGCTGAGGACGCTTACCATCGGGTAGACAATGAGACCGGTGGTAGGGCCAAGTACGCGGATGAGCTGCGCGGCCCATGGCGCGTACGAGTTGTCGAACTGCGGGCCAAATGCTGCCCACAGCGCGGCCCACGCCATCTGGATCGCCAGGCGCGGCGCGGCAAGGAGCAGCATGAAGGGCAGCGAGCAGGTCGCCAGAGGCGGCGCCAGCTCGGGCAGCGCGACTGTGATGGCCGTCGTGCCCGACTTGATTGCCATCGAGCGCGTTGGATTGTGTCATATCCCATGTGCTGGTCACTGCAGCGACAGTATCCGGATAGCGTATGGACGCTGCTTCAACTTGTCGGTGCGCATCCGGATTTAAATTCGGCAGATGCCGAGACAAGGGTGTCCGGGTGGCCACGCTTTGGAGCAACGGCAACTACAGGGTAGAAAGTGATTGCTTGTCCGTTCACAACCCAGATCTGGAGCACGACCTCAGCGCTGTACCGGTACGAGTATCTCATCAGCAAAGCAGACACGAAGCTACACGGTAGAGTACTACAGGGTGCAACGACGATACCACCGCAGGCGCCGCCAGTCGCTTCGCCCCGACGCCATGAAGGGACTGGTGAGCTCTAGTGAGTAGCTCTGCAGAGCTTGGAGTTGAAGTACGACTGGAAATCACCTTGGGACTGGGTATTTGGCTGTGGTCTGGCTGCACCGGAACGGGCAACGATGCAAATGGCGCATCTTGGCCTCGATGCCATGGCTACAACATGCGGGAAGCGACTCCTTGGGGTGTGAATTTGTACAAACAACTGAGCCAGTATATATACGTGTAAGGCAAAAGGGGTGATTTCACTCCTGCAGTACAACTTCCTTTTTGGCACAAAGTACGTGAATGAATATCTACAGCCACACGCGGTAAAGTGACCTCTCTACAACGCACAGCAGTGGCTCAAGAAGCGCACTCGGTCCCACTCGTGACGGAGAAAGCTCAGCTTGTGCGCTTGCTCGCGGCGAGAGTAGGCTGCCGCGGCTGCATTGCTGCGCTTGCGATACGTCTCGTCCGACTCGCCTCGCGCGCGGTCAACAGGCTGGCGCGGCAACGCCTCGTACGGCGTTGGTGCAATCTCGGGGTGGCGCAGGAGCACGTGGAGGATGTCGCGCTGGAGCTCGGCGATGCGGCTGCTACGCTTGCGTCGGTACGCAGCCGCGGCCAGTCGGTTGCGCTCGCGCTTGGCCTCGATGGCGTGCGCAGTCGGGGCGTCGTTCGCCTCGGTCCCAGTGCGGAGCATCGGTGTGGCCACTTTAAAAGTGACGACGTCTCGACACTGGACAAAGTAGAGGTCAGCAGCGCGCGACTCGCGATAACTCAAGTCCTGAAGCTAGCGACAACACTGTCACATGCAAGGACGTAACGTGTTGCTCTTCGAGAAGACGTGTACACAATGCAAAGCAACTCGTGCGTCAAGGTGTGGATCGACAGTGCTACTTACAGGCGCCAGAATTCGAATCGAACGACACCGCGAGCCAGACCGGTGTGAGATTTTCGCGTCGTGGTTGACATCTGACACCACACGCAACGTTCAGTGCGTGATCCGGGTGATGGCGATGACAGGACGACCACCATGACATCGTTGTGTACTACTTAGGACACTGCATTCCATTTGAAGTCCATTGATGTACACAATGTCTCACAAAAATGTACACAATTGCTCGCATGCAGAATACAATTTTACTTATTTTCACGTAATTACGACCGTAATCAAACACGTCCGCTGCAATTCTATCACTAACAAAGCGAGACGAACGCAGCTTACGGGCACAGCTGCGAGCTCGGACTACAGAGGTGCACCTCGTTCTTGAGGTACGCTAAATAATGCGCTTCCTTTTGACGCGAGTAGGCGGCAGCGACCGCGTTCCGGCGGCGCTGGAGATCGTCCTTGGACTCGCCGGGAAGCGCGTCGCAAAATGGTTTTGGCAGCGGTGTGTACGGGGTCGGGACGTAGGACGGGTACATCTCTTGGAGCGTCGCTAGATCGCGCTGGTACTTTTCAATCGCGCGCTTGGTCTTGGCGCGGAAGCGTTGCGCCGACTCGCGGTTGCTCTTGCGCTTTCCTTCTGGCTGCGGTGACGCTGACGCCGTCATTGTTGTCGCGAGACCTCGGCGCTCGTTGCGGCGGCGAATCGCAGCGTGGCGCCGCGTGAGCGCCTCCTGGCGCTTGGCCTTGGCGCTGGCTTCGTCGCAGTCGTCAAAAAGGGCAGCCATCCAAAAGACCACCATGGCCTCATCGTCTTCATCACCAGGAAGAAGCATTTGGCTCGAGTCGTGGTGGCTCATCATGGGCGCAAAATTCAAAGTATGATTCATTTCGACTGGTGTGGGGATTCCACAAGATCTGTGTGCGCAGTGGATTCAATGCAGATCTAGACCGTTGGCGTTGCGCGGGCTCCCAGTTCTGTTCTGTGGCTTGCGAGGGATTGGCGTGCATGGTCGTCCCATGCACCGGATTCCGCCACGACCATCTGGTCTCAGATATCAAGTCTGGATTCAGTACAGTACTCGTCGTCTACAACGAGGCTCGACGCGGTGCTTAGCAGCCCGTGAGGATAGGTCGCTACAGTGAACGGCTGCGTGCCTTTACTGCCGTGAATGTATTGGGTACGAACATGCGTCCCACATGAGTTGATATAAACGCATCGGTATCAATGTATCGTTCGGTGCCAGCCAATAGCACACCAAGATAAATAGAATGAAACGAAACACAGCTGGTTCCGTGATTATGTTTCAATTGGTACTGGTTCCAACCTGATATAATCTATCACATTATCCGGTTCGTGACCCAGCGTCGAGTTTTAGTGGAAACAGTGTTTTGCCAGAATCTTATTTCCATTTCTAGATATTAAAAGACGCCTTTTCAAACACGCAGGCATGCTTGCAGTTTCACCTCGGGGTCTTCGAAAATGCTACAGGCGCCACCGCGGGGATCGCTACGGGGCGTCATGGATGTTCGCTCGCACCAGCGCTACCGCCGCCGCACCTCGCTACCCTCCAAGCTAGTACCCTCCGACCCAAGTGCAGTCATGCCGCCAAGCAACCAAGACACCAAGCGCGTCTCGTTCGTTCTCGTGCCACAGCGCATTTCGTACCATCGATCCGAGTCGTACGACGAATGGCTCTTCCGCGTCGGCCGCCTCGAAGCGCCCCACGAGTCGGTTGAGAAAGCGGTGGCAAACTTTCTCAGTCGCGCGGCGAACTTTGCAGGTCACGCAGCGGTAGCCCACGCGCGGCCTGAGCGCGACGTCTCGCCGCCGTCCAAAGCGGACTTAACGTGCTGGCGCAACTTGGCGTCGCATGCGTGGGAAGACGAAGCCGAGTTTCTTCGTGCTCCCGACGACGTCCGTACAACAAAAACGAAGCTCCAGCACCTGCTCCAAGCCGTGCTTCCGACCTCCATTAAGGACCGAAAGCGCGCCGAGTATCGCCGCGAGTGCCTCCAACACCTCGTCAACATGTGCTTGGCCTTTGGCGATGCGCCGTTCACGCTGCACGACCTCTCGTGCCTCCTCGATAGATGACAAAACGGGCCTTACTGCTGTGTGCATATTCGTGGAATCTATGGCAGCTACAGAGTGGAAGTGTGTTTTGTTGTTTCAATCAATCAATCCAACGTGTTTGTATTGAAATCAAATGAGCAAAAACGAACTCAGAGACTTGGCGGATATCGCGCTACGCCTGAATGCGTGGGAGTTGGCACCAGCACTTGGTCGTTGGGAGTGCGCTGCGTACGAGGCGATCCATCCCGTGGTGGATTCCACTCGCTGAGGTTACACATAGTGTGTTAAAACCAACCCCAACGCAAGCCGCAAGAGCGCTGATGCAGCGTACATCGACAACGCACGACGATCCTCGGAGGCACGTGGTCCAACGCGCGTTGCCGTTGTGCATACTAGGATCAAGGTGATGACGTGGCAGTCGGAGGCGCTTCGAATGCACATGCGTGGATCATATTACATCATGAGCTGATGGACAAACGAACGACGATGACGCAATCGCTTGGCAATGAACTCTGTGCTTACACGATGCCCGCTTGATGGGCGAGACTGTAAAAGTGGGAGGTTTGCGTCGCGAGCAACTCGGTGGGGACGCGGCTTCGGCGACAACGCCGTTCTGCAACACGACGATGCGGTCGCAGTGCAGAATCGTGTGCAGTCGGTGGGCGATCGTGAGCACAGTCGTCGCATCCGATTGAAATGCGTCTCGGATCGTGCGCTGGATGAGCGCATCGGTCGCCAAGTCGACGTTGGCGGTCGCTTCGTCCATGACGACGACGCGGCTCTGTCGCAAGAGCGCGCGGCCAATGCAAAGCAGCTGGCGCTGGCCCACTGACAAGTTGGCGCCGTTCTCTGCCACCTCCGTGTCCAGCGGCAGCGGCAAGTGGGCTTTGGCGAGCACCGCTTCCAGCTCGACATCCAACTTTTCTTGAAACGGATCCAAATTCGATCGAATGCTGCCGCTAAAGAGCACGGGGTCTTGCGGGATGATGGCCAGCGCCCGTCGCAGCGACGCCAAGTCCATTTTCGCAATGTCGACGCCGTCCATGTAGATCGTCCCCGCGTCGAACTCGGCGAGGCGGAAGAGCGCGACCATGAGCGACGACTTGCCGGCACCCGTGCGGCCGCAAATGCCGATCTTCTCGCCCGCAACAATGTCCAGCGAAACACCGTGCAGCACGAGCGGCAGCTCGGGGCGGTAGCGCAAGTGGAGGTTCTCAAAGCGGAGGCTACCTTGAGTCGGCCACGTTGGCGGCGGCACGACACCGCTCCGCACCTCACTCGGGATCGTCTTGAAGTGCAGGAGCCGCTCCACCGCGGTCATGGCGCTCTCGGTCAAATCGAAGAGACGGATCGCCCATTGCACGTTGGAGATGAGCGCAAGCGAGTAGACAAGCGTGAGGCCGGCGAGGGTCGGCGAGAGGGCCGTGTCGCGCAGCTGCAGCAAGATGGTCGTGATGCCGGCGATGAGCAGCACCGAGATGACATCCATGCGCAGCGAGAGCCACCGACTGGCGCCGACGATGGCAAATAGCACCTTGGCGTTGGCGTCGACGGCGGATCGGCTCCACGCGTGAAAGACACGCTCGAGGTTGAGCGCGCGGATCGTCCGGACGCCGTCGAGGGTCTCGGCGAACGAGCTAAAGATCGGCGACCGGGAGATGCCTTCGAGGCGCTTGAGTTCTCGGGACGTGCGCTTAAAGTACTCGCCCGCATAATAAAAGATCAGCAAAATCGGAACGTACGCGATGGCGACGTATGGCGACGCCAAGGCGCACACGACGAGCGCGCCGGCGACGACCCATAGCGTCTCGAGCGAGTCGAGAAAGAGGTTCGGGAGTAAGCTGTCGGCAATGTCCAAGTCCCGTGCGAACCGGTTGAGGATGCGGCCGATCGGCGTGACGTCGTAAAACAAGTTGATGGGCGCCGCAAGCAGCCGCGAGAGGAGGTCCTTGTGCAGTGCATCCGAGCACGCGCCCGTAAAGTGCACGAGCAGTTGGCAGCGACCGTAGAACAAAGCGCCGCTCGCCACAACGAGGAGGTAGAGACCGCTATGGGGCAACGCGATGGCGTTCCTATCAAAGTGCTGGCCCCAATGCCCTTGGAACCAGTCGGCGACGATACGCACGCCTTGGCCGAGCCCAAAGGCAGCGACTAGCGCCAGCGCGACGAAGCCGCCTTGCGTGCCAGCGTGGCCAAAGTACGCCAAGTAGATGGCCTTGCCAACGCTGCCCTGAGCGCGATCTTCAATCTGCATGAGCGCGCTGGGCTCGGTACCAAGCGGCGCCTTGGTCTCCTCGACGGTGCTCGGTGCTGGAGACATCCGCTTTGCCGCGCTCGGTGGCTCGGACGCATACTCAGGGTACCGCGCCACGAGCTCGTTTGTGAACGGTCCGTCGTAAACCACGTGTCCTTTCTCGAGCACGAGAATCCGATCCGCGCGCGGTAAAAAGTGATAGTGGCTGTTGAGCACGAGCAGTCGCGTTTTTGAGTGCGCGAACTCGAGGAGCGCCGACTCGAAAATGGCGTGGGCAACGTGAACGTCCACGGCGCTGAGCGGGTCGTCGAGGAGGAGTACGTCCGTGTTGGCCGCGAAGAGCGCGCGCGCCAAGTGCACGCGCGCCTTTTGGCCGCCGCTGAGGTTGACGCCTTGCTCGCCAATCTCGGTCGCGTCGCCTTGCGGCAGCAAACGCAGGTCGTGCGCGAGCTGGCACGCCTCCAGCACCGCCGCGTACCGGGCTTCATCAACGACTGGCGCGGCCATGAGAATGTTGTCGCGGATCGTCGCGTTGCGAATCCAAGGCTCTTGCGTCAAGAAGGCGAGGCGGCCGCGAAGGTCCGTGGCCTCGCCATGCGTCTTGAGGAGCTCGCCAGCGAGGGCGGAGAGGAAGCTCGACTTGCCGGCGCCGACACCGCCGACCACGAGGACGAGTTCACCGGGCGAGATCGTGAGCGTGGTGCGGCCCAGCTCAAAGCCACCGCGCTGCCATGTCCACGCCGCATCGACGAGAGACACGGCGCCATTGTGCAACGTTGGCGCTGTCGGGCTCGAACCCGCGCCGACTTGTTCGGGTAGCGCCAAGTAGGCGTCGAGGCGGCGACCGGCCCCGAGACCTTCCGAGAGCCCAGCGATCGCGCGTGGAAAGTTGTAGAGGGCGTGGCGACTCATGTTGGTAAACGCAATGAGCGTATAGATCTGCGTCACGTCCACTGCGTGCCCGAGCCAAATGTACGTCGAGAGGATCGACGCGCCGACAAAGAGCGGCGACAAGAAGAGAAACTCGACGTTCGAGACGCGGTACCGGTTGAGCTTGCGGAGATGCTGCGTCTCCGTGTCGCGAAGACGCTGGAGCCGCGACGCAATCGCGGGCTCCCACGCGTACATCTTCATGACGCGGATTCCAAGAAGAACCTCGCTGGTGACGCGCACGCGCTGTTCTGAGAGCGACGTGGCGTCGAGGCGCGCGGCACCAATGACGGATGCGAGCCAGAGCGAGCCTCCGAGGATGAGCGCAGTCGTGACAGCCCCGACAAGCGCAGGGAGCGGGCCAAAGAACGCGCCGAGCAGCAGCAGGGACGCGAGGAACGTTACCGGCGATGCGATGATCCAGACACCTTCGTTGGCCATCTCGGCGACACGTTCGGCGTCCGAGCTCATGAGCGTCACGATCTCCCCGCTCGTGGTTTGCTGCCGCGCGGCCGACGAGAGCCGCAGCGCCTTGTCGTAGACCATGTCCATCACAATCGAGCGCATGTTGACGCCGACCTTGTACGACGTGAAGAAGCCGTAGTTGACGCACGCGGCCTGCAAAAAGGCAGCGAGCGTCAACAGCGCCATGAGCGCATAGCCATTCTCAATGCCAAGAAACGAAATGGGTTGGCGCTGGAGGTACTGCAGCAGCGCCTGGACGAGGAGCGGCTGCGCGATGGCGGCCGCCGTCGCAAGCAAGAAGGACACGAGCGCCACGATGAGGTCGCGCCGAAAGCTGCGGACAAGCGCGCGGCTGAAGCGAGGCACCGACGACGACGCGGTCGCCGACGACCAGTGCGCGAGAAAGGGCGCGTGCAGACCGGCGCACGTCTCGGTGGCTGGAAGCGCCCAGACGTCGTCGGCCAGGAGCGGCGTCGATGCGCCGAGTGCGATGAGCTTGGTGACCCACCCGTAGCTGAGCTTGGCCAGAAACGAAGCAGTCGCGTACGGGTGGGGGCGGTCGATGGTCTCGATCGGGAGCGCAAAGTATGGCGCCGCGTCCGGTACCGCTTCTCCACCGTCCGAGCCCATGATGGAACAAATCGTTGAATACAATTGTTCATTTTGGCTTCGCTCGTCTTCCAGCGTCTGATTGAGGTCAGTAAACCGCGCCCGCTCCGCCTGCCACGTGGCGTGCCACGCCGGTGGGATCTTGAACACAATGTCATCATAAAGTACACAAGATATGACCTGAAACAAGGGCCAAAACAGGTCACATGTCCTACCGGAAAGGAACCACCGACTGCGCAATGTTGGATCCCAAAAACCGCCGAAGATTCTGGCGCGTGCAGAGATCTGTAAAGGTAGCGAGCGCAGACCATTGGGAAAGAATGGTTGGTTGGCCCAAGTGAGCAAAATAAGGAATCAGCCTAGTGGTCCGACCGGCTTCACCATCACCAGGCGTTGCAGCACGCGGCCACAAGCTTCGTGACGACGACCTAGGTTTCCGCCGGCATAGTGACCTACGCTCGACAGTCGAGGCAGACCGCCGCGTTGGACCTCGGGCCTCTTCGCAGCCCATTCGCCAGCTACTGTTGTGGCCAATGCAACCATCAGCTTGACACCTTGCGAGTGGGAAGGTGGAATGAGAGGGTGGAGACCATGGGTGGAGATGATTGCAATGAGCGGGTGATGGCCGTGAATGCCACAAGCGCTGGCCACGTGCGAAGCCTGCGCCGTCGCACCGCTTCATGTGGTCATGTGTTTGTCGGCTTACGCGAAGCGCGCCAATGGCATCAGCAGTCGCAATCTGGTCGATGACGCGCGAATGAGTTGACGCGAATCGGATGCGTCACGCCCAACGGCGGGCTCCGAGGAAACTTCCCGAAGCCACGCTGCGCATGTTGACGTTCGTCAACGCCTCTCGTGGTTTGGGTCCGCCCTGTCCAAGATCGCGCAACCTTGCGTAATCACACGCCGCGTGTGCAATGTGAGAAACGTGGAAAACGTGGTTTTTAAAGACATGCATTTTTCACGGACCGCACCACCCTGTGGCAGCACCACATGCACGGACGCCAATCAGCTTTGCTTGGTATTGAAGCGGCCAAAGACGATGCTGGCAATGGACACAAATCGAGAGAGAGTCGTGGGAAACGCGCTGGGGACGTATTCTCCGCAGCAGAGTCGGAGGTTCTTCGCATCGACTGCACCAAGGCAGCGGCTGTGGCGGTCCCGCCTTACTGCTTGCACAGGGCGTTATCGATACCTGCAATGACAACGTGGCAACTCTCGCGTCTGACCTTGTTGACTGGTCCAAGCGTCCACCAATGTGGTCAGGATCTGCAATCTAACATCGCCACTTGTCAGATATTGCACCAGCGCGCTTGTAGTCTTCGATCCAATCTGCTCGTATGGGACACGTACACGCTTTGGACATGCACGCCCCGCAAAGCGTCTAGCATCGTCGGTCGCAAAGGCGGTCCATGTCGACCCCGTGCGATATACTAGTACACATTTCCGGCCGCCGTTTCAATAGACCACGGTGTGAAGTACATTTTTCACCCTGTATAGGTGACGACCCCCGACTCAAGATCTCCAGCTGGCGTTGCACGCAGCTTTCTGCGGCCCACAATCAGCGAGCGTGGGACACGTACACCGCGGAGCATCGCAACTCCCCGAACGGGCTCGAATTCGTGCAATCGCGCTTGCTCCGTCGCGGAAGTCGGCGGTTGATTCGCTTTCGCCAGCCAGCTCAGCGGTGGCGATCTGGATCTCCTGGATGTGGCTGCACGTACCGCTCGTCCATCGTCAATGCGACTATTTCAAGTACCTCGTGGCACCACGGACGTTCCAGGAGAAGAAGACCCAAGATATGTTTACTGCAATGGCGCATTTCACGAATCGGGCTCGAATGGATCGAACGGGTAGTTTTATTGGCGCGTCGCATGAAAACGAGCGCAAATCTCCGCCGCATTTTATATGTTTCATGCTCTTGTACACCTATTTTGTATTGCGAATTCGACATTTGTATTTTATTTCACGTGGCATATTGTTTTTAAACGCGGCGAATCTTTGTATCCAATTGCACCACGTTTGATTGGCCAAAACGCAAGCGGCACGAGACGATGATTGGCCAAAATCCTGCTTTCGACGCCCGCCCGCCACGACGTTTGTACCACAAACTTCAAGGTGTACACCGTACAATGCCCGTACATCACCCAAGTACGGTTTCAATGTACGGTTATCGCTCTTTAATTATGCAACGGTACGTACATCGTACGTTCGGGTCAAACGGCAAACTCGAACCCGAAACTTCGAAGCGGTCAAGATCTGCAGCTCATTCCGCAATCTGCCAGCTTCCGCAGCGATGTTCACGGTCGACGCGCTGAAGCTCTACTTGGAGCAGCACGAGCAAGGCGTCGCGACCGCCATCGGCGTCTCCGCCGGCCTCTTCGCCGCCGGCCTCCTCTTGCATTCCAAGGCCGTGCTCAGCATGTTCGTGCCGGGCAAGTCGTTCCCGGCGTCCCAGCTCTTCAACTGGGTCGCATCCGCCGCCTTCTTCCTCGTCGCCGTCCGCGTCGCCGCCGTCAACCAGCAGCTCGCGGCCCACGCCAACGTCGCCCACGACGTCAACTCGGTCCTCGTGGGCTTTGCCGCCCTCACGCTGCTGCTCGCCGACTTTAGCGTCAGCGCGATCCGCGCCGAGTCCAAGTCGGTCGTTGTTTCGATTGGCGCGGCCGCGCTGGTCTTCTTCATCTCGCTCGTCGGCGTCCTTCGCATTGAGAGCTCGGCCTTGACGCAGGGCGCGATCGTCGCCGCCATCGTTGTCTTTGCCACCGCGATCTTCACGACGGCCAAGGACGTGGCCAACACGAGCACGAGCCGCGACGGCAGCGACTTCCAGACGACGCTGCTTGGCTCGACGCGCCTTCTCTCGAACCCCGACTCGGTCTTGTCGCGCGACGGCGTCAACGCCCGCTTCGACGAGTACGACAAGCTCTTTGCCGGTGCGCGCAAGGAGGCGGGTGCGATCTCGACCGAGGAAAGCATCAAGCACCGCCAGACCGAGTACAAGGTCATGGTCGACAGCTTCTACGACCTCGTCACGGACTTCTACGAGTACGGCTGGGGCCAGTCGTTCCACTTTGCCAACCGGTTCCGCGACGAAACCTTCCGCGAGTCGATTCGCCGCGTCGAGTACTTTTTATCCGGCAAGCTCGGTCTCTGCAAGGGCAAGTACGCGCTCGATATGGGCTGCGGCATTGGCGGGCCCATGCGCAACATTGCGCGTTTCTCGGGCGCCAAGATCAAGGGGATTACAATCAACGAGTACCAAGTGCGCGTCGCCAACCGCAACAACAAGCAGAACGGCCTCGAGGACCAGTGCCACGTCCAGCAAGGCAACTTTATGGAGATGCCGTTCGAGGCCGGTACCTTTGACAGCGTGTACGCGATCGAGTCGGTGTGCCACGCGCCGGACAAGAAGGCGTGCTTTTCGGAAGCTTGCCGCGTCCTCAAGCCCGGTGGCGTCTTTGTCGGCCTCGACTGGGCGGTCCTCAACCATTACGACCCGACCAACATGCACCACGTCGAGCTCAAGGAAGGTATTGAAGTCGGGAACGGGCTGCCGACGCTGGAGACGCCGGCGCAGATCGCCAAGGCCCTCGAAGACGCCGGTCTCGAAGTGCTCGAGCACTTTAGCCTCCAGGACAACCACCGCGACCCGAACGAGATTCCTTGGTACGACACGCTCGAAGGCAAGTACTTTACGCTCCAGGGCTTCCGCATGACGTGGCTCGGCCGCCAGTGCACGCACATCCTCGTCTCGACGCTCGAGTTCCTCAAGATTGCGCCGAAAGGCACGGTCAAGGTCTCGCTGATGCTCAACAAGACGGCCGACGACATTGTCGCTGCCGGCAAGATGGACATCTTTACGCCGTCGTACTTTTTCATGGCGCGCAAGCCGCTCACGCCCATCAAGTAGACGAGGCGGCCTCTAACCTATATCTTTCTCTTGCTGTACATGTCGAGTTTCAAGTGTATTACCTCCGACCTGGCAGCACGGTAGTCGCAATGGGAGTCTGGTTGTGAACGCAGTGCGCAGCTGTGAGGCTTGCCCCAACAGTCCGTGCTCATGGCCGAGTTGCGGGTCGATCAAAATTTGTCCGGATAAAAAACGTGGCAGCATGTACGCCGTTTCACCTAACCGAATGGGAAGCAAGCCTCGTTGTCGGTGGTTCTTGGCTTGCTGCCATGAAATAGGTTCGTGGGACATGGCGTGATTAGGATGTACGACAGTCTACTTTGGCCAGGAGCCTCGTTCGATCACTTGACGACGTCATTCTGCGATCAAGAGCAGTCGCAAGCGCGTGTCTCGCAGTGCATGGGACGCGCCATCGTCTAGTTGAGCAACGGGCGTGTGCTTGGTCCGGATAATGCGCTGCGCACAGCCTGCCAGCTCAGAGTCGTCCGGATATAAAAATCGAATCCAACGGGCTCGTGGGCTCGTGGTGTCATTCTACATCAAGCCATGGCAGTGACAGACGACGTCAAGAAGGCGCAGCAGCGCGTCCGCCAGAAGAAGTACTACGCTTCCAACAAGGACAAGATGGCGGCCAAGAACAAGGCGTACTACGAGAAGAACCGCGCGCAAGTGTTGGTCAAGAAGAAGGAATACGACCAAAAGAACAAGGACGTCCGCCATGCCAAGGACAAGGCGTGGCGCATGGCGAATTTGGCGTACAAAAACGCATGCGACCGAGCTCGGTACGATGCCCTTGCGATCAAACCGAGCGGTTTTCTCATGTCTTTTCCTAGTCGGGCGCGAAAGAAGGCGATTGCGGCCGGCGAGATTCCACCGCCAAAGCCCAAAATCGCCGATTTCCGAGATCAGAATCAACACGAAGCCTCTGGCTGCGTCGCGCCGGCTGCGTCGACGGATGCGGCTCCAGACGACCTCCTTGAAGATGACGACGATTCTCATCCCTTGGCTGCGACCACCAAGGAGGTTGTCATGGTCAGCTTCACGGACGAGCATCCGTTCAACATGCGCAAGCGTGGGCCCGAGCCGTGCTGCGACGAGTGCGCGCTCTTCCAGCCGAACGCGCTGACCTCGGCCACCAACACGGTCCTCTTGGCGGGCACGTACATGTGTACGTTCTGCCGCGACTGGACCTACTACCGTCTCCACCGCAAGCACAAGCGCACCCGCGCCGACGCGCGCCTCGACGCTCTTACTGCTTGAGCTTGGATCTCTTTGTATTTTGCATAATGAAGTACTTGTATGTTGATCTTCATAGACAAGTTGTTTCTGTTCCTCCCTCCAAGGGCGCTTCGGACCATCAGCCCAGATCCTTGGCAGAACGGCCCACGTACAGGCAAGTGCAACAAAGCCCCACTACCTCCTCGACTGGCTACTCCATCAAGACCTCTTGTCGAGGGCGCTAGACGACGAGACCGCAGCTGCCGCCGGCGGTTGCAACCACTGCGGTGCTATAATTACCACTTGGTAGTCCCAAAATACTTACTCCGTGGCATGGACGGGCCGACGCTCCTCGCCTGCGACGCCCGCGAAGAGCTTGAAGAGGCCGCGCCGTCGCCGCTGCGCGCCAAGGCCAAGCTCATGATCCGGCCCATGCCGAGAGCGTGCAACCCCGTGCCATCCAGTCCTGTCAAGCTCAGTCGGTACGCCGACGCGCTCGGCTCGATCGAAGAGGACAACCCGTTCGGCGACCTCACGCACGACAAACTCGTACGTCCGTTCTGGTACCCCGACGAGGCTAAGGCAGCGGTAAATGTAGCGGCAACTGAGCGGCAAGTCGGACTTGACCAGAGTCACGTTTCTCCAGCTCTCCATCGACACGGGCAAGCAGTCGGTCGAAGCGCTCGGCGAGCTCTTGCCGTCGCTCTTGCAGCTGCGCTTGCACGAGAGCAAGCTCCATAGCTTCCGCGACCTTGGCACGTCGCTGCACAGTCTCCAAGTGCTCTGGCTCGAGCGCTGCGGCGTGACCGACCTCGATGGCATTGGCGCGCTCACGGGCCTCCGCGAGCTGTACCTCCAAGGCAACTGCATCAGCGACATTAGTCCGCTGAGCATGCACGACGAACTCTCGGTCGTTGGTAGGCGATCTGTTGACGAGGATGGTGTTCTCGAGAGACATGCATAGATTTGCAAGGCAACGCCGTCATGGACATTGTACAGATCGAGCAGCTCGGTGCGCGCTGCGATCCAGCGCGCGCCTCATCGTTTTCATAGGCTTATGTCCACAGCTCTCGGCGCTCAAGCTCGTCGAGAACCCCGTTGCAAGCATTCCGCAGTACCGCGCGATCGTCATCAGCTACATTCCGCACCTCACGGCGCTCGACGACAAGCCCATCACCGCCGGCGACCGCACGCCCGTAGCAATCGCCCGATCTCTCGGCAAATGACATCAAGGCACACGCTAGGTGACGTCGGCGACCATCGACCTCGCCCTGCGCTTCGACCACTCGGCCGTGGGATCGATCCCCGCGAGATCTCGACTTAGTTGTGCGTTAGGGCGGCACCAAGCTGGTGC